TTCTTTTATTAATTTATATATACAAGCAGATATACTAGTAGACAGAGACTTAGATCTAATCTTAAAAGCCTTTAACTATAACTTTAAATAGTAAGCGTTAGATAGAGATATAAAGGCATTAAAATAATAACTTAGTAGTTAGTAAGTTAATAAATAGAAAACTATAAGCGCTAGTATTAACTAAAAGATTTAAATAGACTTTAATGCTTTTTAAATACAAAATAGTAGAAACTTAGAAGTGTTTTCCTTTAAATAAGTGTAATAAATTAATGTTTAATAGATTATACTTACTTAAGCTTAAGATAAAGAGTTTTCTTAGGTGTTACTATTTCTTATTTAGAAGGCATCTAAGTTGTAATTATTTATATCTATAAACTTTTTCTTAGATTTCTATTACTCTACCTTAATCTTTTATACTTTAGAGATAAAACAATTACTAGTAAAATGTTCTAGTTTACTATAATTATAATAGCTGCTAGAAGTTATTTGTCTTTTAGAGGCAGGTGTCTAGCTAGGTTGTCTATAGGTAGCTAGGGTAAATTAGGGTACTAACAGAGGTGCAGGTTAGGGTGCACTAGAATAGTATACTGCCTTAGATATATTACTAAAAACCTTCTAAGACTAATTTATACTAGGTCTAATAGTAGACTATTAGGTAAGATTAACAGTTTACTTTAAAATAGTAAGAGTATTCCTTCTTTCTATGTTATAGGCTGTTAGGTAGGCTACTATAGTCTTAAAGAAGCTCTTCTAAGTGTGCTTAAAACCTAAGTTTAGTACTTTTAGGCTAAGTAGTATCTTTTTTTATAAGTAGAAGAACTATTTTACCTTTAATATAAACTTTTTAACTGTAGCACTAATAAAGTAAGCTTTAAAAGCAGAAAACACTTTTTTTTTACTTATCTTTAGAGTTTAAAACACCTGTTGCGCCTTTGTTTTTTTATTACTAGTAATAAAGTAAGTTTATAAAAGCTTAATTATTTTTTTTATATTCTTAAACTAAAAGTTGTCTAATTTAGCTAGGTATCTAGGCTCTAGGTATTCCTTTGCAATACTAGCAGTGTGTCCCTATACTAGCGCTATGCGTGCGCGCTTACTCTAATAGTAATCTACATTAATATTAAGTCTGTCTATAATAAAGGCTTACTATTATTTAAACATAGGTTCTTTGCTGTCTGTAAAGTTCTTAATTTTAAGCATATGTTTAGTAAAGTAGCTTTAAGAAAGCTTAGAAGTGCCTAAAAAGTCTTTTACTATTAGTGTAGCATAAGTAATTTAAGGCATTATTAGAGGTAATTTAGTAGTTAGTAGAGAATAATTAAAACTAATAGTTTTTAATCTAGTTAGCTATTTAATTTATGCCTTTAATTAAGCAACTTAGTCTTTAAGGGCTATACTACTAGAGTTTAACTTTAAATCTAGTAAGTTTTTAGCTTTAAGTCCTATAAAAAGGGGTTTAGCTATTAAGGTTAGTAGTAGTTTAGTTCTAAAGGCAGGCATTTTGCCTTAGCTGCAGCTAGAACAAGTTGCAGTCTTTATAATAAGATCTAATAGTAGTTAAAAGTTAGGCATTAGTAGTTATCTCTAATCCTAATAAGTTATTAGTAGTTTTTAAGTTTCTACCTTAGCGCACTCTTTATAACTTTTTTAAAAGCAATTTTAATTGTAGGGGATAAAAAGTTCTAAACTTAAAGGCTTTAGTTAATAGAAGGTCTCTAGAATCCTATTTATACTAACTAAATAATTTAATATAATAGTGTGTAAGAAATTATAACTTAAACTAAATTAGACGCTTTTTAAAACTTAGATGTAGTTAAACAAATAATTAATGTAATATTATTAATAAGGCTATTACTAGCAAAAGTAAGTTTTCTAATATAATATAACAGCGCAGGTAAGACAATAGGTCTAAATGCAGTATAAATCCACTTAGAGGCATATAGGAGTGCGTGGGGACTTAGAGACCTAGGAATACTAATAACACCTATAGGCCTAGTACATAGGATATTAGAAAACTACTAAGCTAGCTATAGGGGCGAGGTGCGACTAAATACATAAGGGAATAGGGGCAACTGCAGGGGACTAGGTCAAGTCATAGTCAGGGCCAATACAGGGACCCTTCAGATAGGATCTGAGCAACCCGAGATAGAACGATTCGTAGAATCGTTACAATGTGTACTTTAACACTAAAAATCTTAAGATACCTAGGCCCTCTAGGAAACTAGTAGAAAAAAAAATAAAACTATATAAAGTTTTTTAAACCTAATAAAATAATTATAAGCTTAAGCTTCCTCTATATATAAAGATACACCTGTAGTTTTATATTTCTAAACTAAAAAAAGCATTTAAAGAGATTCCCTTATTTACATAAGGATAAAAAGATAAAGAAACAGAGTATAAAGTTAAATATATAGTTAGTAATTAGAAAAACTAAAAAAAGTTTTTAGTAAAATAAAAAAAGTAGCTTACTAGTAAAAACACATAAGAACTAGCTAAGAACTTATAAAATGTGTAGCTATTAGTACAAAAGTACTTTTAAGCTTATCTAAAAGAAACTAGCTAGGTAATAAGGCACTTATATTAAAAAAAATAGCTACATTATTACTAAATAGTAGCAGCCTTTAGAGATAAGTCTTAGCTAATAAAGGTTATAAAAAAGAACAGCTCTCTACTTTAGCCTTAAAAGCTTCTATTTTATTTAAAAAGAAAAGGTCCCTCTTTAAGTATTTTGCGTAATAAGCCTTTAGTAGATCTAGTAATTTTTAGATATAATTCTGTCTAAAACACTTTTTATTTATTACCCCTAACATTTTTTCTTGTAAATAAAGCTGTTTCTAGACTTAAGCTTATTATTTATCCTATAATGTGTAATCCTAGGCCTGTAAAGCCTTAGCCTTTTAAAAAAGTGTTTTTTTCTTTTTCTTTAGGCAATTTTACACAGCATTAGAAATAAAAGTGTTGCATTTACTATGCTTTTTTACACACTTAACATACTTATCTAAAGATAAAGTTAATATATAAAATAACCCTAAAAACTAGTAAGCGCTGCAGGGCCTTATCTTTATTTAATAAAAAGGGTTAAAGTAAAGAGTAACATAAGGATAATAAGACAAGCAGGACTAATAAGCTATTTAGTATAAAAGAATAGATATTAAGAACGCCTTTTAGTAGGTAAGCGCTTACTTTATAAATAAACTTTTACTAACACAGTTGTGTAAGCAGAGCAGCAAGAACGCTGCTAAGGAGAAGGGGTAGCGTGTTACAGTCTATAGTTAGACTAGCATAACTCTACTAGCAGTGCTCTATAATCTAGCTAGGTTAGAATAAGGCTTACTTACAGACTAATTAGAGGACATAGAGGCAGCACAGCTGCCTAAAATTACAGAAGAATGCGTTGTCTAATAAGAGAAACAGGCTGTAAGTCCTAGAAGCTAGAGAGAGCTTATAGAAGCCCCTCTTAGTAGGCTCCTCTAAACTCCTGCTAGCTCCCCTTAGCAACCCTAGCACATGTATATAGTTCTTACATTAAATAACCTTTAAAAGGTGTGTTTAATGTTTAGTTTATTCTTTACATAGACTAAGTAGCATTTAGCTTTTTAAAGAGCTATAATACTATTTATATATCTTACACTATATATACCTCTAACTCTGTCTATTAGGACTGTTTAACCTAGCCTCCTTACTGCTGCATTAAGGGTAAACCATAATCTAGTCACTCTATATCGCCCTCTATTAGCCTAATAGCCTGTACGTAGGACTGTACACCCTACTGGATTAGCCCCTACCACCCGTCCTACTTCCCCCCTAGGAATACCATAAGACCCGAGTGCTTCCTGAAGCAAGGATTGTAACATAAGTGCTTAGTTAAGGTTAACTTAGGAGGCAATAAAAAGTAGTGTTTTTAATACCCTAAGGAGCGCTAGTAATAAGAGATAATTTAAGAAAAGGAGAAATTAAAACAACCTTCTTAGATAGTATAGGGGGCCATCTAGGTGACTAGTAACAGGAGGGTAGGGCGGAGTGAATTAGTGATTATACTAAGGGACCCCTAGAGCAAGCGCGGGGGGTATTCTGCAAATTTGTACATAAAAACGCTTAAAAAAGGTCTCCTGCTAAACTACCTACTAGGGCAGATCTTTATGCAAGATAATGCGCTAATTTACAACGCCTAAGTAACTTAGATCTTTCTTAAAGAGCATAGAATTTAGACCCTAGAGTAGCCTCTGTATTTACTAGACCTTAATCCTATTAAGCACCTCTAGTAGGCTCTTAAAAAGATTGTACACAAGCTTTATTCTAAGTTTAACAAATTAGGTAATTTAGAAGAGGATTAGAACTGTTTTTGTGCTGCTTTAAAGAAGGGGTAGCAGCTAATACCTAATTTACTAATTTGTACACTTATCTAGTTAATGCTAAGGAGGGTTAAGGCTGTACAACTCGCGCATGGCTAGCAGACTTAGTATTAAATATATTTTAATTATTTACATTAAAAAAAGTATGTAATTACATATAAAATTAAATGCGCGTGGTTCTTTTTCGCGTCGCGATTTGGTGGGGAAAAAGTGATGTACACAGACTTTTGTCATGCGACTGTAAGATCCCCGCCAAAAAAAGCTAGCTGAATTGCAAACTCCAAACGAATCGGAGGACATCTTGAGAATAATTGGTCAAACTTTTACGGCTCTAAGGTTTAAACAGAACTGAAGTCCGGTGTTATATAGCGGTAGATACACGGGGATAAAATGCCCTCGCATAGTGTCTATTTCTGTTTTGAGACGTGAGTTACGCAGGGTGTAACGTGAGCTGTTAGTAAGCAACTTGAGCTGTGGCTGAGCACTCACGAGCTCGCCCTGAGCCACCGTGAGCCGGCGTGACCGTGCTTGATTCAAGCCTGAGCCCATCTGATTGTGCCTGATTTTATCCCTGAGCAGCATGAAGACGGTCTGAAATTGGGCCCCAATCAGCTCGGAGGGATATGAGGTGTCATAGACTGACTAGTCCTATTTTCGGGCCTCAGTCATCCGTGGCTTAGTACGGCTCTTCGATCCCCTGTACTTGCGGGTAGCGCGGACGGAGGGCGCGTTGGCGGCGAAGGCGCCTTTCGGGACTAGGGCGAGAGACGACAAGAGGTCATCGATGTAGAATTCGACTTCGGATTGTTTGTAATTTGGGTTTAGCGGCGCGGCGATGCTGGTCTTGTCAGAGATTTGGTCACAGCTGTTCGGGGGATAAATAGTTTACCCGCGCTGCCACGATGCGGCGAGGAAGGAGACCTGAGTAGTCGTCAGTTATAGAATCTATAAGTGGCGCCGATGAAAGCGTACAATAAACTTACAGCTGTTTAGGAGGACAATGGACACGGCAGACTCGTGGGTGATGCCAAGAGCGGCGAGCTTGCGCTGGCATTTGCGAATGTCGTTGCTTAATTGGGTGAAGGACACGGTCAGAGCTGGCTGGCCGGGCACGATGACGGCCGTTACAGATGACTGCTGCGGGAAGGAGTTTATAAGAGTAGATATTTCGAATACCTATTATCGTACAAGTCGGTGAAAGCGAGACTTTGTCCACTCTATGTAAAATGAAGAAAGAAGGACGGGAAAAATCTCCACTCGCTCAGTTACATCTTCGATTCTCTAATGTCGGAGCGTTTATCCTCGCTCGGCCGTCCAGCCAGCGAGCAGCGAGATAAAATGCGGCTCATGCACCTTATGGGGAGCTCCGAACACTATTCTGACTTGAACTAGCGTCGGAAGTTCTTTCGTGGAGGAGCCCTGGGTTGATGGTGTCAAGCTGTAGAGAAGTTTAATTCATACCCCTGTGCCTCTCAACTCTCGAATTCAGTCACGTATCGTCAAGGCAATATAAGGCGAGCTTAAGACTGCCACAGGGTTGTCATCTACTGCTCTCCTATGGAACTCCCGTCTCCCGATGATCCGCCTGAGAACTCCCCTTTCCCTTCCTTTTCTCTTCCTACGCTTAGTCTCTTCGTAGCAATTCAGCCCTTTGAGTTCCATCATGAACTAGGCCCGTTACAGTATGTGGTCTCTCTTTGTCGGCTAACGGCTGCAGCATTTTGTCTATCCGATTAGGGGCCACGGTTGGTCTGCGCACAGCCAGGGAATTACAGAGATTGCCCGAAACTTGTCTTCACGAGAGACTAGGACTGATCTCTAGCAAAATCTTTGTTCTCGTTTGCGCGTCATCTGCGTAGGTCTTCCCAGCTCCGGGCATTATTTCCTCCTTTAACGCTTCAGTAACAGACTCTTTACGGCCTGTTCCAAGAACAGGCACTCGGCCTTACGATCCTCGAATGGGACAAACTAATGGGCTCCCGCGATGACTTAAATAAGCTTGAAGAAATCGTCGACATCATTATCGAAATCCACTGTCTCCTCGAAGAATCCCGTCTCCTGAGCAACACGAATAGCGACAATAGTATCTGGCGTGCAACCGTCATGAAAGGACTTCTCTACCTGTACCACAAGCTCGAATCATGGCGCGACACCGTCCGAAAGCAACTAACAGATCTCCCCTATCGCGCCGTACCATCCCGCCTCCACAACCCCTCGGACGACAGCTACGCGGACAGACTCTTCCCCTTTGCGCTTGAGTGGGATTCGCTTAACACTGCGGCCCTTTACAACCTCTCCTAGGGCGCCCAACTACACATCCTCTCCACCCTCCTCCGCCTCAGCACGCATTTCTACCCCTCTCTAGACCCTGATGCCCGACTGGCATCACTTATAGCACATAGCAATCCTGCCTGTCCTTACGTTGAGCTCACTTCCGTGTCCTGGCTCCGCGATGAAGCGCTGAGGTTATCGCGATATCTGTGCCCGAGCATCGAGTTCTGCTATCGGACAGACATGGGAACCTACGGATCACAATCAACGGGGTACGCTCAGTGGATCCTCAAACGATTTTTCCGCATTCATGGGTATGAGCGCGAGCTAGCGTGGGCGGACAATGTCAGGAATATGAGAGGTCCTGGGTATCGCTGTTGGATTCTGTTGAGCTTGGCGAGTTGAGCCGCATCGTAGGTGGGTCACGGAATCCAGAAGGTGGGGTTTCGTCTTCCCATACCCCGATTCGTACTCGATCCGGCCCCTCTCCAATCCCACAATGCTGCTGGCATATGGACCGCGACTCAAGGCACTCTGGATCATTGTCTGCCCTAGGACAAGGTATGAGATGTTTGGACAGATTACATCCTGCATGTCCGAAAATCTATCCCACTCACCAGGAGTTCTGGTATATTAAGACTTTCCAATCTGGAGACTCGAAGATCTTGGATACTCTTGAAGTCTGAGAATCAGCCTGGGAGGGCAGACCGACAAGCGTTCGATGAGGATCGCAGAACTACGGCAGGTTGCAAAAGCAAAGAAAATCTGCACAGCCCTTTCTCGGCAATCGCCTATGGCGTCTTTGTCGACCATAGACTATCATTGGACCTCAACTGAGTTCCGCTGACGAACGCTTCGCAAAATAGAAAATGCCCAGCCTACTAATTTCTGGAAGAGGCCGCACCAACAACTCATTCACGGAAAGAAGTCAATCGAGGTCAGGTGTCTGTTCCAGCCGCCTTCAGACGAAATTCATTCTTCTGAGCAATCTGCAAGTCTGAAGCCCCCAGCTTGCTCCTGCTCCTCCCTTCAAAACACCAGGGCCATCTCCCAAAGGCTGAACCCAAATGACAATGCTTCTGCTACCAGCAAGAGCGATCCGATCGACGTCCAAAACGACATCATTTCTATACACCGCACGCTTTTAATTATATGTCTCTATGCGGAATCTCAGCCTCACGTCTTGGCTTGCTAGATATGGAGGCCTATATATGCAGTGGGTGCTTATATAAGCGCCCACTGCATATATAGGGCTCCGCGCATGATATCGTCAAAATCCTCATCGCTTCTACCTCTGCCGTTTTAATCAGTTTATGAGCGAGCAGGATCTTCTTTTTTTCTAATTTCACGCCTACCTTTGACAACCCAGAGGCCGCTCTCGTCAGACCTATCTTCTGTTGTCGATAATTTGTGTGATCGTATCCACCATGGCCCTACGTCAAGGCACACTGCAGTATGCTCAAAAGGGCCTGCTCATGCGGGCGGTCTTCGGACAGGTGTGGACAATTGCCCTGGACAAAAAGGAACAGGTTGACACACGCTTGGAAGTATTGAGCATCCTCCAGCAACTTAGTCGTGAGATTGAGTCCAAATACCAAGACTGCGGTCTAATTGCCGCCTTCAGTCCAGACCTATGGGAAGCATGGACAAATGAGCATTTCGATATCCACAGGGAAGTCCTCAATCGAAACATAAAGCTGAAGGATACAGGAGGCGATGTGCTGCTCTACGTCAAGGGACCGAGCCCTGAGCGAGTAAGGGACGTTCTGAATACTGTCAAGACCCGTATCGAAAAGATCGCCAAGAAGCACATCGCCCTCGAAGTAGGCAAACGCCGAGACTGTCGCATTCTCGGCGGTCGATACTTGGACAGCATCACGAATCCAAACGACCCGGTTAGTCTCAACGAAGACATCCTCCTCGACGAGGGACGGAACCGTGGCGGTTGCTTCGGCTTCACCCAGAATTTTGAAATCGACTGGGCAGGCATCTCTCAGCAAACTGCCGACTCCCAAGACGAGATGATCGGTCGGAACACGGACAACATGGTCATACCCCAAAACATAGCGCAGGGCCACATCCACCGTGCCAACATCTTCGACGAGAATCGCGACCAGCGAAAACTGCTCCGGCAAGCATTGTCCTACGGAAACTCCAACGCCCACCCCGGACGCGAAACGGGCATAATGTTCGTCGCCTTTTGCAATTTCCAGCCCCGCTTCGAGGAGATTCTGAAAAACTTGCTCGGCGACGACAATGGCACCCCCGTCGATCGACTGATGCAGATGGTCAAGGGCATCGGTGGCAGCTATTGGTACGTCCCTTCCGCCCGGCAGCTGAAGGTCAGTGCAGTGGCAGGCGCTAGCGATGTCTACGAGGATCCGCATTGGCAGGTCAGCAGTCCGAACGGATACATGTTCTACAACACGCAGGATTACTTGCACAAGATGGGCCAGGGAACCTACAAGGGCGGCGATCCTCCCACCCCACGCCTCTTGAGTCTGCTGTCCAGAACTTTCAACCACTGGCGCGACGGCTGGCTGCATACTCAGCGTTTTCCTCGCCTTCCGCCCCTCAGTCAATTTGAGGGGGTCTCCGAGCAAGAACTCGCAAAACGGCCGGTGGCGGTGCGCAAAGGTCAAGCGAACTATCACACGCTTGCAGATATCCTCTCCAAGCCAGACTCGAAGATAGCTGCCCAAAACAGCTTGCTACGCATCGAACCCAACGAGTTGATCGTCGGCGTCATTCCAGACTTTACCTTAGGCCGAGGAAAGGAGGTGATGCCGTACCTCGATGAAGCAGAAACTATGGCTGCGTGGCTCAAAGCCAAACTGAACGAGTGGTCCGCTATGGGTCACGTCGTTCCGGACTTTCAAACGTTAGCCACCAAAGGCCTCAGAAAGATGATCGACGAGCTCAGATCCAAACTTGGCACCTCTGATGCCAAGAGCGATCAGGCAGCGTTCTACCAGTCCACGATCTTGTCGCTGAAGGGTGTGCAAAAATACATGCTCAACTGGGCCGAGATTGCTCTAAAGGCTGCGAAGAGGCGGCCTGCGGACAGCGCAAACATGAAGGAGATAGCAGCTCGTCTGAGGCGCTTGGAGACAGAACCGCCCCGAAGCTTTCAGGACGCCGTTCAGCTGATCTTTTCCTTCCACTGCTGCCTGCACTTGGTCGGCGAGCTGACATCTCTCGGCCGCCTCGACCAGATTCTATGGCCGTTCCTGGAAAAGGACTATAAGGACGGCAAGATCAAGCCCGAGCGAGCGCAAGAAATTATCGATTGCTTGTTCCTCAAGATTGGTGAGAATGCGTTTGTCGACCGTTCTAAGATCTACGACTACAGCACATACGGCACGACGTCAGTCAACGGCGTCGGGGGCAACTTTTCCCAGGGCGGCGGCATCAACCAGTGGGTGCAGCAGATCACCGTCGGGGGTTACAAGGCAACGGACGACGATGTGCCGCAAGGAGGCGCGAACGAGGTGACCATGCTGTGCCTCAAGGCCGCCCGTCGCATCCCCGTCAATGCACCCACCCTTTCTCTACGCGTCTACAAGGGCATGCCATCCAAATATCTCGACGAGGCTGCCAAAGCGATATTGTCGGGCGGCGCTCAGCCCATCATGTACAACGACGACAAGCTCTGCGAGGGACTATTCCAGTCTGGACAGACGCCCAAGACGGTCAGTCGGGCTTGGTCTCGCGATTATGCGGCCGACGGATGCTACGAGCCCATGTTCGCCGGTGCGTCAGAGTTCACCTTCAGCAACATCGACCCCATGCTGGCTCTCGAGCAGACTATCAACCAGGGAGCCACTTACGGAGCAGCTGGATCGGAATACCTGCGTGGCCTGAAGCAGACGTTCCGCTCCCCATCTGCGGCCAAAATCAAGACTTTCGAAACCTTGAAAGCTATCTTTTTTGATCAGATTCGTTGGCTGACCGTCTCATTCTATTATACCCTGCTTGGACAGTATGGCAATCTAGCGACCGTCTGTCCAAGCCCCCTCCTGTCGACTTTGATCAAGGGCTGCATAGAGAAGGGACGTGACCACACGAACGGTGGGCCCAAGTTCCACATCATCGCGCCGCTCTGCGTTGGCATGTCGAATACCATAGACTCGCTGTATGCAATCAAGAAGCTGGTGTACGACCACGACAGCGCCATGGTGACGCTGCCGGAGCTGGTCAACTGCCTGGTCAACGACTGGGGATACAACATGCAGGAGCCCTTCCAGGACCAGCAAACGCTAGACATCGCCGACTCTGCCGAGCGGGGTCTCCGCTTTCAGGAGCTTCGCTTGATCGCACTGGCGCTACCCAAATGGGGCAGTGGCAACAGCGAAGTCAACGCGCTTGGCGAGGAGGTCATGACCAAGATCGTGAAGATCTGCAACGAGGTCATCAAGGAGCCGCACCCGGCTGTCAAGGGCGCCATACAGGCCTTGCGCGACAAGTGCGGCAAGGATTTCGAGTTCGTGGTCACGCCGGGCATCGGCACCTTCGAGGGTTACGTGGGAGACGGCATCCCGTACGGCGCGTCGGCTGACGGGCGGCGCAACGGCATGCCGATCGCATCGGACCTGTCGCCCGTGCCGGCACCGCAGGACCTGCCCCCCAACCCGGCCTTCCGCAACATCTATCAGTCGATGCGCAGCGTCAAGAACGATGCGGCAGAGTACGGCATGTCCAACGCCTCGCCTGTCGACATGAACATCACCGAGGACTTCCCCGAGGACGAGCTCAAGGCCTTTGTCAGGAAGTACGCCGACGGCGAGGTCGGTGGGAACCTCATCACCTTGACGTGCGCAGACCTCAAGACCTATCAGGCTGCCACCAAGAACCCGGAAAAGTACAGCCTCGTCAGGGTGCGCATGGGCGGCTGGACCGAGTTCTACGCCACCATGTTCGAGGCCCACCAGAACCAGCACCAGCGCAGGCAGTACTTCACCCCGGACGATCCGAGTGTGAAGGGCATCGCGAATGGCGTGCACAAGCTGGACGTGGTCGACGGGACTGATGGAGGCTACTCTCGCCGCTACACTGGCATCGGAATTTAGGTCACTCTCATTTTTCACGAGTAAAATGTCTGACACGAATTTAACAATTGAACGTAAGATCATACTGTGTACTGAAGTAGGCAATACATTGATCACAATGCGTCTGAAGGCACTCAGTTGCACATTTAACACGGTTCGTAAGATGTCTGGGAAAGGTGTTCACTTACATCATCAGTCGTAATCCCGAAAGGTGGGCAACGGATGGACCTGAGTTCACGAACTTACAAACGGGCCCAAAGCTCGATGATCACAACAGACCGTGTCGTCAGGCGTGACGGCTCTTTAAAGTGCGACACTTATTCCCCTCATCACGACGAGAGATCGCGAATTCCCGTCTATACAATTTGTTCCGCGGTCTTATGTGGTCACACGAACCCAGCATTTCCGATGTTAAGCTTGGCATAGCCCAGGGGCGAGATATGTCCTCGTTGCTTGGCTCGCCCAGCTGAAGCCTGCAGCCGCCCGCAATGAATGGAGATACCGCATGGCCGGACAGCCGTATGACCCGGCCACTTGCAACGTCAGCGAGGTAAAAGCAAAAACGTCGCAGCACCAGGAACCGATCTGAGTGTTCTGGACTAGGCTACTCACAACCACAACCATCCTACAAGTGTCAGACCAAGTGCCCCCGACTCACCATCAAAACCGTGGGCATCGCCCTCAAGACCCTCGAGACAGTTGTCAACATCATCTGCATCTCAATAGTGTGTTGCTGCTAGGCCATTACACTCTCTCCGCCCCGCATCTAAATCCCAGAACACGCCGACGTCTAATCCGACATCTAATAATAACATACCGTAGCTGCGATGACCATAGAAAGTGACGGCCCGCCCAACCACGAACTCACGGGAGAGGGGCCCGCGAACAAGGAACGAAAAAAGAGACAGAAAGATGTCACTAAGAGCCAATTGGTAGCGATACGTGCTCAAAGGAGGTGAGAGGAGAGGAGTTGATTGAGGTGCATGAGGTCTGACAGAGAGGCCTGGGGGAGGCTCTCATATATACCCACAGAGTGGAGATAAAGTGGAGAATGACTCTGGGAGGAGTCTCGTGATCTGCCCAGTAACAAAAGAGCGCGAGGCGTCGATGTTGAAGTTGGCTAAGATACAGGATTATCGTTACGACGTTTGTGTGGGAAATCGTCGACGATGAGAGATCTTTCTCTGGCATTCGAAATGGCGTGATAGAGATGGAAGATGTAACGTATAGGCTGAAAGGATTCTACATCCGAGCCTGCGGCTACTCCTACGAGGGTCAACGAGTCTGTTACCGCGGTATACCTCCAGCAGGAAGCTTCGGTGAAGTGCGGCTTTTTCTCGAAGGCTAAATAAAAATAAACTAAGAGAAAAGATATCGCTATATAGCGCATCTTGTTAGATTACTAGCCTACGGACTAGCCTTGTCTAGACCTTATAAGATGGAGCACTTGTTAAGACGCCGACGTGAATATATATTAACTTAAGTTGTAGCCTACGGTCTTGGCTACCCTATTGAGCGCCTCAAATAAGGGTGTCTATCGACTGAGTCTTTTCACCACACCACCCAAGAGATCTCGGACCAGATGATCATGGGTAGCGTGGATAGGGTGAAGGACAACCCCTGCCTTTCCTTTACGTATTTTCTTTAGTTAAAACATTAGTTATTTTTTTTAGTTTAGCATCCTCTGCGCCTATGCAGCACTTCTATACTAAGCGCGAATTCTCTTGCCAAAGACCCAAAACGGCAACGCGGAGCCCGAGATAATCAAAGTCGCCCACGCAAGTGTTCCTAAGACAATTATAGGACCGGTAGTCTGGATCCACCTGACGAGGGGTCTAAGAATAGTAGACAGAGCTCCGGCGGCGACTAGGCTGATTAAGAACACCTGGGCTGAATGTTGGGGATAGCAGTCGAGAACGTAGGCGGTAGAGGCCTAGTAGCTAGTAGACGCACTAGTGTTAATTAGTATTGTTCAAACGATAATCTAGATGAGGGGAAGGTGTTAATTTAGAGCGGCGCCCAGGCCGAAAAGACCGTCTATGAGAATGGGGATTGTGAGAAGTAGGGGCGCAAGACGGTACTCGGGTTCGGCTATTCCTGTGACGGGTATGGCCCTTAAGCACTCAGATTCAGAGGTGGGAAGGCACGATAGTTGCCCGGAGGCGGGAAAGCGATTGTATTCCTAAGTGGGGAACTAATCGCTGTCTCACGAGAGACAGCGAGGTGGGAATCTATTAAACCCGGAGAAACGCCAAGGTCTTGCTGGCCCGAAGCCGGCAAGCCTATCGGCAACCCAAATGCCCTACAATTGGTCGGGGTCGGCTGCGGGCTCCTTAAGAGCTCGCAGCGGTTTTGTTGCTGCGCGCAAGACGTGCTTGTTGACTATTGGTTGAGCAAGTAAGGCACGGCTTCGCTGAGGCCTCGCGCACGCCATTGGCCGAGCGCGAGCCTGCTTGCCCTTGTCCCGAGGCAATTCCGCACCCCGAGGACTTCACCCTTACAATTCCCTTTATAGTGCTGTTGTGATTCGCTATGAACGAGACTGTGGTGTCTAACAGCTATCCGAAGAACGGGCTAGTGAGGAGACTCGTAGTGAACAGTAGTAAAGTGGTTAAACCGATTACGGTGGGGCTAAGGTTATACGGTAGTGTAGACAAGATGATTAATAGGAAGGTTAGTAGGGCGGATAGTAGGAGTAGTATCATAGTATTAAGGAAGCTAGCGTAGAAGATAATAGGCGAAGTAATGACTTTAATAGGCTTGGTAAATTCTTTAAAGAACGACTTGCCCGTAAGCCGACCGTTTAATAGGGCTAGCTTCTATACAAGGCTCTTCAGAGGAGGAGAAGGAAGTGACTTCTAGGGGTAATTATTATCCCGCTTAGCAACGATCGTAGTATCCGCTTCCTCCGACCTAAGCTGAAAGCTGACTTGTGATGGGCTGACTACGCCTGGCCCTTGGTTAGCTGCCAGTTGGCCGCAAGTTGTCGCCAGTTGGCCGTAAGTTGTCGCCAGCCGACCGCAAGTCGTCACCAACTGGCCGCCAGGTTGCCGTCAGCCGCAAGTCGTCGCCAGTTGGCCGCCAACTCGCTGGCAAGACAGTGGCCGGCAAGTAGAGCAAACTGGCGCGCGCCAGTTTGCCCCCTTGCGACCACAAGCACACGGTCACGTGAACACGCATCCGGCCGCTAGCTCGGGCCATGCCCGCAGGGTTTTCCTACGCGAGCAAGCTCGCGTCCTCTCTTCTCTTCCTTTTCTCCTTAGCTTAGTCTCTTCGTAGCAATACAGCCCTTTGAGTTCGCATCATGAACTAGGCCCCTTACACCGTCTGCCCTAGATATCGGCTCTAGCGATAATAAGTAAGGCTGCCGCTGCGTTAAAGAAGATCGGTGCTGTTAGAATCTAGGTGGAAACAGCCGCGTCGGTACTGTGCAACTTCATCGTGAGGGACTCTAGGCTAGGTGTAAGCATCGTCGTGCTACTGTGGTAATTAGCAGGAAGAAAGCCCATTTAGCATAGAGATGGGCAACTTACGCGTTGACAAGACCGGACCCGAATGCGAGAACGAGCAAATGAATGGACTAACTAGTTAAGCGGATCATTTGGGCTATTACTAGGCTGGGGCTAGAGGACGACCGTCCCCCGGCTATTTGTCTTCAGGTTAGCTGTCTCCGGATTCAAGTCATCGGTCTTATCGTTGCCTCCGACCCTATTCGCGCCGGGCGGGAATTGCGTCCGACTGCTTTCGAGAATTGCCTATCCCATTCCGGCCAATCTTGAAGTCTTGAAGGTCTACCTAGGTATCGAGAGGTCTGTCCATAAGGGTTTTAAGCACAGCTCAATCAGCTTGCTTCCGTATCGACAGGGACGTGCAGTGAGAGGTCTGTCGAGGTAAGGTCGTAATACAGCTCTATCAGTAGAGCTACTATTCAACGACAGTTTCAACGGCCAGGAGCAGGGACGTGCAACGAGAGGTCTGCTTAAGAAAAGGATGACGAGCTTAGTTATAATGTAAGGGAGCAGCGCTTTTACACCGAGAGTTATCTGTCCCGAGCGAAGCGCTTGAATTGAAAAATATAACTAAGCTAATGAAGAAGAAGAATTTGGATACGCGCGCTCGCTCCTTAGCGGTAAGGTGTGCCGTCGGCACCTTACTCCACCCGAGGATTAGCCGAGGCATCGCCTTGGCCGAAGACACGGAGCTCAGCCCGTGACAGCGCCAACATAGGAACTAAGACGTGAACTAGAGAATACAGCCGCCCTAGAGTATTTTAAATAGGTAAAGGAAGAGAGAGAGAGAGCGAGGAGGGAGGGTAATATTACGGGCTGAGCCCGAACGATAACTAAGGCTAACCCTTAGTAGGGTTGCGTTGAAGTCGCGTACACAGTACAGCCTAGTGGACAGCGAAATCCCAATCTAGTCAAACGACTAGACTGAAACGCACGGACCCCGGCTAGACTTCGGCAGCCGGCTAAACGTCGGCATTACGTGCGGACCTGACTTTGAATCACTGCCTTTAGCTAGAGCAACTTTCTTTCTTTAGATTAGCTATATTCTTTCAATCAAGCAACTTGCTCGGACAGACAACTATCGGCGCGATAGCTCTGCTCCCTCACAGTTCGATTAAACTTAAAGAAAGAGAATAAAGGGACACAGAGAATAAGAAGACCGGTTTGATATTGAAAAACCGCATCAACTAAAGATTCTAGAGGGAAGGGGAGACTGGATTTCCTTGCTTAACATAAAATAAGTGACACGGAGAGGACACCCTTATACATATGATCCAACCACCCTCATCCCATCCAGACAGCTATACGTAAGGGGCCTTATCCTATTGCATCAGCAAGCCACCGGCGGTAGATCGCCTCTAGCCGCTCTATAAAGGGGATCCCGAAACTGGGACCCTCAACAGGGTCGCGTCGACTTGACATTTTTCTCATCGCATACTGCGTGGCTGCTTAGATGACGAGGGGCCCAGAACCGGGACCGCGAGTGTGAGACTGAGCGGCAGCATAAGCAGCCTAAGGCAGCCAGATTCGAGCGTGAGCGACCATGATTGAGTTTGAGGTGACTGTGAGTAAGCGTGAGTTGAGGCGGTGCAATCGTGAGCGTATTGAGCCGAGGTTGAGCCGAGTAAGATTTTACTGAGTCAACGTGGCTGTATCGACGACCCGAGTTGGGACGTAGGTGCGGGCACTTTGTACCCAGTAGTAGCGGATTAAGTCTAGGTTGAACGTTCTCATCACCCTGTTTCTCTGCATTTTCGAATAAATTCCTCTAAGCTTGTCAGCGCCATCCATCTTACATGCTATGTTGACATACCAATTCTCAAATGGCTTCTCACCGACCTTTAGTGTTTGAGGTGATACTTCGTGTCGGGCATATAGGTAGTGTTCCTAATCGACAGATGGCAGATAGCTCACCTACAGGTACAATGGGTAAACTTTGAGCTTACTTTATGGAACAGTCTATATAACACTTGTCAAATATGCCCTTCCACACCTAAGAGAACTCATATATTAACTTATGGCACCTTAACATTCTTCAATATAGTTGCTAATGCTGCCCGCAGCTTTCTGGTATCCTAGTACTACAGTCCCTTTGTGTACCATACTGCCTCATTGGGTTGTTTATTAACTTAATTAGGCATTTCTTAGAGCCTCAGGCGCTGCACGTAGGCCCCTAAAATCTGAAAGTGGGGCACTGTTGTATTGGTAGTGAAGTTCGAGGCCTTAGAGAATGTAGACAATGTTCCGGTTCATGCCCATCTTTCTGCTAACGTTCTGACCGTCTCCTGAGCTACGATCGTCCGCACCCTTATTCCTGTTCTCATGCCGCCTGAAGGACGCCTGAACAACTTCATCTGTTTCACTGTCAGATGGCTCCTCATCAAATGCATCTGCTGGGACTTCTATAATATCATCATCATGGGCACTAGTTTCGTTTGCTTCTCTCTTGTCCACTTGTGGGATGCTTTTCAGCGACAAACAACACGTCCAGCAGGTTTGGTCCGGGGTCATTATACGCGTCTCATGGCCTTGTTGAATTGACAGTGCGGCAGCGGCAAGTCTAGCCTGCCAATTACCTCTTGCGCGGACGACACTGACTTCCGGTGGACCGTCAAGTAGCTCTTCCCAGCTATCGATAGATACAAGCTTGCAGAGTTCTTCTCGGGGTAACGGGTTTTCATGACGCTTGGTACACATCGGCATGATCCGGGAGAAGCGGTGCTTGAAAACGTCGAGGATGTTGAGGTCCGCTACCCATTTGCCGCGATCGTACACTCCGACAGCTGCTTCAAGGTAGTAGGCTTCGACGTCTCGATTTCCTCTCGACCCAACATCCATTGGGAGTTGCCATTCTGTGAAGGAAAGGTGGAGAGTAGTAGAGCCGAAGCAGTCCTCCTCGTTCCCATCGAAGGGATGATGGTTGACCAGTCGAACATTGTCGGAAATCGGACGCACCTGCGGCACTTCCGGGGATACCAACATGACCATCCCAGTCTTGCCTAGATTTCCGACAACACGCTCAATAGCTCTGGAAGCTCGATGCGCACATGGATCTTCGAGCAAGCATCTTGCAACATAAATCGAATTTCCACTTGATATTGCTAGAACACCGTTCATAGCTGAAGGATGGAAATTGAAATTACCGGACTCAAACCTAGCAATACACGCAAGGGATTGCTCGCGGGTGAGTGGGTAAGTTCCGAAAGGCTCAGTACGTAGGCTCTGTGAGCCTCGAGGGATCCACTGGTGCTTAGAAAGTGGACGATCGGCAACCCTAAGATCGACGGTTGCGTTGGTGAGACCCTTGTAGAGTTTGGAAACGGTAACTAGGCCTCTCAAAGCTGTCAACACTGGTCGCTCATCTTCGTCTAGGAGGTCATTTGTCGTATATCTCCCTTCCGAAAGATGTGCATAGAGAGCCTCTCTAGAAGGCAGTGCCGCCTTGCTAGGAAGCTTCTCTTCCAGCGCCCACAGTATATGTCGAAGAATGCAAATGTTCGGAAGAGGTCGATACTGGGATCGACTTACGACTTGTGGTCGGTCGTTTGGCGAAATGGATGTCCAGTATCTGATGTTAATGCAGTACAACGCCGCAACATCGGGGTCTCCAAAAGCTAGAAGGCTCTGAACACTTGCATCTTTAGCATCCTGCCAACCAATATCGGCACATTCTTCTTCGAGTATCTTCCCATAAAAAGATCGGGGAGCATGTTGCCAATGAGACCCGTGCGGCGCCCAAAATGACGGAATAGGAACATCAAGCCGAATTGAATCTGAATCCGGCTGGTGTTCGAAATGGGAATAATCTACGTGGAACTTACTCAACCATCGAAAGTACCTTCGTGGGGCGTCCGCCCCGACCGAGCTAGATTCATCCTCCCATATTCTCTTCGTTCTGCTGCGCAACCTTTCCACCGAGGAGAGCTCCCATTTCGAGTTAGAATCCCCAGACCTGCACTGGATAATCATTAAAAAGCGGCGATCGCTGAAATCCTCAGCGACTTTCCGTAAAAAGTTCACCCGCGCCGCGTTTCCAGGTAGTAATTTCAGGAAGACACTAGGATGAGATAGACCGAAAATAGCATCTGTCCTGGGATCGTCAATGAACGTCGGGAATCTTCTTCGGCCACATTTGATAAGTTGCAGTATTTCAGCTTTGATGTTGAGCGAAGCATCGAGGAAGGATTTTGCTTCAGATGCCATCAAGGATAGCCAGGTCCCCTCTCCTCCCATATGTTCCGGGATGTCAAGGAATCCATCGAGGCGCACAAGAAGTTTCAGTGCGAGCTCTATGTCATCTTCGCTAGCGCACCATCGACGAATCAAGCTCCCGAGAGCCACATGGACTAAATCATCGATAGAACCCCTCGCCGTTTGTAAAGACAACTGTGCCTCAGTCTGGATTGGCTGTCCATAGTATCGAAGATGGGCTAATGGGAGAGACCAGTAGATGCCATCACCTGACCGCCTCGTGTCCTGGATTCCGAGTGTGATGATACCACTAGGTTGTACAAGTAGATCGTTTTGAAATATCTCTGTAGGCTTAGGCTCTTTACCTTGCCCAAAGACTACCATATTTGGGTACAAGTGCCAAGAGGCAAGTCCAACCAGGGGTGCACCAGTTTGGATGCTTTGAGGATGTCCTGCGATCAGTTTATCGACCGTGACCATTGATGTCCTCCAAGCATCCAGTACACTGTCGCTAACATGCAGCTTGTTGTTGACAGGAATTCCCAGATTCTTAGTGATCACAAGAAATTGATGATGCCGACGTGCATTCGCTTGGTCAGCTGTGAGTCTCCATGCGTGAGCGCTCGTGTGCCAACTTGCGACTTGTTCTCGCGTTAAGCAGATGTTGCTCGATATAGCATACTCCACTGGATTTCCTGATGTTGCCATAGCCTGCTTGCGTTCAGCTATCAATTGCATCCAAATCGAGATAGCTGCGGGTGGATCCCACATCCGTGAGAGCATGCACGCAAGGAGATGCACAGCGATTGCAGAGGGGCTCGAAGTTGCGGCCGCCCATATTGCAGTGCCGTCTGCACCGACTTCGTTTGCAAAGAGGCCATGCTGGGCAGTGCCTTTCGGGTTGAAGGTGGGAGACTTGGCAACTTCGCTACATCGCAAGCCGTAAGCTCGAATAAGATCTGGTACTTTGGGGACCAGGCCCTCAAAAAGCAAGCCAAGCTGGGCGGCTGTGAGGTGGGACTGGCCCTCGTCGGCCTCAGTCTTGCGTCGTGGTGACAGGAGCCGTCCAATATCACGATATTCGCTCGGTGCTTGCACTTTTATAAGTGAAAAGTCGATGTGGAATCCTGCCAGCGCTACATGAGACTCAGCAGTGGGAGAGATAATCGAAGCTCTTATCTGGGGGAGATTCATGATGGGAAAGACAGAAACGCAATCCCAAACGTGTTCAAGGCAACAGTTTGTGCCTCAGCATTATTATAGCGGTGGGGAAAAGGCGCAAGGCAACGAGGCTGAGGGAGTTGTGTGTTAATATTAGCCGTTATTGGTTCAAGATCTGTCAAGGCTGAATGAGGGTAGCCTTCGGAGTGGCTATGCTAACTCCAGAGAGCATGGGCAAGCGGAGCAGCCACTGCGACAAAAGCAACGAGAAACGTATGATAGCATCGAGCGGAGTGTCAGCGTTTGTAGTTGGGCGACGATGAATATTAGAGAGGACCTGGAGGTGTGGTCATGACCTTGGCGAATTTCGCCGAGAGGTCTCTGCCGAAGCTCAGCGTGCCGACCACGGTATCAGCCAATGTTCGAAGCAACTGACCGTCCTACATCATATGCAAAGTTGGGGCACATCTTCTAAATGGTAAAGCTCGAGCTGCGATGGCGTTGGACCTTAGGAAGCTGGCGTGTCCAGGGGTGGAAGGAGGCTGACGATAGAAGACTGGCATGGCGGTGCTATGCAAGGCTAGGTGAAGCTGAGTGAGCAGATGGTGGTCATAGATATTTCAATACCCCGGAAGGGCCAGAAGAGTGGATCTCGGGCCGGTCGACGCAGAGAAAAAGTGTCGCGTCCGAGAACATCATCAATGGTCACGCGCGCGCAGTTCATCGACCATGCTTTCAGAAGATAGGTCATGGGCGGAGCGAAAAAGTCTCACACTTTACAAACGAAATGCTCAGACAGTCACTTTGGGAGATGTCGCGCATCCGTGCTAGAGGCAAGGGAATGCTCGAATTGGATATCACAAACCATCCATCGTTATCATCACTACATTCTCCTAGCACCCCCAGTAGCCCAAAACCCTTCTCTCAACCTACCTGTCCCTGTTCAACACATCATCAAAAGCTCTCGGACTCACACTGACCGCCCTCTCTTGCCACCCCGGCTCAATGTGAACAAGATTTTATCAACCCGAATACTTTCCCAACACAAGATTATCCACAGAAAGCCATGTACTGTGACTGAAGATGGCCCTATTGCGAGACCGATTCGATAAGATCGTATGACTCAGAGCCTAGAGAAAGGGTTTACGGCCTTCCGGAAGATCACCTGACCATGTAGTATTTACAAGGAAATATGCAGATCTAACAAGAGAATGAGACAGAAGAGGGTATCTTAAGGTTCAAGTCAGAGTAGAGAGATAACTTATCTAAACGCGACAAGAAGTGAATATGATAGTAAAGCCAAGGGTAGGGGAAGAAAAATAGCAGATGTTGCTGCAGTAACAGCTGTTAGAATTAAACCAAGTCGCAATGAAAATGGTAGTGAGGATGAAGAGAACGAGAGTCTTAGGAGATGAAAGGAGTGGTAGAGGTATTATAGATATTCAAGTCCAGGTGCTCTTGTTCATTACACTTTCCCTCTCCATATACTGCGAGATAATTTCCACTTGTAGCGCACGTGAACCTAGGTCAGTCTGGTACACTATCGGAGGCTGTATAGATACACAGTCCTATCACCTATACCCTGTATACCCAATGCCTGTTTACTAAACCATTCGTTACCCACGTAAACCCCCTCATTCTGTCCCTCTGGCTACCAAGTCCCCTAAGCAACATAACTGTACCCCCCATCCTCCTCCCTCTCCAAAAACTCCTTCTCAATCAACCTATCAATATTCCTCTTAATCCCCCCCACATCCAAAGTGCCCCTGCTCCTCGTAACCCGAATTGTCTCCGCCACCAACTCACTATGGTTAATCTTCTTCCTCGCCTTCAGGATCCTCACAATCGCCGCCTGGGTCTCGTAATTCCGATCCGCGGCGACGCGCTCATGCGTTTCCTTATTCTCGGCCAAAGTTTCCTTGAGCTGCACCGTGTTGATTTTGATGCGGTATTTGGGGTCCGAGAAGGAGGCGTTGAGAGTGAATGTGTCGGTTGGGGAGATATCGCGGGATTTTGGGTGTTTGGTTAGGGGACGCAGTTTGGCACAAGCGAGGGATTGGAGGGTGCGGCTTAGTTCTGCGGGTGCTAGTGGGGAGTAGGTCAGTAGCTGTTTTTGGGAGGAAGGCCAGGGAGGTAGTGTGAAGTGACGTGACTTACGCAGTCCAGTAGCTTCCTTCAGAGTATTGTAATCCACATGTTCGTCCTCCGCCAACCCATTGAATAGCAGGAGAACAATAGCCTGAAAACTCGAAACCACCAACTCCTTATTGCCTCGCGGGAACTTCGCCTTGATCTGACAGTGCGCTAGCGCATGTTTCCAATCCAGCTTCCGGCCGGAGTGCTTCGACTTGTAGTGAGTTTCGAACTTATCAATAGCGGATTTGATTTGCGTGGGAATTATGACTGGGACGTCTGGATATGTAGGCCAGGCCGCAGCGGAAAGAATGTTGACGTTGAGATCAAGTGGTAGTTTTTGGTTCCGCTCCTCGAGGATCATTTTGTAGGATGTCATTTCCTCTCGCCCGAGCTCGATGTCTTTGAACATTTGCTCGAGGTTTGCTGTAAAGCCGGCGCCGCATTCTATTATACCACATTAGCATCGCATCATATTGCACCGCACAGTGAAAAATATCATCCAGTATGAGTGTGTGCTCACCGGTCTTCAGCCTTGCCAGCATACTCCTCTCGGCATCCGCGCTAGCACTCCGTCCCATAAGTAATCTCCGGGCGAGATCTTTCTTATAAAACGCCTCAAACACCGCTTTTCCATGCACGAATCGGAACAAGTCCAGAACTTGGTCAAGCTGATTATTGACTTCCGTATCCTCGTCAAATACCACATCCTCATTATCCTCTTCCTCCGCCACAGCGAGCTGCTTCTCCGTTCGACTAAGTTGTGCGGGAATAGCTTTGGCGCCGCCTCTTAATAGCACATCGACGTACTTAGCAATCATCTCTCCCGGTTTCGAGTTATCAGTGTTCCATGTCGTGCTTGTTTTCTTTGTTTTGTTCATGAATGTTTCGAATGCTTCTCGCAAGCCGTGGCCGAGCTCAGCGTTGCGGTGGAAAGATAGTTTCCAGATAGTGTCGAGTTGGCGCTTGAGGCAGAGGAGTTTGACTACCATGTTGTCCTGCTCTTTTTCATCGAACACGATAGCGGTGCCTGTGTCTTCTATCCACTTCATAAATGCAAGGCGGATATTGGCGCCAAGCCGCCGACGTTCGAGTAATGAGTATAGAGCTCCGAGGTCATTGACAGCATTGTCTTCAAGAAGACCCGCAAGATCGTCTTGATTGATGAGACGTGATTCTTTGCTCGAGATCAGTCGATCCTCAAGAAGGGTGAGAAGGTCCCGTCGAGTGGAACTATCCAGCCCGAAGACCTCGACTCTCTCCATTTCGGCCTTCATGAGCGCCTTCGCAGCCTTGACATAATCGGCTAGGCCGTTCTCCGTACTTATCCTATCGGCCCAGTCCACGACATAGTCCTGGCTAAGCTTGAGCATTCGCGGCTCAAGGTATGTAGTATAGACCTGCATCTCGTGGAACATTTTGATAGCATCCGAAAACATCTGCCGATCCATATGCTCCCCGGCGCGATCAACAGCAATCAAATCACAGGCACCATCAACAATTTTCGAATTAAGCTTCGGTTGTTCGAAGATGAGCTTGCGGAAGAGGTCAACGGCGATTTCGTGCAACGACTGCTGCTTCGGGAGGAGATATGCGCGGTCCATATAGCAAAAGATCCAATGGAGGTATTTCTGCATCCGTTAGCCCACCACTTTTCTCAATCGAAAGCATTTTCCACACTAACCAGCTGCTCGCCCCAAGTGGCCCACGCCTGCAGTGCTCCTCTTAGAATATCAACATTCTTCCTCCCCACGATCTCTTTGACCTTCTTCTTCAAAGCACCTCCCACATAGCCCTCACACTTCTGTACCAACCTCTCGCACACCTCACCAGCCATACCCTGCCGACACAGATTCTCAACCCCACGATACAGCTCCTCCAAACTAAACGCAATCTCCTCCCGCGAAAACACAATATCCAGCGCCTTATCTACCTTCCCCCAGACCTGATCAAAAAAATCTTTCGGATCGACCTTCCTCGCCGGCTTGAAATTCTTGACTAGCATACGCTTAGGTCCCGATCCATGGGCATGCATATTTGGCGTAGCCTTCCTAATCCCATTCTTCGGCATTGACGGACGCTTCGACGGGCTATTCTCCGGGCTCGAATTAATTTCCACCACCTCTTTACCGCCCCGCCCACCTGCATCCACCCTCTTCGAGCTCGGGAAATGATACATATCTGCCGCACTCATCGCCAAGGACGCCTCTACAATCCCAGCCCCCGTAGCAGTTTCCTTATCCTTGGAGCCGGAAGTGTTGTCAAACTTGCCGCGTTTGCTGCTCGGCGAGAGCGGAGCCGCCGACGTGTTCGGTTTGTGTTGCGCGGTGAAGAGCTCGTGGATGGTGTGGGAAGAGTGCTTTCGTTTTCGGTCCGCCGGATTCGCCGACATTGGCGGGCTGGGTTGGCTGCAGCGGGGAAATAGACGGCCCCGCGGTGAGAGTTGAGGTTGGAAAAAGTCCTGTGTGGGTAATGGGTAATGGCAGAGGTCCAGGATGACGCGACTAGCGTGGGCCCGTTTAGGCGTGGCTTCGGCGCGTTGTGCTAGCTGGAAGTAACAACTAATCGTGACACAAGTGATGCAGATGTTGAGTTTGATGGAGAAGCAATATGCTGTCTTTCCTTTTGTCGTGGTGAAGATTTTGTCTTGCCGGTTGGCAGAAAAAAGACCTGCTTCGTTCAGCCTTGCCAAAGCCGCCCACACATGCTGTCATCGGATTTACTCGATGATACGGCCTAGGCATACAGCGACATTCCTTGTTTTAGATCCCGTCCATTCCTTAGCACTTGATTCATACCATAAATTCATGACCTGTCATTTTTATATACATCCTTCTTCAGAGGAGAGCAGCGTTATCCTTCCTATCAAGGTATCATCCCAACCCCCAACACCCCGACCCCAACTCAATCCTCCCGCCTCCAAAACGCCACAGTCTAATCCAACCGAGACGCCAGTCAATCGTGAATTGCCAGGTGCATTGTCTGTCTGTTTTCTGTCTTCCCCCATTCGCTATTCATAGGATTCCTAGAACAGACTCCAGCCTCCCTTCCGCCTTTCCTTCCCCTCGTCTCTCCTCACTGAATACCTCTTCTCTCTCGCTTCTAACTGCCTCAGACTTTGCATCTCCTTCAACACATGCTCGAGCAGATCTTTCCGCCGCACAACTTCGAGATGGCGCCGGATCTTGGGGTCCTCGCGGGCGAAGCGCTCGACTTCGTTTTGGGAGAGAGAACGGCCTAGACGGGCATCTAGTTCTCTTGGGAACTATTGATTTCTTGAGAACCACGTACAAAAGAATGGGTGTGGAAGTTGGAGGGAGGATTGTGCTTACAATGTAGTAAAATTTCGACAGGAGTTCAGCATCGAGGAAAAGATCCGCCGTCGTGGTAAGTTTGTCTGCGACCGCGTCCAAAAAGACTTCCGGACAGTGGTATTTGTTCTTCTTGTTCATGCACTGTTTTGACTTTACAGCTAGGAGCCGCATCTTTAGTACGTCAACCCGATCACGGAGGAATACTGCTTCTCGACCTACGTCTTGTCAATATATCGTGTTTCCCCCAATAGGAAACATACCTTTCTGCAAAAGAGCAGCACTGAATCCCCCTGCACCACCAATGCCATCGCCCTCAAGCACGACGTGACCGCTTCTCACACGATCAATGAACGCCATAACATCCCTAACCTTCTTGCGGCCGCCCATCTGCTCCTCCATCTTCTTAACCGCCGCTTCGCAGACCTTCAATTCTTCTCTTAGAGCATTCATCACATTCTCGCGTCCTTTGGCCCACTCATGATCTTCAACCTCGATCCTGTACTTGTACGGCTTTATACAAATCTCTAGCTCATCCGAGATGTCGTATGAGAGATCTTTCAGAATGGATGTTGAAGCCTCAGTGATAGCCTGGCGTGCAAAAGGATGTGCCGAAAACCTTGAAGTCGATATCAAATGATCAATATGTGCTTGGAGAGCGTCAGCTACGACACTTGTAGCAATCCTTCCAACTCCCAGTTTCGTCAACGCTGCGCTTGAGTTGTCCAATTTGATCTGCCAGATCGAATTTTCGCCTTCCGGGTCGGCCTTCATGAGACTGCTCAGGGGGTCGACCTCCGGCAGCGGAACGCTCAGATCTTCAAACGGCCGGTTCCAGTATCTTTGTGCCAAAAGATTCAGAACTTGCTGATCCAGTTCATGCTTCAGCAGCTCGCGAACTTGCTGGCGACCGAACTGCTCAGAGAAACCACGGAAAGAGTGCTTGAATGCATCCAGAGATTCCGCAAGGTAAGACTCCGCGCTGATGGGCCGCTCGTTGTATTGCACCTTGTACTCGTAAGTGGCTTCAGCGAGTTCGCGCGATATAGCCTCGCTAGTAGTCTTAAGGCTAGCAGCCATGGTCTGCTCAAGTACATGCATGAGAGTCTTTCGCAAATTCTTCGTCCCGACATTTAGACGTGAATCAGGACCAAACTCTGCATGTGAGGAGAAATAAGCGTTCTCGTTCTTAGCGATAGCAGCGGTGATGTTCCCACTCCCTCGATTGAATAATTTTGGACCGGACGTGGTGGAGGGGACCCGGCAAACGACTCCCACATAGCCTAGTCGCAGCGCGTACTTCTTGTCGCTAAGCAGGCTAGCCCCCCGCTCTGGGTCCACAAGATCCATCTTTGTGATGACTCCAATGGTCCTCTCACCCCGAGGATCGACCTTTCTTGAAGCCCTTAGAGCGGTGCTGTTTGCCAGATCCACATCTGCCGCTGAGATTGCGAGGATTACGTTCGGGGGCTTGATGTACTTTTCACATAGCTCCGCAATCTTCTGTTTCAGCTCAAGAGGTTGATCCCGCCCCGTAACTTGAATGTATCCGGGAAGGTCTATCAATGACAGATCCGGGACGTTCGGGGAGTAAATCCTGAGCTGAATAGGATCATCTGTGACGCACTCCTTCGCCGGCACGGCCAAGTTCAAATCCGTCAACGTCCTCTGAATCTGGCTGAAATCCGTGATCTTCCCCAAACCTAACGCCGGGAACTCTCCGTATTCTGCGTGCGCATCGGGCGAGTTAACGAGCGTGAGCTCAATGGGTCGTCGCGTAACCATATTCGATCCCTTCGGGAGGAATTCATGCCCAACGATTGCTTCTAACACCGAGCTCTTCCCAGATGACTGTGACCCAATGACGACAATTGACGGCAGTGTGAGAGAATCCGACTGCCCAACAGTCTGAAGTAGACTCCGTATCTCAATCATCTTCTTCGTCAACATCATCATCTGCTCATCTCTAGCAATCTTCTCTCCCTCAGCTTTATCCTCATCCTCCTCTTGCGAACCATATCCAAATGCTGCTCCTGTCGTAACACCAGCTGCCGCAACTGCAGCGCCGCTCTGTTTGGGAGGCTCGGGGTTTGGACCTCGGTTGCTTCCCTCTCCTGAGCCCGATGACGCATCTCTCGCCATCAGCCGCTGGAGCCATTCTGGATATTCGACCTTATCTAGCTCCTCCCTCTTCTTATCCCACCCTCGTCCAATCTGATCAAAGACTCCGGTCGCCGTGCCGAATGCTTCGATAGCAATTCCCGACGCGCCATCCTTCGCCTTGTGGAAAAGATCAAGTGCATAGCCACCGGCCTCTATAGTCCGTTAGCACTCGTCTCCACCCCAGAAAGAACAAACGCGTGTATACATACGCCCAGCCTGGTACTGTATATAAGTCGCCCCCGCCAACACAGCGCCTCCGGCCGCCGCTCCGGCCGTCGCAAACTTTGTCACAAGCTTCGGTATGACTCTCGCAAATGAAATATTCCGTACAGCGGGTACATTATGCAACGCATAGCTACCCACTGGCCAGGGCCGTCGTTTTATCAGCCGAAGTCCTGCATCCGAGCGTAGAAGCCCGCCGGCGGGGATATTGTGGGAGACGAAGGAAAAGGGTCGGCGTGGCGTGTTGGAGATTATGTGGCGAGCGAGCGGGGCGAGACGGGCGGATATGAGCCTGCCGCTCATTTTGGAGGATAATTTCGTCCAATGGGTTGTTGTGTTTTCATGGGATGGATAGGGTTAGAAAGTGGAGGTGAACTTGTGGTGGTGATTCGTGAACGCGAAGGTGAAGGAATGCGAAGGTCGGCGGTCCGGTCCTTCGTCACTGCCAAGACTGTGGGCGGCCAATCAGCGCACGTGGGGGTCAATGGTCTAGCTTCAACACTGTGATGCTGTAGGGATAAGGGCCATCAATCTCGCCGAACGAGGGGTCAGAAAAGCGTCAGAATTCGGTGAATTTGGGGGACCTCGGCCAAAAAACATTCACCCCTCATGTACGGTAGAGTAGCATTCACGTATTGCTGACAAATGCGGTATGACAGTGGTGTGAAGATTCTGAAGCTTGAATATAAAGCTTCAATGGCTGGTATCTGATATACTCAAGCCCAATCTAGTCATCACTGCAGCTCCGAAAAAATGGAGAAACTGATAGTTATTGTTGGCATCACAGGAACCCAGGTATAGCCCCCTACTTTTGTTCTTTCCTTCTTCATCCCCAAACTAAGGCATGTTGACACCCAATGTGGAACAAGTTTGGGGTATAGTCAATCTCTTGAACTTCTTGCTGGAATCAGGGAGAGCGTAAAAAGTATGGGCACCGCTATCCTAGATTATCCTTTCTATGTTCTGCATTAAGTGCTACAATAGCGTATCTTCATATACTAACAAAACCCAGGGCTATTCCGTAGCCCAAACTTTCCTCTCAACCCCTGGCTGGCGCGTCCGAGGCACAACTCGCAACCTCTCTTCCCCTGCATCCCAATCCCTCATCTCTCAAGGCGTAGAAATGGTTCTCGCCGACTTAAACTCCTGCCCGAGCCTAATCACAGCCTTCCACTCCGCCTCCGTAATCTTCGGGCTCACCGACTTCTGGGGCCCTTTCCTCTCCCCTTCGAGCCAAGATATCGCAGAGAAAACGGGCCAGACAACGAATGAGGTAGCGTTTGACATCGAAATCTCCCACGGCATCCATATCGCCGAAGCCGCGGCCCAGATCCCCTCGCTAGAGCGCTTCGTGTATAGTAGTCTCGCGGATGTTAAGAAGTGGAGCCAGGGGAAGTATACTTGGGTTTATCATTTTGATTCAAAGGCCAAGGTTGTGGACTATGTGAGGAAATATTTGCCGGATCTAGCGAAGAAAATGAGTTGTTTGCAGATTGGGGAGTATATGACGAATTGGAATAAAACTGTCTCCCTCGGCCAGAAAAAACTTCCCGACGGTTCTTTTGTGCTTCGCAAACCGCATTCAGGAGACGCTCCGATACCTATGATGTGGGTTGAGCGGGATGCTGGGAAATTCGTCAAAGCGCTGGTTGATTCTCCTCCTGGCCAGACGATGCTGGGGTTTGGAAGCCTGATTGGATGGAAAGATTACATTGGGACCTGGGGGAAGATGTTGGGTGTTGGGGTGAAGTTTGAACAGATTCCACCAGCAGAGTATCTGGCTGATCTCCCAGAAAACCTGGAGAGAGAGATTAGGGAAGGCCATCTCTTTCATGGGGAATTTGGCTGGGATGGTGGGGATCCGGATGTGAAGCATCCCAAAGACGTGAGTAGCAACCCACACGCCCCAGTTGTGATTATGTTAATGGCAAAGTGTAGTTTGGAGTGGAAGGTACGCCAATTGAGGAGTACATTCGCCGTGAAGATTGGAGCCCAATGCTGGAGGGCAAGTGGAAGGCGAATGCGTGAAAGTTGCTGGAGACCAAATGTTACAAAGGTATACGGAAGGACCTAAAGAGGGTATCTGAAACCAACGCACAAATTATTTCAAGCATAGCACGGCCCTTTCTCCGAAAGATTTTAGAACCGAGCCTTCCTCTTTGATCATGTTGTTAAGAAAAGTCCGAGCCCCTTCAACCTCCCTGCTAGCAAATTTGACGAGAACGAATCCACGAACATTCGCTGCACTCCATATAAGGCCATTGGCCTTCTCCTGTTGCTGCCGTTGCAGCCGCCATTGCTCTTTTCGGGTGAGCTCAGGTTGTTGAGAATCCCCCCAATTCCTGCCACCAATCCGCGGCAATGCCTCGAACTCGTCCAGGAAGTGTTGTGAGAGGGACTTGAAGATAGGTCCACGGATTATGAGGGTCCCGAACACCGAGTAGGCGTCCATCCGTTCTGAGAGCAGCATTCCAGTCTGACCGTTCTTGTCTAATATCAGATTATCTCGCAGCAACAGCCTCCTCTTACCCTGGTTTTCTGTGCTCGTATCCACCGTCCACACCTCATTCCTACTCCTATATTCGTGGATATCCCAATTCTCACCTCTCGCACTTCGTCCACTTGTAACCCAATCACAAACACAGAGATTGCCGGCTTCCTGTTCCAAGCTGTAGATCTGGGACTGCGAAAATGCTGCTTGAGCAAATGGCTGCACAGGATCTGGTAAGTACACGAGCGCTGAATCTGGCGCAATATTTACGGCCATATGCTGCCTAGACACGACATTCCGATCTGCCGTCTTAAAGATCTTGGTGGAACCCTGCGTTAATAGGATAAGCCGAGTCTTGTTGCGAAGGCGCACATCTAGATTAATGCTATCTCCTGCAACTATACCACCTCCATATGTGAGCAGAAATACTGTATGTATGAGACTCGGTAGGTTTGGAACAGATTGGTCGTGTTCGGGGAGAGGTAGAGGGTCAGGCGCAACGAGCTTGAGCGGGTATTGGTAGGAGACATTAGATAGGACTGGTGTATTTGGAGGAAGGAGGCTGAGGAGAATAGATCCGTAGCCAGGCTTGGACGTGGAGGCTGCAAAGGGAGAGGAGCTGGACATGGGGGCTAAGTCTCGGTGGGGTTGTTATCGTGACTGACCGATGGGCATTTTGAGAAATTAGTCGATGTTTATTAACGGTGATGGTGGCGCGAGGGAGTTTGTCCAATTCACCTAGATGGAAGGAAAAGAGTCCAATTGAACATACGGCGTGGAGATGATGTGCTTGTTGTTGGTGAGCGGAAGGACAAAGATTGTGAGCTGTGAAGAAGCCCAGAGAGCTTGGGCCACATACGCTCTTAGCCCGGAACTAGCGACTCCAACCTAAACCAAGGAAAGGCATGAACTAGCTATCAACATGTCCCTTGAGAGTAAGAAGATATAGTGATAGAGGCAGCTATTAGATCTCATTTGGAGACACTGTCTAAAAGATTTCATACTTGAATGGAATCCATCCACCAGCCAGAACCACCTAGGTCCCGAGGACCTTGAACCCGATTCATGAACCATATAACACCTCGAAAGGGGGATCGTGAGAACGTACGACGCAATACCCAACCAAATATGTCTCGCAGGCCTCCCGCTAAGTATACGCATGAAAGTAGAACCATCAACAACCCCATAGCTTAGTCCCCTAAAACACTCTCCACCTCCGGCGACTGGTCCAGCGCACCGTTCTTCTCTAGTGCATCAATATCCCCGTTCTGCTCTGCCTCTGCCATCTCCTCATCTTCGTCCCTTCCTTGTTCTTCCTCCTCTTCGCTGTCATCTTCGATCACAATCTCTTTGCTCTTCCCGGCTTTGGCGGGCTCTTTGGCAGTCTTGACGACCTTCTTTGCTGCCGCACCCTTTCCTTTCGAAGATTTCGAGATATCGAGATACCCGACTACCTCTTTCCAATTGTGTCCTAATCTCGCCTTGTTTCTCTCAAGTCGCTTCCTTACAACATTGCCATCTCCTGAGCTCTTTCCGTCCAATGTTCCGGCATGTACTGCGGTAATGAGTCGACTGCCCAACAAGCACAGCTGGTTCTCTGCAATAAGGGTACGGAACAAGACGGTGACATCTTCTTCTTCTTCGTCACCACTGTCTTCAGGCTCGTCGTCCGGATCCACAGGGTCATCGTCAACGTTGACTTCTTCGAGGTGCTTCTTCGCACGCTTCGCATAAGTGGCTTCGGCAGCCGTGAGAACTTGAAGCAGTGACCTCGTTGTCCGCTGATCAACTTCTTGGCAGAGTGCTTCCCAATCGTCATTCGCTTCCTCCTGGACTTGGCGAGCCCGTGACGGCTTTGATGTTGGTTTTGGGGCCAAATCCTTGATATTCCTAAGGGAGAAGAAGATGTTGTACACATCAAGTAATAAGCAACTGGCCTCGATCCTGAGATCATCAGACCCCTTTCGGCTGTCTATGATCTCCATCAGCACCTCTATACAAAGGTCTCTCCGCTCTGCAATAACCGTAAGGTCATCGTCCGGTATGCGGGTACCTGCAAGAATGTGTCCCGACAATGATTTGAACTTCCAGCCAAAGTAGGGCACTAGGATTTCCATAGCGTTGCGGACGAGTGCGTCTTCCGTAGTCTCAACCTCAGTGTCGAGGTCTGCTACAGGAATGCCACGGTGTAAGATCTGTAACAGAGAAGAGATGGGCGGTTCCTGGTCCGCAGTACCTTTCTTAGACTTACTCTTCGACTTTGTACGAACATGATCAAGAGGATCCGGTTGGGAAATCTGAGTCAAGATTGCTATCTTAGAAACCGTGTTCATGATCCCGGTGAGTATGTTATCGGACATGTTGCCGCGTGTTGAAATATCGCGACCGCGGATCAAGGTGCTAAAAGCATCGGTGATGTCATCCCAGATTGCTTGGAGTTTACCCTCTACGATCTCTTTCAGCTCTTCGTGGCTTGCCGCGTGCAATATTGCTTCTTTTGCTTCGATGAGGACGCGCTTGTCGTGGTGAGTGAGAAACTGTTTACAAATATCGTCCAGGAGGGCGTTTAATGTCGAATCCTGTCGTAGTTCCTGGAATATCTCGAAGTTGACAGCGCGTGCAAGGCTGAGACAAGTTGATGCTGCTTCCGGTTGAGCACCGAACTTCTTGAGTAGCTTAGGAATCAGAACCGCTAGCCTCTTTGCCATCTCTTCCTGCTCCTCCTGGTCGGCTTGCCGCTGAGCCTTGGTCTTCTTACTCTTCTTATCATGTTGCGCATCAGCCACCCGCGCTAGTCGATGTTTGACTGTAGCGTTGAGGATTTCTAAAAGCTTAGTTTCCTCGCTCTCTGTCGGCTTGCAGTTTTGGCGGAGCGCCATTTCGGCATCCTCTCCGGCACCATTCTGGAGAGTCTCAGAATGGTCGTACAATAGGTACCCGGCGATTACCTCCCAAGACCTAATTTCTGGAATGGCGTCGTACAGCACTTGGGTAGCCACAGAGAAGCGAGACTCGTTAGGTGCAGCGACAAGACCAAACTGAGAGCCTGAAGGTGGCAGCCTTTCCACTTGAGAAGGCAGCTCTGCTCCGTCGGAATCGTATGCGACAAGTTGTTCAACCAGGCATTTCAGTTTCAGCCACTCGACTCTGGGAGTATCATAGCCTTCGTCTCCTTCGATTGGCGCCAATGCTTCATCAAGCGTTTCCTGGCCCCCCATGTCCTCAATCTGATAGTCATAGGTATTGTTGACGTTCTCAGCAAAGAATCCGACAACGGCCTTGCGGACTTTGGGTTCTGCGTCAAAAATCAATTTCCCGACAGAATCGATATCATCGGGTTCTAGCAGGCCGGCTTCTCGTAGAATGTCAAGCAGCTCAACAGTTGAGGCGCGAACGTTTGCTTCAGAGTCCCGGGTGGCCATCTCGACCATGCGTGGGCGGAAGCGCTCAGTAAAAGTCTTCAGTCCGCCGATCTTTTCTTTATCGTGAAATAGCTTCTGAAGCTGCTTCACAACTTCTAGTCGGGTGTGGGGTTGCGGATCCGAGAGAACCCAGCCCAGGTATCGCAGGTGACTTCCGTCGAAGAATTTGTCTGGATATATCATGATCCAGTCTGCTAATGCTTCAACACACTCGACCCTAATCCTAGGGTCGACATCCCGATAGCGATGGATAAAGACGGTCTCAAACCAGTCCTTGATAGCGCCGTTCACAATTTCTAGCTTTGAATTCAACTCTGCCACCTCCTTATTCACCGCCGACACTCTGCCCTTGTTGACACGTGCTTTCTTCGACTCAGTCTCGACCTGACGCATCTTTTTGGCGGTATTCTCAAGAACATCGCTTGCAGCCTGGCAAAGCGCGCTGATGACAGCCAATGATGCGACGGTGCTTGTATGGCGAAACGGGCGGTTGCTTGCCGACGACATAGTGCTAACCCACACCTCAATGTTCTCAATGAGCTCGACGTTGTCGTACAGAAGGCCGTTCTGCGCGATGGTTTGAACGAGGGCAATGAAAAAGCCGTGCAACGCGTTTTTGAAGGCGGCTCCACCCTTAGCGATGAGGGGATAGTCAGAGACATTTTGCTGCTCGTTGTCAGTGTGCGCAAAGCGTGGCTTGTGCACATACTCACCGCTTGGTATTCGTCCTGGATTTCGCCAAGCTTATCTGCACAGTGGTCTGGGTCCGCAACATCGTCCTCGTTGATCTTCAGGCTGCAGCCGGCTGCTCTGAGCACGAAATTGACAACTTCGGAGACAGCTCTAGCTTCGTGTTCCTGGAAGCTCGAGACCCACTGTGCGGCCGCGTCCTCGAGGTTGCTACCACGTGCGAAGACATCGGCTGCCAGCAATCAGCTTAAGCTCGAGTGCGACACCAATTACTCACCATAAAGGCCCTCAGCATCCTCCGCAATGGCGCTCTTACGAATGGGCCCTTTTCTTGGTTTCCTGGGACGCTGGGGATTGCTCGCTGCCGGCCGAATAGCGAGACTAATTGACTCTCCGTTTGTCTTTGGCTTCTTAGATGCAGGCCTCTTCGGCGCTGGCTTGGTTTTCTTCTTGCGCCGCCGCTCCCTCAACTCCTCCTCGTCGGGCTCGCCCTCGCTGCTCTCCGTCTGTTCTTCCTCCGATGCTTGCTCTGCTACATCGCCATCGCCATCGCCATCGGTGGCCACATTGCGTTTGCGCTTCGCGCTACCTGCGGGGCTCGAGGCGGGGACGAAGGGCTCAGGCTTTTTCGATACGCGTCCAGATTTGCGCCGTGGCACGGACGAAGTGATGTCAACAGCCTCAGACGACATGACGGCCGCGCTCATTATATCGGCGCGACAATGAATCGACAAAATGGGGGGAGAGGGGGCCGCGCGTGAGACGGAAATTGTTGTCGTGATGTTATTTGGCCTTCGAGCGTGGGAGGAGACGCGCGCGTTGAAGTGGGTGCAGTGGCTGGCTCGTGCTCGGTGCCAAGGCAATCGTGCCATTATCAACACCCGGACCGCCACTTTCACCCTCTTCATCCCCATCGCCTGTGCTCATCTCAGCGTCCTATCAGTCAACTTAGAAGAAGGCCCCAGATGAAAAGGAGCCCGCTTGGGGAGCGAAAGGTGAAAGGCACAGGTGAAGAGGCTCTCAATCGGGCTGGGAAGGTGTCTGGATCCTTTCACTCGTCCTCCTGTGCGCCTGTGACTTAATGGCGGGTCGTGCAAGTGGCTAGCTACATTGCTCATCTTGCTATCTGCATCTTCTCTGATGTCGCCCTAACCTCAATCTTTTCCATTGCGATTGCTTGGTTGATAAAGTCCTTCACCGTCTCCCTAAAAGAAGTATACGCCAAACCCAGTGCCATCGCGGCCGCCCCCCCATCCAAAGCGAAGCTATCGTCGATGCCTTGTTTCTCTCCCTTTGCTGTTCTTTCTTTTCCCCAGTCGAATTCCTCTAAGAGGATATCGCTGACTAAACTATATGAGAACTTTTGCGGGCTCGCAACAGTAAATCTCTTTCCCCCCGCCTCCGGTCTCAGCAACGCCTCGACATGGGCCGTCGCCAAATCTCTAACATCTACCCAGAAAGGGACTCTAGATACTGGCAATTCCTGCCCACTTGCTACCTTCCACAAATTGGCGTTTGATTCGTTGAGTTCTGCGAGATTGGACACAGGATGTCGAATTGGCCCAAATGTCATTGGGGGGCACAACGTGACGATGTCGAACTCAGGATTCCGCTCTTTAACAAAGTTCCAGGCTCCCAATTCGGCGAACTTCTTAGAGCCGCGATAGGCAATGACGGCGCTAGTCTCTTTCGCCACTGATTCCTCATATGAAAGGGGGTTCCAGTCGTCGGCCGTGTAAGTATATCGAGGTGGTACCTTCAGGTCTGCGTTCATGATGGAGGCAAATGACGATGTTATCACTACCCTTTTGATATTTGGGCTTGCAGCAGATGCTTCCAGGATCGCCTTGACTCCCTCGATTGCAGGGCGTATCAGTTCTTTCTCATTGTCTTTGACGGAGTAACTGAAGGGGCTTGCGACGTGAACGACACCGGTTACGTCCTTGACAGCTTCTCTAAAAGATACTGCTTCCGAGAAGTCACTAGTTTGGACAATGTCAAGCTGCGATGCGTATTGCGGCCGAGCTTGTTTGAGCAATTGTCCTTTGAGGGTACTCCTAGTAGCCGCTCGAACCTTACAACCTCTCTTCAGTAGGCCGTCAACAACGTGGGCGCCGATGAACCCCGTGGCACCTGTGACCAGGACATAGGACTGAAGAGACGACATATTCGGTCTTCGAGTACAGTTTGGGCCTGAAACCTTCTTTTCCTCACACGACTAAAGTACGGCATACTAATCGGCTCTAAGCAGCGTGTGCCATTGACTTGCGTAGGTTTCCGAGATATCGAAATAAGAGCTCGTTGGGGTGGGCGGGGAAAGGCTGACTTTGGTGGGCAGGGTATATTAGTGGAAAATCTCGACTACCCCCGATTGGTCGATGATTCAGTTGCCTGTGCACCCTCTCTCTTTTAGTCGGTAAGACATGACGGAAATTTCTTTTGAAACATCCGTAGACCCTACGCATTCCTAGCATGATAGATAATTCTCTTAGATGATCTTGTGGGGATTACATCCCGAATTGTATTTCAGAATCAGCGCAATCATAGAAGAAGAGGGCTATTGCAGTAATATATAAATAAGGTCTAGGACGCTCTTTAACTCCCTGAAATTCCATTCTCCAAATCTTACTATCAACTGTCGAAGAGAGCTTGCTAACTCAAGACTGAAGGTATTTGCCAACAAGCGGAAACTTTTGGCTTACAGTCATCATTCCCCTTACTAACCCCCGGCCACCCCATCCTCATCCAACCCTCAACCGACTAATAGCCCCGCTAACCACCTCCCTTTCGCCACCACCAAGAACACCACTATCCGGTGTCTCAGTTCCACTCATAGCGCCATCTACTGGCTGCGAAATAACTCTTTTATCTGGTCCAGTGATAGTCTGCCCCTTAGCTTGGGCGAAGCCAGCGGAGCGAATGTGAGCCGGGTTGTTGGAGTAGAATTCATCGACAATAGGGTGGATCATAACGGTTTGCTTGTAGATGGTCAGGGTGGAGTTTGTGGGGACTGTAACCCAGTTGTCTAGATCATGTCAAGTTAGTTATACTTCCTCTGGCAGAAAGGGGGGAAGGGAAGACGATATGTGTGCATACCTCGCTCAAAAGTCAAAGGCTCGCTCGCCACAAGAACAATATCCGAACCCTTGTCCCTCCTCTCCATGACATAATCTTTCTGCCCTGGTTCCCCACCGCCACCCCCAACCACGCCTTTACTGCTCTGGTACTCCTTCCAACTTGTCCCACTCGAGAAGAACAAGCTCGCGGCCTCATCCGTCTTCGAACTCACATACCTTGTACAAACCACACTCTCCCCATCCGTAACTGCAAAATTCAACAAACTCCGAGCGTCCTCTCCCCTCATCGCATTCCCGTCCCCATCCTCACCAACCACCTCCTTAATAAACCCATTTATCCGCTCAATAGTCTTCAGTATCGCCTTCCTTAACACCGTATGTCCAAACCCGCCTTTCCCAGGATCCAGATGCGGCCGATGCCCCGCTTTATCCAAGCAGTCCAAAAATAGAGCAAACGCCCATTCAGAATCTGTAGAGCCTTGAACGAGGGTAAACCACTGCTCGTTGAGACTCATCGCGAGACGGCGCTTGATCTGCTTGAAACAGCCGATTCCCCCATTATGCATGAACATCAGGCTTTTGTATGTGAAAGGGTGACAATTCGAGTCTGACAGGTTTCCTTCAGTGGTGGCGCGTACGTGGGCGAAGATGAGGGAGGACGTGGTCTTGGAAGCGATGCGCGATAGGTTTATGCAATTCCAGGCGGGGATAGTGGATGTAAAGACGCATGGCTCAGGGCCAAGGGAGGGAGACGTGTAGTACCCGATTCCGAAGCCATCACCGTTGTGCGGGCGACGTCGGTCCTGGAGATGGGACTGTAAGCTGGTTGTTGTTGAGCGTGGGGTGAAGTGAATATGGTACGCACAAGACGAAGACGCGAATCGAAGGATTGGGTAAGGATAGAGTGCGTTGGGTTTAAGATGAGCTCTGATAAAAGGATTTCATCTTTCCCTTTGTATACCTATACCTGTCAGAGAATGTGGATACAGAGGATTGGTTGGGGAACCGACCATGAACCTACACATAGTACCTCCGCAGTGAATCCTGTGCTGCGGACTCCAATTCAAACTGCTAAGGTGTCAGAACTATCACAGTTTGAAGAAATGCAAGTTAGTTGTTGAGGAGGTTAGTAACATGTGTGCAAGGTGAATGAGAGAGGGTGGCCTGTGAGTCTTGCGGCAGGTGAGATTGCGCCATTCGGAAGAGACTTGCGAGACTATGCAGAAAGAGACAGGCAGTACGTTAGAGCACTTGCAGAGCGCGGGCGTGAGCGATAACGTGTTCGCGGACATAGGGCATTCTGAATTCGCACAGACAAAGAAACGCAAGCCCCCACGCAGCTGGTGGGGAGTGAATAGTTGCCGCCAAGATATAGTTCTCCACGTGACGCAATGCGTTCCCCGATCCCAGTTGAAATGCTTGGCCAGCACTAGGCTACAAAACAATTAAAATGGCGCTTACCTCGAGCAATGTCATCACACTCAGATGAACAAAGTTCGGCAAATAGCTTCATTTGGTAAACTCCATTCGACTACCTAATATTATTCTGTAGAATGGAAGCACTTGGGCGGGCAACAATTGACATGTATTTGCCCAATCTCTTCACATGCCAGATACCGTTCTCCCATCCACTCATGCCACCCAACCATTTCGACTTGGTCTGACGCCCGTTTGCAGCAGTTGAGTCAAAGAAAAGGCAAACCAAACTCACAACGCCGGGGATATGATGCGGATAGACAAAAGGGGGGTTTACATGACGGTGTATCTTACGATGCTTTCATAGTCGATCATGACAAAGGGGCCGGTCTGCTTATTAGAGCTCGGGGGTAGGGTAGTGACGGTGTCGGAAAGGGGATTGAGGCTTTGCTGCGAGCGGAGTGGCGGTGGTGGGTGGTGGCGGCATCGTACTGAAATCATATGTTCAATCCTGAAGGGCTCTCGTGCCTTCATCAACCAGCGTCGATGACTTGATACGATCAAACATGATGACTTCCGAGACTAGCGCCGTAAGTAAGGAGTCTCATGCGCTCAGGAAGACCACCGGCTTACGTTGGAGGGGTTTACAGCTTCCTTAAACCACTCACATATCCATAGAGTCTCCCCCATTGGCAAAGTTGAAGTTCTGTTGCTGTTGCTGGGCTCCAAAGCCAAAATGGCCATCTTGGTTGATCTGAGGAGCTGCCTCTGCCATATCTCCAGCTTCACCCTCTTCATCGGAGAAATACTTCTCGATGATGTTATACGCCTTCATATAAATCTCCTCGTTGGCGTTATTCTGACAATCATGAATCTTCTCCATGCCACCTACTTCTTCGATGAAGAGTGCGTAGCGATTGATGGGTTCACCAGCAGCTCCATCAACACCAGACTCCTTGTCCATTTCGCCAACCTTGAGGATATTCTCCAGTCCATCGAGAGCGACCTGGATGATCTTGTTGTCGGGGCAAGCAAGCAAGTCGCACAACGGCTTAATGCAGCCGCTCTGGACGAGATAGCGGATCTGAGCTGGCTTCTGAAGTCCCCCGGAAGTAGCATTCGAGATGGCCCAGCAAGCCTCCTTCCGTGTCTTGAAGTCACCATTTTGAAGGAGGTGGATGAGAGGAGGGATGATGTTGGCATCAATCACAGCCTGGATCTGGGTAGAGTTTCCGGCGGTGATGTTGGAGATGGTCCAGCACGCCTCCTTGCGGATACCATCCTTGGTAGAGCTGAGAAGAGACAGCAGGGCAGGCAAAGCGCCACAGTTGATTATAACCTGGGTTTGGACATCGTCACCAGTTACAATGTTCCCAACAGAACGCAGAGCAGGTGTTTGGACAGATGTAGAGGCGTGCATAAGCAGCTCGACAAGGCGCCGCGGAATGCCGGCCTCGATAACAGCCTGGATCTTGTCATTGGAACCGTCGGACAGGTAAGAGATGGCCCAGCAGGCATCGATGAGAACTTCGTCGTCGAGAGAGTACACAAGCTTGGCAAGGACTGGGAGGGCGGGCTGGATCTGTCGGGAAGTTAGCAAGACGCGGAACACTCGAGGAGGCTTGCGTACCGTCTGCCAGTCTGGCTGGGGAGTCTTTCCACGACAGAAGTTACTCAGGGTCCAGGTAGCGTTCCTCAGCATACTCAACTTGCGGCTATCGCCAAGAAGAGCAAGGAGCGGGCGGAGGGCCCCGGCTTGGAGCACGAAGTCACGACATGCTGGGCTGTCACCGGCGATATTGCCAAGCGCCCAGACGGCCTGCTCCCGGACGTCAGGCTCGTGGCTGCTGAGGAGCTCGACGAAGATGGGAACCGCGCCGGCCTCGATGACGACCTGGGTCTGCTGTGCAGATCCCGAGGCAATGTTGGTGAGAGCCCATGCGGCCTCAAACTGGACCAATGTATGCGGTGACCGAAGGAATTCGACGAATCTGCTCACGACGCCGGTCTCGATGACACGCTCAATGGGAGGGTTTCGCTCCTTGGAAAGCAGCTTCCGGAACTTGGTGGTGGCCTGAATTTGTTCGTCGATCTGGTCCGAGAATACGCCCTTCACCATCTGGGGAAGCTCTTCGTTGAGCTACACATACTTGGTCAGTCTTGAATATTGAGTGCCTTGCCACAAATTCTCCGATGCAGAGGGGTATGGCTCGTGCTTGAGGGGATAAGGGTTCGCCGGCCAACAATCGGCTCGCGAAAACAAACCGACCGTGCTGAAGAGGCGGAAGGGACAGAGGAGGGTGGGGGGCACCAACGACCATCGCGGTAAGACCGTCGTAGTGTCGTCGAGGACGAGCCACCGCGGGGTGAGTTGCAACAAGGGATAAGTATTCGAGGAACTCACCTGGTTTTCAATATTACCGCCCTCATCATCGCTGTCAGGAGCAGCGCCCAAGCCAGCACCGGGCTGGTCCCTACCCGCGATACCACGCCTCTTTGCGAGGTTCTCCTCACGCTTTGCGCGGCGGATCTCAACCTGCTGCTCCTCGCGGCGGCGGCGGAGCTCGTCAGGCTTGAAGGCGCTCTTCGCTTTGAATGTGGTGCGGCGATGTTCTGGAATGTAGCGATCGGCCATGCTTGCGACGGCAGGGAGATGGCGGTTTGCAGTTGGTGGGCAGGAGGATGGTGGTTGGCGGCGGGGGGGGGAGATGTTATATAAAGAAGAGGGTGTTTGGCATCGTGGGGCTACGTGAAGGACCGCCGCTTGCAAAATGCGGTCGCGCTAAACTAGCGTCTCTTGGCGCGCCTCGCCCTTTCAGTTTGACCACCTTCTCTGACCGCACTTGCCTCCCTCATCCTTTTTCTGCGTCGACCTTTAATCCTGCAGAGCATTCAAAGGTTCTGGCCCCACGCTTAAAGCCCTATTGGTGTCTTGGCTTCTTTAAGAGAACTGAAAAGCTCGAGAATGCACCTTTGAGCAAGCCAAAAAGTACTCGTCTTGAGACGCCACCATGTCGAGGTTGGACACGAAGCTACGACGTATCAGTGAACTGGAGGCCGGTAAATTTGCTGATATGGTGGGCGAAGTCATCAAGACGTATCCAGCCAACTTCGATTCCCTAGATATATATGTCACAGATTACACCGAAAACCAGGACCTATTCTACTACCAGGATCCCTCTGAGATGGATCTTCCTCCTACCAAGCCGTGGCCAGGGCCATATGGTCAGATGACTCTGCAAATCCGGCTTTTCGAGCCTCACGCATCCTTTGCCCGTCAAAACATTCGTGAGGGTGACCTCGTACACATTCAAAATATTCATGTCAAGTACTCCGCTGCAAACCAGCTTGAAGGGGCAGTCCACCAAGATCGCAGATTTATTGATCGAATAAATATTCGGAAGATTTCGCGACAAGACCAAATCCAGCCGATTCGCAAGCTCAAGGCTGAATACTTCCGACGGAGGCTTAGTCGAAGTGCTACCATCACCGTAAATGAGCCTAAAAAGCCTTCCGCCAAAGCATCCGCAAAGAAGAAGGAGGAAAAGAAGGAGAGACAGCGGATGCAGAAAGAGCAAGAACAGAAGGAGCTGGAAGAGAGAGCCAAGACACGGGCCGCTGCTCGAGCTGGCATCAATCCCCATAGTAGGTAACTCCCTATACAGTTGCGACCCAATTAACGCTTCCGTAGTTCGGGCTGGCGCCTCCGAGATTCAGCTCTCTACAATCTCCGAGATTATCAACAACCCTGCCCTTAAACAGACACACCGGAGTGGTAACGTAACGACTCTACCCTTTGTTAACGCGAAATACCGGACACATGTGCGAGTGGTCGACTTTTCTCCGGGGTTTCTTGAACAGTTCACTCAATCTATGGCAAACCCTGCCTGGAACCCTGCGGTACGAAACGGAAGCCCCGGCAACAGAATGCCAAACGACCGTTGGGAATGGGCCTTCGTTCTCTTGGTGGAAGACGCAAATGTTCCTGCTGGATCGACGCCCGAGAGGCTTCGCTTGTTCGTGTCTGGACAAGACGCAGAAGTCCTTTTGGGGGGACTCAAAGCAGTCAAGTCAGTCTAGTCTGATTGCATGATGAAGTCACTCGCTAACGAAGGTATACAGTCTCAAGGAATATCCTGAAGCTGTGGACAAGCTTGAAGAGAAGCTGTTCATTATTTGGGGTAACCTCTTTGAGCTCAAGGGTGCGTTTAGAGGGACTAACAATACGCTTCCGCTACCATGCGGCGATGAGAGACTCCAAAATACTCCTTTCGAATGCTGTGTGGAAGAGTATGGCAAAAGGCTTGCCCACCCAACCCCGATCCATCCGCAAGGTTGGCAACGAACCCACAGGCTTTTTAAGACCCAAATTCTGGACTCTGACTCTAGTGACAACTCAGATTGAAGTCAAGAGTCAAGTTGACAACGATTCATAGCCCTTCGCCGCACATGATGGTGGAGTTTTTGGAACGCTCTGATACCCTAAGTTGTTGCATGGCTACTTTCACAAGAGATGGAGTACATAACATCAACACGATTGCCTCCGTACACCAAGAATTCACTTTAACGCCTGTTCCTATGTTCGTGCATGAGCAGAAAGTTTCTGACATGTCAATCGTCTTGCCAGCGCTGGGGAAGATGCTTAATGGATCTGGATTTCCCTCATCAATCAGACATCGTCTTGGGCATCTGCCAACTCATATCTCCAGCCTCACAGAACCAATCCCGGTGGGTCCGACCATCGGCACAGCCAATGAATGGCTCTTTGCACAACAAATGAAAAGCCTTGTCATCGATATGCTAGTCCACATCGGGTAAACTATTCCTCAACACGCTGGTGAGGCCAGACTTCTTTGTCCTCAAACCCTACTTCAAGACGACTTGCCCCCGAAATATTCAACAAGAAGGAAGGGGCAAGCATGTTAAGCCTATTGTGTGATCGGATTCCTGCTTCTTGAATTTTCTGTTCAGAGAGTTCGCGCGGATTGCGTGATGAGGCGTGCTAGTCGCGTAATGTCACCTATTGTTACAAGGTTTCCCAACGAGTGCCTTGTTTGGATCCTTGATAGCACGTTGTCTTACATTGAGTGAGGGGAAAGTTTTCTTTTTCTCGTCCTTTTTTTCTTTCCTTCCTGTTGACCTCTTGTCCAACGCATAATTGGAGCAGGTGGATCCGCGCGAAGGAAGCTTGTGCGCCCGAGAACGGAGGCATACATATGAAGGTGCAGTGGTACTTGAAGAGACTTGCTTCGACCCTTTCACTCCCATACCTTGTGACAGAAGGATACGAACGAAGAACGACAGTATCAAACAACAATTTCAACTTCCATCATGGCTCTAGGACCTGATCTTTCAGTTCTCACGCACGAGGTTGACGCCTTTAGCACTACTACCGTCATTAAGAAAGCAGTCACAATTACGCCCACGATTTCATCCAAAGGGTCGATCATCCTCGATCCATCTCTCGTATCCACCGACTTTGACGAACTTAGATTCGAAAGCGCTGCGTTTAGCCAATTGCATGTGCCCCCAGAGATCGGCCAGCAAACCATTCACAAGGACATTGCTTCCATGGAGCGCCTACTCTCTTCTAACCTAGTATCCTCCCCTTACAACATCACCAGCCACTACCTCTCTCTCAAAACTCTCACTACACCCAACCTCATCTTCGCCAAGGCCCTCACAGCGCTAAAGCCCGTGCGTTCCGACTACGCCACCGCCCCATACCTCCAATCCCTCAACTTCTCCACGGTCCTTGAGCTAGTCCGAACCTTTGCCAAAGACGAAGGAATCGAGTGGAAAGAGCAGAGTTTCTACGTCGTGATTTTCCGCTCCAAGCTACGAGAAGGTGTAGACGCCGAGCTGCTATATCAGCTCGATTGCGAGAGCCATCGCGAGGCGTGTGAGAGTGGTGGGTTGTTAAAGTATTGGTTTGGGAGGGTAGATGGAGAGAGGAGGAATCTTGCCACTTGTAAGCCACCTCCCCTTGGGGAACCCCCTGTAGTGTTTCCTTTACTCTCCATTCCCATTCCCCGGGACTCTGCTTTCTGTAGGAGCTTATTTTGCCCCTCACCCAAGGAATCAATCCGGGGAGGGGAGGGGAATTAGTTTAACGATAAGCTAAGATTAGTAGGCTTCTGGAGTTCCCGCGAAGATGCCCGTAAAGGCGGCCTTGGCCCCTGGCATAAGAAAGCTCGGGCTGCAGGCCGCGAACTGTACGATTCAATCATCTTCTCTACCCACCGTTTCACGATTCAGGATGGAGTGGAGGGCTTTAAGTTCGAAAATTGGGAGTGAGTGTCTGCCGCGCTTACAGTTTTGATGTTCCTCGAGGCTGCTGAGTAGTGCACGAAGAGCGATGGGAGTGTGATCGTGAAGGTCAAAAGATGGAAGATGTCAGGGAAAGGAAGGAAGAGAACAGGGGTTGCGGCGGGAATATCACTGCATTTGCATTCGCATTTCTTGTATCGCATTACATCATATCGCATCAGCGAGAGGCATCGGTAATAATATGTGTCTACAGTCCATGTTTCTACAGATCAGCTAGGATATAGAGTCGTTGGTATGGTACAATGGTAGCCGGCATCTTCGAACGCAGTGTCGCTTATGCATTTTCCTTCTCCGGCCCTGCCGTTATCTTTCTATTCATTCTTAGGAAGGGAAGCTAAAATCAATCTTAATATCTGAGAATCCACAAGAGCGCTTTCTATTTATGTTAACCCTCGTATTGCTGTCTGTGCATTAGTCTGAAGTGGCCGTAATCTTAAGTCAACTACAAATTACACATCGTGATCTTCGAGGAAACCTTTCGATCTACTCACGTCAACGCAAGTCACTCCTAGGTCAGGTACTCTGCATACGTCACTCCTCATAATAAGGTAGGTGGCGTGCTAGTCGAATAGTTGATTTTTTTTTTTTAGGGATCTCACGAATATTATTTGCGCACTTCCTGTGGTTGTTGTGACATTGGTTTATAGAAATATAAGAGATAACCTACTTATTGAGACCCTACCTTGGAATAATCTACTTAGCTTGAGCCTGAGCCTGAAGTTCCATCACTTAAATACCCACCGTCAACTCCGAATTCACGATTGGAGCCCGATACGGAATCCCCATTCTGCACTTGCCGTAAAGTCTCACGCCTAGTCTCTTTATCTACCTAATTCTCCTCCCATTCTCCCCTTCTGACACTAACTCTCACCGTCCCCTCTTCAACCATCACCCACCAACCCGAAGGCCAAACTTATCACTCTCCGGCAGGCCCCCACTCCCTCCCCGGGACTCTCGTCTCCCTGTAAGCAACTAGCCCCCCTACCATCAAGCATCCAATAAACCTAGTCTGCGTAATAGGGTCGTGGATAGGGGTAATGTGCGTACCAACGGCTTTCCGCATGCCAGGGTGTGGAGGCTAGGCGTTAGGAGGGGATGGAGGGGGGCGCTATGTGGCAGGAGGAAGAGAATAGATAGGATTCGGAGAGTCTAGGTGTAACGTCTATCACTGGGTAGCGCAAAACCTACCGTGCCGCAAAATGTGAGGGGTACTTTAACTTCAGGCATTCATAACTGTGCGCACATGTTCGAATTTACTATAATTCTATGTAAGTCGTGTCCTGTAGCTACCTTTACACATTCAGGACCCCTCCCACCTATCAAGTACGTTCGCATTGTCGTCCTCCAGCCTAATTTGCAGAGAGCCTCGCTTTATAGCTTAACAATGTCTCTTCTCTATAGCACTACTACTGTTACGCTCTTACTACTCTACATTACTTAGAGGTAACCTTATCCAAGTATAAGAAACTTATAACTGCGCTAGCAGTCATTATCAGCGTTGTCTCTGCTGTGGCACGCAAATTAATGCATGATTGCAACCCTGGCCGGAACCTCTCACTAATGCAGCTTCTAATTTTGGCTAGTACGAAACAACCCCGCATATTTCATATGATAATTATGGTATAATTTACTTACGGTATATATGAAGCTAAGCCTCTTGCTGTCAAGGTCTGTTGCTGTGCTGGTGCTAGAAACTCAGAGTCTGATTTCTTATCTATGATATATTCAGCTCTAATGCTCCTATAAGCAGCTGAACATGATACTTTAAACTGTAAAGAAAGTAACAGAATGCCTTTTGCTACGTGTAATACCCACTGACCCTTTGTAGATGCAACCTGAAAAGCACTAGAGGCTTCAGTATAGCCCTCGAGCGTCTGTAGCGGCTGGCCTGTGTTCGTATCCCACAGTTGAATCGTTTGATTGTTTGAAGCCGATGCTAGTTAATCTCCTTGCGGTGGGAAGGCCATGCTCCTCACGCACTCCGTATGGCCCTTGAGCGTCTGCAGCAGCCGGCCCGTGTTCAAATCCCACAGTCAAACTGTCTTGTCTGATGAAGTTGACGCGGGTTGAACTCCGTGTGGCAAGAAGTCCACGCTATTAACGACGTTTGTATAGCCTTTAAGCGTCTGAAGCAGGTGGCCCATGTTCGCATCCCACAGTCGAACACTCTGATCGCCTGAAGTCGACGTGAGTTAATCTCTCTGCGGCGAGAAGGCCACGCTGAAGCCAGTGTCTGTATGGCCCTCAAGTGTCTGCAGCAGAGAGCCCTAATTCTTTTTAATCTCTAACCTAACCTTTATCCCATTCGGCACCTCTTGGTTAATAGACCACAAATAATACTTCTTTTCGGAGTAAATAGAAGGATAGAGTAATACACTTGAAGAAGTGCCTTCTGTATTAATGCTCCGCTCTACCTTAGCAACCGCAGTATATTACAAACTGTCTGAAACAATACTATACTCTTAGATTCCTAGTATATTTTAGTATTTTACTCTTATATTTAGCGAACAACTTACAGTTAACATAGACTGTAGCTTCTGTATTGCTGCTATAGCGTCTAGAATCCTCTTCAGCAGGCTCATAGCTTTAAGCCAGTGTAGGAGGTGCTCTTAGAGAAAGCGGTGGGCTTCGCTGTTGTCTAGTAAGATATTATCGTAATTCTGCGGACATGCACAGAAATGCTTGATCTAGTACTCGCACGCATATGTGATTTGCGGAAGAATGCTGCTCTTAGTCTGGCTCTCTACTTCTAAAATGTGCGCTCCTGGCTTTCGTAAGTTGCACATGTCTCGGCGTAGTGTGCTGTTCATCGCGTCCAGCAGGTGATGAGCTATCTGTTCTTTTCTCCTCTACCAGCGCGCGACCAAATATCTGCTTCCCCTTGCCTAGTGTGAAATAGTCCTTGGCAGAGAGGTGAATAAATAATACAAGGTCTTAGCAGATAGTTAGAAACAACCCGCGGCAGCTGACAAGATCGCTAACTCTCTTAACGTAGGTAAACTAATCTGTAGGGAGGCTGGCAGTGATAGCGATTTCCTCCAGTTAAAGAGGTTAGTAGGTGAGAGTAATTAATTAAAGAATATCCTTGCAGTACTTGTTTGTTCTAGGGTTGTTCTGCGCTAAGATTTAGTCTATCATACAGTTGTATAGTGGGTCCAGCCCAGGCGGTAACTCGCGAAGTACCTCTTTAGTACGGTAAAGCGGCACACGCTCTAGCTCTTTACTGTAAGGCCGAGATGGTGTTTACGTGCGACAGGTATATATACTATTCTGCACCCGAAATCAACTGTTGGTTGATTATTCGTACCTTTTTGGTTGTATTGGCGGAGTGGTGCAGAGCCCCGTCCTTACATTTACAGACTAGCGACACCCATAGAAGCGTGTCCTCTGCCTTATCCTAGAGCATCTGCTGCACCTCTACTTGCGTTCTAGGATCATACTTTTTTGTATCCGCTAAATTCTGTACCTTAAAGTTAATAAAGGCTGTGACGGCTTTTAAAATGTGGCCAGCGTTGAGCTTAAGACTAATCTTGTCGCTTATTGAACTGGGGTGAAGAAACTGCTTAATGCTCAGCAGGTTGCGGCTTGTTACTAGCCACTTAACTGTTGAGAGTTGTGCAGCGCTGTTGTCTGTAATGATATGCAAAAGTTTAGAGAGACTAGATGCACACTCGTCGAGCGCATTGACTAGAAGGTACGTTGTCGGCAAAGTGAAGTTGGTGAGGATATCCGACAGTATCTCCCTTAGCGCATAGATGGCGTTAGGTCCTTTAAAGAGCTTGCTACCTGTAGCTTCATACTACTTTTAAATATGCCGTGTAAGATCTTCTCTTTGTACGACAAGTAAGTAGATAAGCCCACGCAATACTAAGGCTGCATTGTTAAGCTCTATTCTAGTGCTCTAGCAGAAGAAGTAAGCCAGCAGACAAGACTGAGAAGCAAGCTTCATCTTAGCTAGTATTTTTGATGCCGCATATGATGATTCATCCTTAGAATATAGCTTGTGAATTAGACCCATCATCATCATTGTCTTGCCCTTCCCGGGGTCGCCCTTGATCCACAACAGGCGCGTGTCGCCTTTGGCCCGCCAACACTTGAAGCTGACCTCCCCCAGTATCCAGCCATAGCACTGCTTGAGTAGCCTGTCTTTATCCTTTTCGATTCTCGCTTTTTATTCGCGCGGATCAGTGACTATCAGGTCGCGGAGGCACTAATTAAAGGTTTGACTGCCAGGAAGATGTAGGTCTCCGTGGATATCGCCTAGAATTCCGATCGCGTTTCCATCAAGTCTATTTCCGCTATAGCGAGTAAGGATTGCATCTGTGCCATGTGTAGTCTATTAGACGTTAGATAAATTATTAATGGTCGTGCAGGTAGCTTACCTTGTTTTACTTAGACGAGTCGCATGGTATTTGTTATTTAGAGGCAGGTGTGTGTAGGTGTTGGCAACTTGAGGAGGGGTTTGGAGTCCGATAGTGGATGGGAGGAACAACGTGTTGGAATCTGGGGCGAAGATCTTGTCCAGTCCTCAGCTCTTATGTTGACTGTTCAAAGCAACGGCACGGCACCTCTCATGAATGAAGATATAAAGACGCCAAATCTCATTGACAAAGTGTCGAACGATGCGGATATGTTCAACGCGGATATCGTCGAATGGCAGACCAAGGCACCTACCGAAAGGCTATACCAGGGCACTGAGGCGCATAGGAGAAGTACGATCTTTCAGAGTTATGCGAACGCGGAAGGAATAGCAGCAATCCTGTGACCGAAAAGAAGATGACAGAGTAATTGGTGTTGGTAGTCTATGACAAGATCTTTTAAAGCCAGGCCGCCTGTCATAATGCGACCTTGAAAACCGTCATGCCTCCCTGTCCGTCTGCTGTTGCCCTACTATAAGCTCCGCAAGTATTGCCTTGACGCTTGTTCGGCACGTGTTTATAGCGGAGGTCTGCGTGACCCGTCGGAGAGGAGAGGAGTAAGTTACTAACCTAATACATCTTAGCCACTGGGCCCACCAAAGCACCCCTACATAGGGCTTCCGCTGGCTCGACTTCGCTTATCTACGCAACTTTGACCTTGAGCACGGATGAACCCGCCTCAGCCTCTAGCTAACTGGCCTCTCCTTAATGTAAGGGCTACGAGGAGTTAAGCCATCACCAAGGAAGCGCTTAGGTAATAACGCACTAGTGCCCTCTAGGCTAGAGCCGGGCGTAATAAAGACATCATCATCGGCCTCTCCTTCCGCCTCCATCGCAGGACTCTTGTACTTACGATCACGTTTCCTCTTACCTGTACTCGCTGTAGAATACAATTGTTTAACCTGATCGCAATAGGCTGTTTTTAGAGACGCGAAAATTCTAACATCACAGAACTAGAGCTTGTAAGAGGTGTAAGAAGGGAAGCGACATAGAATAATGTTGTTTGCAAAGCAGAACTCTAAGAGTTTCATGTGTCCTAAAGCTATTAGAGATCAGCTCCTGTGGTTTCCTATCAGCTAGTCCTTTAGTTTAGAAATTAAACGCATGCGTAAGCTACTCTAGGCTAATTTCAAAGTTATTATACTTATTTTCTAAGAGTGCGTAATGCTATCTAGGAATTTGGTACATGGTCTAGTTGCTTTGGTAGGTTAAAGCTGGCTAGATTACAAGGGGGAACAGCGACTTGTTACGACCTTGAATAAGAGACCCATCAGGAACGCCCCAGGATGTGTTTCCTGAAGGATGACGACCAATCAAGGGGTGCGCCAGGAAACGGTGTAGCACTTCGGCGCTTGTGGCACGTGATGCGATAGCTTCGCCAAGGACTATCGCTCACGATGATAGTGCCTATCAAGGTGAGCGCTCATGGTCCTCACGACTATCAGAGTGGCCGATAGGAATATATATAGTAGGCAGAAATCCCCTTATCGGACTTCTGCGTTCAACCTTGTAAACTACCAGCTCAATACATTGGTTACCCCCGATACTCTTGTCAGATCAACTACTTGGTACTGCCTTCGTATCACCACCCGTCGTGCCGCCTGTTAGACATCTTCCCAGAGAACCAACCCGAGCTCTCTAGCCATACCTCCCTGCATCTACTGGAAGTCCTCGACCACTAAGTTCATAAAATCGGTTAGAATCTTAACACGACCTACTGTTACCACTGACACACTTAATAGCAGTTACCGTTGTCTGCTTAACACCTGCGCCTCTATGGAGTTGTATATCGTCTTTCCCTACAAGGATCTGGATAGAGCCTAGCATGCTAGGCATAACTCCTGTCTAGAGTTAGCAACAATTAAGTTAATTAAGTTAAGGTGAATTGCTTAATTAATTAACAGATCTAGCACGTTTTAATTAACTTAATTAACTTAATTAATAGATTACATAGTGAATTAACTGCTGTATATCTTATAGATAGTCTCTAGGTCTTTAGGAGAGATAGTGTTACTACGTGGACTTTTTGCTAACTTTGTAGGCTTTAAGCTAAGGCGCTTCTAAACCTATTACTATAATAAGTTTAAGCGCTAGATAATTAAGTTACCTGTACTAGAAAAGTCCCTATTTGCGTGTAATTAGGCAGGCGTTGTCACCTTGTAGGGCAGCTCTTATAAAATCTGACTAGCTCCCAGCTGGCCCTGTACGTGCCTTCTTTGGCGGAGGCTCTAGAGTACTAACAGGAGAGGCGGCGTCTTTAAACTCTGCCTATAAGCGTTAAAAGCTAAGGTGGCAGTTGTCTAGCCAGCCTTTGTATACGTGGTAGAGGCAGGTAAGTTGGTGGGCGGTAGAAGTTAAGGAATTTCAGATATATAGCGCTAAGCCTAGTTAGGCAACTATCACAACTCTAAAGTCCCTTAAAGCTAAGCTGCCTTATACTATATTTACTACTCCTGCACACTAAAGGATCCTGTATCCCCTAGTAAACCTAAGATCCTAGGGATTTAAGTCTGTTAATTAAGTTAATTAAGCAGGCACAATTTACTTAATTAACTTAGTAAATTTTGCTTAGCTAATTAACTTAATTAACAGCTATTAATTAAGTTAATTAAGTTAAGTTATCAAGTTGACTTGATTGTTGCCAACTCTACTCCCGTCTTGTCTATATTGTAGCAACTTTCTGGCAGAATAGTAGGACTCTGAATTACCTCTCTGACCGCCTTAAACAAGTGTATAGCTTTGTTATAGGTATTCTTCTTGTGACGTTCTTGTGACGTTTTGAGTCTATCGCCTTAACCCTCCTTGCTTTAAGTTCTAGAAGGCGTTTCTTAAAGGGCTTGAGCCTAGTTCTTGCCTAGCGGCTTTGTAGGGTTGGCTGTTGTCCCAGACTGCTGGCAAGCAAGGGAAAAAGCCAGCGAAGGTATATGCTTTATTTAGACTAGTTGCCTAGGATCAGACATTAATAACAAAAATGTAACAAACCTTTTCTCTTCCTCTAGAGTAAGGTATTGCTGGCGCTGGGCCATTTCCTTAATGGAGGGTCGTCCACGTGCATGACAATACAACGTATGAAGAGGGATCTTGTTCAGATAAGACAGCTCATGTCTCAGAAATAGCTTGCACATGACTGTTGATGGAAGTTTCTAGGAGAGCGCCACACCTGCGCCCGATCAAGTGTGGCATATAATACAATGCCCCTAGCTCGGTTTCTAGTAATTCATTTGTAAGTACGTTTGAGTCCTTATGCCAAGACACACTATTGCCTCCTTCGTACAGATAAATCCGGATTGCCTATTTTAAAGGCGTGGATGTCTTTAAAAGCTAACAAATATCTTCTGTCGTCATAGGACTGTGGGTCTATCGTTCCGAAAGTTAGAAGTCTATTCACAATCGTGGTTTAGCAGGGGTAGAGTGAGAATGGAGTTGTAAATGACTTAAAAAGAACGACCAACGGCGGAACCAAGCAGATTGTATTTTTTCTGGTGCAAACCATTTTCCTAAGGAATAATACATAGAGATTCCAGATACTCTAGCTACAACGTATTGAAACAGCTGTAGGGATAATTAAGATGCATTAACAATGGGTCCTTTGTGGCACAGAGAGTTTTGCGCTACGTAGGGGGAGACGTTATATGAAGGGCGACAAGATAGTTTTATCAATGAAATGAGAAAGAATTTGATTATGATAGCATGTGACGTCATATATTGCAAATATGGGATTAGCATTGTAGAAGAATGAATGGATGCACGATACGAATGGTGGATGGCCGGCGTCACACGAATGAGATCAATAAATACACAGAATAGACTTATCTCGCATAATATTCATTCGATTCTTTGGTGTCCGACACTATGATCGATCACGCCCTCATCACAAGCATACCTCATGATATATATACAGCAAATCTCAGACCGCGAACCCGTTTCTTGTGCAAGTCCAGAACAACCGTTCTGTTCAGCAGAAACCCCAGGTATCATACCACCACTAATGCATCGCTAAAGCCTTCAGAATTCCACCAACAGTATAACGCCATTCCATTCCGTCCAGTACAGAGATGCTCAGAGAATCATATCTTCCCAGTCTCAGGCGTTGAGACTCCAAGACCGTTGCTTATGCAAGCACATTCAAAGCCAGCCATGATGTCTCCTTCTCCCCCAATCCACCCTCGCCATCGCCCTCAAATCATCGCCATTCAGGTAGTCTACACCCTCCCGAACTAGCACTCGCCAGACGTGATTTCGCAATCCCACAGGCCACTTAGGCGTGTTCCAGTACCGAACCTTTAGTCCCCTTCTTTTCGCACCTTGGATCTGACCGCGGATGAGGTTCATTTGTGTGGGGGAGAGTCTACCGCCCCAGATGAGTCCGATTGATTTCCTGAACGAGACGGATGCGTAGTAGGAGTTTGTCATGTCGAAGGTGGAGGAGTCGTTGATGCCGACAGTGCCTTGACCAGAGTTGCGCTTCATGCGTGGCGGTTGGGGGTTACTGTTGGGGCCAGGCGCTTGGGAGAATTTCGGGGGATGGGAATGGTAGGATCCAGGTGTGGGAAAGCCGTCTTCAGGCTCCTCATACATGTCGGATAATGGTGCGTCGAAGAAGATGTCCCGGTATGTGGTGTTAGAGGTTATGAGGTCGAATGGAGCGTTACCGGTTGCGACGACAGTTATGGGACCTTGGAAGATAGTGGTGCCATCGGAGTAGGTTAGGAACCCTTTTTCTCTCAAAGCGGACAATTGTTCTACGACGACAGGATATATGTCTTCGCCTGAATTTTTGAAGTCGACCAGGAGGACGAGGGTTTGGGTTGGATCCTCATCAAATACGCCATTCTTAGTGGTACTAGAGGGCGCGGAGAATTCATTGACAGTGTTTTGCTGAACTAGGATGTTGACGAGGGGGTCCACGTATAAGGACCGGAAGGTTCGATTGCGAGTCAAGGAGATTGTGTTGTGTCCAACGAAGAGCTCGTTGTCAAAAAGCCAGACGTCTGCCTCGACGCCGGTGCAGCCGTAGTGGAGAGCTTGGTATAACGGTACTCGGCGCCAGTAGTCATTATGGGAATGGCATGGAATGGGAGTTACATCCCGTGTGAAGTCAGTGGGATACGAAGCAAGTCCCTCACCAAGTTCGCCAGGCTGTCCCCAGGCAGGGAGGAAGGAATGGTCGTCATCGTCCCATACGACCGGAACTAGTGACATGAAGACGTTGGTGATATGGACGATGCCACTGAGGAAGTCAGCAAATATCTTGGCATTGAAGCACACATGAAACTCCAACATTCCCGAGAAGGCCATGTAGGACAAGCGACTGTGTGATACCAAGAGAATATCCACGGGTTGCGGAACCCTGCGGAAGCGGAAATGAATGCCACGACTTACAAAAAGCAGAGGATCATCACCGGCACTGAAGCACAGCCTATCCTCACACCATATTTCCTCCATCGATGCCTAGATTCGCTCTTCTTCAGCAACCTCGCCTTCTCGCCTGGTAGGGTCAACAGTTCATGTGCAGGCATCGGTTCCCTTCCACTGCGTCTCCTTCGGAAGCCCATCCGCAAGCGTCTCCAAAAGCATTGGGTGTCTCTCAGGTCCACGTCCTCAAACCCTTCCTCGCCATCCTCGAGCGCCCTCAGCGAAACAATGGATGCGTCCTTCAGTGGAATGTCAAGATCTGAAGATTCGAAATCGTGGCGGAGAGAATCCGCAGCAGTGGTGGCCGGACGAGCCATGCCAGGAACAGGGCCAATCGTTGTCGATAGAAGCGGAAACCCTGTCGCGAATCGCGCAATTTGAGCTTGGCACAGCTTTTGGAAAGATCCAGGCTCTAGATGGGCTAGCGCCGAAGGGCTGCAAAAGCCAGGGGCCTCGGAAGTCGTTCTGCGGGATTCTAATATTGTGATTGTGCACCGGTACTTTGTAGATTGCAAGGTGGAGTGAAGAAGGAGTGGAGAGGAGATCAGTGGGTGGGTGTCGGCGATGTCGCTGCGATGGTTCGATGGTGACGGGCGCCAGAGCCTTTAAGAGAGACACAAACCAATATAACCGTGGCCTGGCCCAGGAGGCGCCACACGCTTGAGCAAAGGATCCAGACGACGGTTTGGGGGTCCGCACGGTGCGGGCAAGATGCGGACACGATGCCGTGTGACAGAGACGGCCTGGGATAAGTGGAAAAAAGGGACCTTTCGTCTGTCGAGCGCGTTTCGGCTGAAGCGCCGATGGCAGTTGGTGAGCAGTAAGAATCAGCAACGCACCAAACAGTGTGACACGCGGATCCTTTAAACCTGGAGGACAGACTTATACTCTGAGGAGATAGCGCCTTCAGAGTGTTTTCATCAAGGTGGATACCGAAGAGGCCGGAAACCGGTTCCCTCTCACGGCTGCGGCCACGATGTCTTCCCGTCGGCGTGATTGGCCCACTCCCTTTCACCATCACAGCCAGAAAGGTGCAATGGTTCGGTGACCAGAGCCACGCCGCCTGCCCCCATGCTTTGACTTGTCAGACATCCATTAAAGGTCAGCGCAATTGGCGATACTATCATTGGCTCGACCGTCTGCTTCATTTCATTTGACCATGATCGCCACCATGCCCGTTGTCCGAGGTTGGTGTTGCAGTCCCCAACATATCACCCACGCACAACGATTCAGTTCTGTCTCGGCGCCCAGAAACATCCCATACCTCGTTTCTGCACTTGCAGCTCCTGGTCTAAGTTTTCGGCACATGTCGTGCACGAGTCGGACCGGTCACGGTGAAGCACACCCTTGGCCATCACAAACAGTCGTGCTGTTTCAATTCTTCTCAAGTCTGCTCTGTGTGGTCTGCTCGAAATGCCTCACATTATTCTGGAATAAGCTATTTCAGGTTCAGTTTCTGAAGTAAAGACGATCAGTCGACAAAATGTTTCTTCTGGTTCACTGGCGGGATTTCATAATCGCTGGAGGGTGGCTCCGCCCGATTGAGAACAGCCGAGAAGTCTGGATCTGGAAGTGCAGCGGAGAAACCTGAAAAGATAATGGACTCCGATGGCGTTTCATTATGATAATATATGCTAAAATTGATATACGGGCTCGATATGAAATGCAACAAAGTGGCCACAAGAGTGATGATTACATGCAGTGCCGCGAATCTTACAGCCTCGATGAGCGCAAAGGTGAGGGTGAAGCATGTGATCTGTTCCGATGCCAAGCTTTCTGGGAAAAGCTTAGCCAGTCTGTTTCGGAACCTCGAATTTTCGCCAACTTTTCGCGACGAGAAAATTACACCACAACCCTCATCAACATGCCACACAAACATAAGAGGAAGGGCGACGCCAATGATTCGCTGTGAGTAGTGTCTGCGTCTCTTCGATATAGCTCACGCTAATTGTTTCACGCAGCTTCAACCTCGCACCCTCCGATCGAGCAGCACCTCTCCCCGTCGGCAAAACCAGAGCACCAAATTCGGCACCGAAGAAAAAGAAGCGCAAAATAGCTGACGGCTACGGTGAAGATGACACGCCAAAAGCTTTTGCCCGGCTCATGCAATTCAAAGCATCTAGTAAAGGTCCAAAAGGGCTCGACAATGGTCCCCAACCGAAGCAAAAGAAGCCCAAGGTCAATGAGGTATTGCCGGAAGATACGGTGGATAGTGAAGCACAGGCAATACCTAAGATCATGCCCGGAGAGAAGCTATCAGAATTTTCGCAGAGAGTGAACCAGGCCTTACCTTTGGCCAGCGTTCAAAAGAAGGGTAAAAAGGTTGAGGGCATGCGAGATCATAGGATGACGAGACACGAGAAGAAGCTGCGTAAACTACAAGAAGGTTGGCGTGCAGAGGAAGCGCGTATACGAGACAAGGAACAAGAAGAGCTTGAGTTAGCAGCAGAGGAGCAAGATGAGCTTGACGCAATGTGGGAAGACAAGACTGCTGATCTGCCCATCCCGAGTAAAAAGAAGAAGAAAAAGAAAGGGAAACGGAAATTGATTGTCGGCGAAGTGGATGATAGGGAAGAAGATCCTTGGGAGGCGCTGAAGAAGCAGAGGCAGGAGAGGAAGGGTCTGCACGATGTCGTCCAGGCACCACCGCAGTTCGAAAGGATACCAAGGGAGATCTTTAAGGTAAAGAACGGCGCTAGGGTGAATGTAGACAACATACCCAACTCAGTCGGGAGTTTGAAGAAGAGGGAGGAGCTGGGCGAGGCACGACAGGGCATTATCAACACCTATCGCAAGCTTATGGAGGCAAGGCGGAATAATTAACTTCACGATGCACATACAAGTGAAATGAATTCCTTGGACCGTTATAGCCCCCGGTTCCACCATTGATATTTCTCCTTCACACCATCTGATAATGAGCTGCATTCCATTCTCTTGCGTCGATGTCACTTTGGCATAGGAGGGGTGTGCCAAGACACTAGTGTGCCCCGCCACAACCTCTGAGTCGGCATTCCTGCTGCAGGCTTTGCCTGACCTGCAACCATCATCCAATACAACCTGCGTTCGATCCCCCACCTTTCCTTCGTCTTTTCATCACTTGAGATGATTTAGAATATCGAACTTCCTTGCTTGCTTCGCTGCCAGTAGCTGCAAGGGGACGGGCGGAAGAGATTATGGCGAAAGGTTTCGATGGGCTCATCGAGTTTCTACTTGGAGAGATCGCCCTCTGCGGAACCCAAGGTATGTTTGCTTTGTTGCTATAGCACAACCTCACCTCATTAGAGTGAATATAGTGCTCTCCATCCTCGACGAGACTGGTCCAACCTGTTTTCTACTTGTTTTCTGTTTCTGCTCTCCCCATTGATTTGGTCAGTGTGCGTTGCGTTCGAATCTCGCTTATCACCTCTGAACCTTCATTTTTACTCCACTAACCTTAATACATAGGAGCCGGCAGCGCAGACTTTCGTCGTTTCGTACAAAAGTATTACCAAGAAAATGGCAAACGTCCTTTGAAGTCATCTAGCAACCGAAATCTTCCTGCACACGATGGAAGGCTCAGCCGTCCGTACTTGGAGAAGCTCTGGAATTGGCTCTGCAGTCACCAAGACGTCCGAATCGTTCATGCCGGAGATACACGCAATGTGTCACTATTTGAGTTTGAGGCTCTAGAAAGACAAGAAAGTAGCTCTAATAGGGCTGGATCCACCGAGCGGTCACGACCCACAACGGCCGCGAAGCAACCTCGAAGTAGGCCAGGCTGTCCATTTGTCTCTGAGGAATTTTCACACCAGCTTGCCCAAGCTTTGGCAAACGACAGCGACGCATTAACCGATCCCACAACTCCAGGCCCATATGACTCGTTCAAGTTGAGTCCTCTAGGAAATGTTCGCAAACATGCCCATCGCAAGTCCACCGGCAACCGAACTTCATCGGGGCACAGACCAGAGATTGCGGAACATCATGGCGAGCGACCGCATGTACCTCCACCTGACTCAGGTACGTCTCCGATCCTCAGCCAGCAAGTTGACCAGGACGAGGACGACATTGTAATGGATTCAAACGATAATGGTTACGCCGAAACCCCTCTACTTGCCAAACCAAAACGAGGCCCTCGCAGGATGCCAAAAGGCATCTTCATGAACACCCCTGTCTTCGATGAACCCGCAATATCAACGAGCGCGCCACGTATATATGCTAGCCAAGACCGAACTTGGCGAGCGATTGCAGGACATTCGGTAGACCTTCAAAAGTTGCCCTGGATGGAGTTTGCCCTCTTGTCGATCATCGCATCTCACGGTGCTGACGGTATTCTTCAACCTGAACTAGTCCACATAAGCGGGCAGGACAAACGGTCGGTGCCGCACAGAACGGACATGCTAGCCAAGAAAGGCTATATCGAAAAGAAGCCCGTTCATGCAGTCAAGATGAGAACAAGTATATGCGTTCACAAGAAATTCGTCCAAAAGGGGCATTTTCTAAAAGCAGGCGACAGTGTTGAAGATGTGTTCGTGAATGGTAACATTGTTCTTTCGAACTTTGTCGGCCTCCTTTACAAGCTGTTACAGAATTTCGGAGTCGTAGCAGTTCGAGACCTTCAAAAAAAAATGGTAAGCTTCCCTTCCACGGCTGCCACACAGGTCAATAATACTCAGCAGGGCATTCCTATGAAATTGTGGAATCAGCGCGCTATCAGAAACGCTGTCATTCGGCTTGCAGAATCTGGGTTTCTTCGGAGGGTTCGAGCTCGGAGGAGGGGCTCTAGAGACACATGGCTTGTTTGCTTATCTGCCCTCCGAGAACCCAACGAGGACGATATCAAGAATCTTCATTTCAAGCGCAGAAATGAGAGTACCCGATCCATGAACAACATCCTCGAAGAAGATGAGGACAGCGACGACATCATGCGAGATCTTGAGCTTGAAGTAGATTTCGACGATAACGATGCTGTTGGAGATGACGATGAAGAGCAAGATGGGCTTGTTGACAAATCCCGCATTCCTCCACAATGGGATCCAGATCAAACGGTAGCGAACTTAATCTTCGATACCCTCAATCTAGCTGGAATCCAGGGTTGTTCTTCTGCCTTCCTAAGGGAGAGGACTGTTGGCAAATTCTGGAAACGACCTGTCGAGGCATTAATGAGCCGCATCACGGACAATTGGGAGGAGAGCCAACCACCCCATCTGCGGCATCTTGCAGTCATCAGAGATACTGCGGTCACCCAAGAGAAAAAATACGTTCATTACGTCTACCGCACTCATGGCCATTTTCAAAAAGCCGTTGATGCAAGAGAAGCATCGTGGGAAGCTGTCCGTAGAGAGGCGCAGAAAAGTTATTCCAACATGCCGAAAGGCCGTTCGCGAAAGACTGCCCAGGAGTCCATAAGACTCGATTCATGGGGCTTCCGACAGCTTAATCTGAATGATTTTTATGGTCGCCATGGTGCCTCATCACTTGCTGTCTGCTTAAAGGCGATTAAACGAGGGCCACGAGGAACGCAGTCCTGGGATAACGCGATATACAGAGAAATGGGAGATGATAAGCCTGGTCGTTCTCAGCGGTTACCTGCTCTAAGCCGCACTCAGCTTGTAACACGAGAAGAGCTTAAAGCGGCGACTGAACTAAAGCGTATCCGCGAGTATGCTATCGAAAAGGCCATGCGCGAGGCTGGCCAAGCACCTGCCGGGAGTAGAACACCCACTAAAGATTCTGGGACAGGCCTGACCTTCTTCAATAAGCCTCGGGGAGGCAAGGGGGCTCCCACACCCCTACTCACAGCTGAGCAGAGGGTGGCGCTTGGACTACCTGCGAGGGGTCGGCTCAAGCAAAGTATTGAAGACCAGATTCGAGAGCATCGAAGAAAGACAAAGAACCCATTTGCGTTACCGGATTTCATTGTGCAGGATGATGAAGGGTCACCCAAACCTAAGCCTAAGCCTAAGCCAAAGCCTGGAAATCACCCTAGCTCTAGCACGCAACCGCTGCTCACAAAAGAGCAGAGAATAGCAAGAGGGTTAGCTCCAATGGGCCGGTTGAGCAAAGCCGTTCTCGAAGAGCTGCGCCGAGAACGTGGCATAGTTGGAGCGCCTGCTACCCCAGACACGACAATGAATCTCGAAGCTAGCCAGAATGTTGACGATACCGCATTTACTATCTCAGGGGATAAAGAAACCCCGCAAAGTCAACCAAGGACTCCAAGAACCATGGATCAACTTCAAAGTCTTGCGGGTATGAACGACCAGAATGAGCCGATCGATGCTACAACCACGCCTCAGGCTACCCCTTCTACCGCTACGAAACGCAAGGCAGGTGAGTTTGAAAACCACCCCATCAAAAGGATGAGGAAACCGCGTAAGACGTCGGCCGTAGACACACCTGGATCTGAACATCGAACCATACCAAAATCAGCTGTAGCATCACCCTTCCAAACAGATGCGCTAGCAGTTGCGAGCAGTGGGCTAGGGCGCGACGGTCCACAAAAGGAAGCGGATTCGTGGAATCATGCAGGGTCGAGCACAACACCTTACCCTCCAGCAACTTCAGTCCAAGAAATCTCTGCAGTCATCTCCCGTCGCGTTGAGGAGATCGTAAACAAATTCACGCAACGTTCGGAGCCTGGGATTTATGTGAATCCGTTCATGACTCGCCCAATTGCAAGGGGTCGCCCCAGGAAAGCTCTATTTGCTATCTTCAAATCATCAAGGTTGAAGGAATTTGAATGGTTTCGACCCGATCCAACTGTTGTGCGCAGAAATTATGAACTCTCAATTCCGGGACAGAAGAAGCGCAAACGGGCAAGACCATCTCTTGCAGCGAGTAAAGAACTAACACCAGGAAATGATATTGTTGCTCCCAGTGCTGAGCAAGAAGAAGGACATCCATCCACAGAGCGGGCTAGAGTTGATCAGACCGAAGATGCGGAAGCTCAAGTTGCGCCAGCTGAGCCCGAGCAGCCCGAAGCCATCCAAGCTGCTGACGACGTACCATTAATGATTGAAACACAAGCCTCAGTCGCCTCAACTAACGTCGGGCCACCGAACCCTCCCATATCGCAACCGGAACAACTCATCTTTCAATCATCGCATCCTACATGGACTCCGATTAATTTCCCAGCGGCTCATACTCCTACATATGTTAGCCCATATGTCAACACATCCGTTCCACCCATACAATCCGCTACTCCACCAACGACAGAAAAGGAAGGAGGCGACAGAAAGACAAGCAATCCAGCACAAACCACTGACAATGATGAATACGCTGTCGTGGATCTAAGTGAAGGTAACAGTACCGATGCAGCTACTATCTACGAGCTCAGTACCAGGGCGTACACGCGCAAGCCGCGATACTTAGCCTTCCCCAGCGGTGTACGTCTTGGCCAGGGCAGTGTTCACCATCTACGAAGACAGATCTTCTTGGAACTTCTTGCACGTTGCGGGGGTGTATTCCCTGGCAACGGAGAGATTGCCAATCCCTTTTACACCTTGTGGGATAAGCGCGCTGCTCCAGGATGGAATAAGCCTGACCGTAGCACTCTAAATAATACGGTCAAGTTTCTCACCCAGAGCTCAAAACTCAAGAGGTTTCAATTTCAGATGACCAATTTTTATGGCGAAAAGGAAATTGACAAAACAATCCTCGCCCTTCCGCACCTCACGCCTTCAAGTCCAGAGGTCAAGGAGCTCCAACGTAATATGATTTCTGTTTATCCAAAACGCTTCATTCCCAAGGCAGTCCATGATCTCCTTGGAGGACAGGACGCGAATTCTCGAGTGGTACCTCTAGCGGACATAGACGCAACGATTGAGATTCCAGACTCTTTTGCAGAGGAAAAACTAGAGCAACGAATCACGGCATCGGCGCGAGCCCGGAGGAGCAAGGCTGAAAGTCGAAGACGAAAGGACCTTGAGGAAAGGAAGAGGATGAACGAAGAGATTGAGAGATACCTCTTAGGATCGCGTGGATGTCGTCATGATCGAGTTGCACGTATGAGGCTGGAAACCCTGAACGCCGGGCCTCTAACTAAGTCAGGGCGTTCAAACAACGGCCAATCATATCTTCATATGGTCCGCCAATTCAATATCGACGATTCAAATGAAAGCGATGGAGGTCGAGCACTATCTCCAACACCGTCTGCATCTTCAGAAGATTCGCTGTCTGCACCACATGCCTCTTCACACTTCGAGTTCGTTGAAAATACTCTAGAAGATGGACCTCGCGACACCGAATCCACTTCTTCAGACTTCGAATATGTTGGACCCAGGCCGAGGTACGAAGCTCTCAAATCAGACCTCAAGCCGGTTTCTGGAAGGCGGACCACATCAACTAAAGCAGACCAACCTAGAGATGACGATGGATTCGTGAACATTGATGCTTCAGCTTTCGATCCGCAGTACGAGATGCAAACTGTCACAACACTCTTAGATCCAAACATTCGCTTTCACTCCACGACTGGCACGTTTTCTACGGAGTTCGCTGTCCAACGTAACGCTCGCATCCATCTTTGGGTGGACCCAAGCAACAACCCGGTCAAAAATCCACTTAAATCCCTTTCGGAAATCCGCACGCAGGGTCTCGGAAAGTCTGCTGACGAGGTTGCTGTATGGCCACAAGAGAAGGCTATGCTGGAAGACGCCATACACCGGAAGTTTTACCAGGACGTCGGCAACATCATCGCATGGGAAGAGCAGTACAGAGATTTTCTACTCAGAGCAGGCTTACCTGAGAGAGAGGACGCACCCGATTCATTTATTAACCTCGAATTTCCTGGCCGGCATGAAACTGCAAAAATGGAATCTTTACAGCGTAGTTTGCGACCTGGAGTTTCCTACAGGAGTCGATCAAGAAAGAGAATCCGTATTTTTGAGAACGACAACAGTGATCTTGTCGATGACGAAGGCCCGCAGAAGAAGAACCCTCACAGCCAGAAGCTATTACCTAAAGTGCATGGCGTGCTTACTAGTCAAGCGGACGATGATGAAGGGAGCGATCCGGCACTTAGGTATCAACAGAAACACACTCTCAATGACGAACCAACGGTTGTACAACGATTGGTCGGTCTTACAGGTAATCCGGAAGAACCAACCCCAGCTCCAAGGCCGAGGCCTAGAGGATACCGCCTGAGGAATCCGAACAGGGACCATATTACCAGGGCCGTTTTCGTGGAACCAGACATCACCGATAAGTTTAAGAAATTGTTCTTGACACTTGTCATTGCATCGTCCATGTCTGGTGAAGATGGAGGCATGGACTGGTCAATTGTTGAGAAGGTGTACAGCTCAGACTCTAGCTTTAATCAGCAAAAGCTAAGGAAGATCTGGAATTGGATGCAGCGGAACATGGCTTCTCAAGTCAATGCTCTAAATGCCACGTTTCAGTCTTCCTTCCTCAATGCGTACGAAAACGGCATTCTTGACAGCATTGAGGACTTTAAAAGCTACGATTGGGGCTCTCTAGTCCAATGGGCAATGAGAAATTGCAAGTATCCCAGTGCTCTGCTTCCCAAAGATCATAGGGTGCTCCGGGACTACTTCGTCGATGAATCGAACTATGAGCCATTCAATCGCCGAGATTGGTACAAGAAAGACTTCCCGCTCGTTCACCGTGAACGGCGAACATTGGACCTAAATTACTATGTCCCTATGCACCCAAAAACCCCATCTACCTCTTGTCATGAACACGCTCTCTTACGGGCGCGCTCCTGGATACGTTCCAACATTGCAACACCCCAGTCCATCTACGATAGCAGGTTTGCACACGACAAGCTGTACCCTCTGGGTGCGCCTGTTATTAAGGAGGCTGTTAAGGAATTGGTGGACTCCAAGGCGATCAAGCAGAGGAAGTCGAAGCGCTTAATGCCAGGTCGGAACTTTAACTTCACTGCCACACTTGCGATCCAGTACAAACGTACGCTTGAGTTGGTGCATTTCATGGAAGCGGTGGAACACAAAAAGAAACTGGACGCTGCGTTCTCGAACATCGATATCGAGAAGCGAGTTGTGGAAGTATCTCGAAGTGCCGACGAAGGTTTCGCTATAATGCTCTACTCCCTTCTAAATGAAGGACGGGTGAGAATGGTGCCGCGATTACCACCAATCAACAACGACATTGACGGCCCTAGCCCAAGAATATCAAAGTGGGGTTTCGTTACTGCAGAGTACAATTCGAGGGGCTTCGATCGCTGGCAACTCTTCTGGGACATCGATGTTGTGCCGACATCAATCTACCAATATGGAAGTCCCCTCTTGCCTTTGAAAAATCCACTTCCTTCCTCGACTGGATCTTGGGCGCAAATAGAGAGACCGCCGCTTTCCGATCCGAATGATCCGAATGCATTGCTACCGATATGGAGCAGTATTGATGGGAGAACGGTTATTTGGCCCTGGTGGAACCGCGTGCTCAACCTGATCCTCCATGCCCTGGTCTTTCTCCCAGGCTCCTCAGCCAAAACCATCCATAGGCAGTGCAGTAAGGGTGCTGAGCTTTTCGAAGTTGAAATGGTACTCTCCTGGCTTGTATCTGTAAATGCAGCTAGCAAGCACGGCGCTAAGAAAGGGGGTGTGGACATGGCAACTTACCGAGCAAACCCAGGTTTCTGGGCTGCGTTTGGCGACCAGTTAATTGGTGAAAAGGATGATTGGTTTGGCGAACATATTAAGAAGAAGAAGTCCGAAGGAGAGCTCCAGTGGCGATCCAAGTACAACACTCGTTTCTCCCAAATGGTGAATTCAGAGAATGGCATGGCGGTAGCAGCAATAAATGCAGTAGGTAATGGGGAGGAGGAGGCCAGTGAGGGTGAGGGAGGAGATGGTGGGGGGTATGGGGGCTTCAGCGACGCGGTACTTTGGAACTCACGGAGCCAGTATCGTTACATCAAGGGTCTAAACCAAGGTGCAGAACTGAGCCCCCAGGTTCGCGGCCTCCGTCCCACACGAGCTCCTACGACTACACCGGGCGCGGGGCCTCTCCTGTACACGATTGCAGACGGAGACAGTGATGCGGCCACCATGGACTGGGAACCTACACCACGTAGGAGAGGAAGACATCGTGTCTCCTTCGCTCCTTTACCGAGGCCTCAAGATATATCCGTGCAGGAGGAGGTTGTAGAGAATGAGGATGTAGATATAGATGCGGAAGGTGAGCCTGAGGATATCGATGCTGAGGGTGAGCCGGATGATGAGATGATATGATTTCAAGGGCGATGATGGAGTGGTATCTTGGCCCTTTACTTCGGCTGATTTCAAACGCTACAGTGTTCTAGGTGCATGCATTTCCTGGCGTGGTGGGTTAGAGGGGATGATACCATTGCTTCGGATATGTGCTTTGTATGATAGGAGGGAAACGAGGGGTAAGGGAAAGCTAATAGCGTGGCATATAGGGGATCAGGATTGATATGGGGATATCAGAACATGGTTTACGTGGTAGAAGACCTTTCTAGATTCTCTTTGAGATCTTGTTTACTTCGCTGTAATACACTGACATTGTCCCTTTGCCGAATACCTTGACAAGAATTAGGGTTAGGTGCTAGACTAAAATAGGAATAGCTAGCCCCGAGCCTTGAAATGCCAACGAGCTCCTATATCCCGCTTTATTAAATAAGCAGTTCTATCCCCAAACATATCAGTAAGATCTAATCCTCTTTTTGACAGTGAAACTTCAGTAAACTACTATCCGTATTGGAACTTGCGATAATTGGGTAAACATTTGCAATACTAAGTCAAATAACATTTTATTCTGAGGGAACGATAACGCTAGAAGTTTGTGAAGAGTTCTCAGGCGATCTGGATCCAGTATTCGATATGAGGGATGTTTGGGCTGCTGTCAATTGACGGAGGCGTTACTAGATAGATCACTGTCGGTTACAGGAAAGGAGACAGGATACAACCGACTATTCGAACTATATGTGCCTCAAAACTGCGTAGGAAGATTTTGAGGAAAGACACCGGGTCTTGATTAGAAGCAAAAGCAATCCGATCCGCAGCCATTATAGGCTTGGCAATGAATTCAATTCCACGTGACTCTTCAGTCCCTTGCTCATGTCGCCTGCATGGAACATGATAGCATCAACTCTCCCACTCACTCTTCATCTCACCTTTTTTCCAACACATCCAGCCGCAACCAAAATCTCCAATCCCATTCCTCAGTGGCTCGGGCACTCCGTGAAGCGGTGAACGCCGCCCAATGAGCGCCCCACTTCGCATCCACAGTCAATCCGCCAGCTGCAAGCCTCCTGCAAGCGAAGACAGAGAAAGGTATTCCGAGGAGGATTCTGCGGGACGGAACGAAGCCATAAAATCAGGGCAATGAGTCTTGGGGGCTTTGGGTGTGTCTATTGGGTTGGAGTGACAGAATGGGAGCGTGGTCGTATTCGACAATCTGTGACACATCGTGACATATCGTGACAGAGAGTTTTGACAGCCTGGGGTGATCCTAGTTCGTGTGAATGTGGAAGTCATGTGATCGGATCTAGATGCACTTCTAAGTTTGTTTTGGGAGAGGGGAGAAATGGAGAGAAAGTAGTTGTTACGGAGATTAGGCGGTCTGGTGTGGCGAGTCGTTTCTGAGTGTTGGATGGCTGGAAAATGTACTCTATTGCAGAAAAGCCTTTGTCATTGGTGGATGCAACGCTTGGCATTTGAAAAAGTCTCAACATACTTTGATGGTATGATGTTGGGGATTTGAAATTGACATGTTGCAGGTGACTGATTCTCCGCTAGCCATGCAGACGGAACGCTTGACATAGTAAAAAAATTTAAAGCTATTATAAACCCAATCCCTGCCTCACAAAGATATCAAGATATTAAAAGACGTGGAACAAAATGTTGCAAAGTTCATTCAGCCAGCCGTACGAGCGAACCCTAGCGATACCGCGCCTGTTAAGATGTGCGAATCGGGATAAGATGCCGTTGTGGCAAGCACCCATCCCGCAATTCCTTCCCTTGTCCAGCCATGACGCCCAAAAAGCCAGCCAACGTTAGTCAAATTACCCGAGATCGAGATGAGAGGAAATGCAATATCCTTCTTTAAGCGCACGCGACACACACTCCACATATACATTGCTTGCTGTCAACATGCCTTGCCGACGGGCAGGATTAGGTGCAGGATATTTTGCTTGCCCGGCTCCAAACCACCCCACTCAGCTGGTAAGCAGACAGCCACCGACCAGGCGGCCAAGCCAGAACCTTGGAATGAACCGAGGGCGTAAAATTCCCATGAGACGAGATGAGACTTGCGCTTAGTGCGGAGCGGTCTAGACGCGCAACGCATCCCGAAGCGCAACTTCACATGATCTTGGAGGGCGTATTTCGAAATACCCAATCCGGTAGAATGTTGTCAGACTTTTGGAGCCGGTTTGCAGGATTGGCGTGGTGAGCTGGCTGGCTTGGGTCAGATGATAAGGAATCGCTCGAATCATCCTCCCGAGACTACCCATTGATTGCGCCGCCAGCCGGAGGTACCATTGTTGGCGGTGGTGATTGTGCCTTGGAGGGTGTATTGGCGGGCTGGCATGCTGTTTGTTGAGACGCGACGAGAATAGGATATTGTGGTTTGATCCAGGGACTCCGGCGAGGGATCTGGGTCTGAGTGTCGACGTATTGTTGGGAGAGGATATAATCGTGGATCATATGGTCCTGGGAGAGGCTGTGGTGGAGTTTTCCAGGGATATATGGGCTTGAAAGAAGGTGGCGTTGTGAAGCTCTCCGAAGAAATTTGAAACCGTCTTGAATCTTTCTCTGGAGGGATAGGGTATGATGTCCGGTTCTTCTCTTGAGCTTGCTGGCATTGCTTTCTTACCCGTCTCTTTCTTCTGGTGCAATATAGCACTCCACATCTTATACAGCTTGCAACAACAAGGACGAACAGAAAGATCTCTGGTAGCTGGGCATATCCATTCGATATCGGAAAGCCTGATATACGGGACGGGCCCGTGGGTACGGACGGAGGAGGCATGAAGAAGTTGCAAAAGGGTCAAGGGCAACTGAGCTTTAAGATGATCTCCTCTGCATATGGGAGGGTGTCGTGGGATGCAGGTGTCTGGCTCTATCAGCCAGTCAGTGGGAGGGGACCACGCGCAGCTTTCAAAGAACTCACATGGAAGCGGGAGAACCGTTGGCATAAGCACTAGGGCATGTATGCTCCGGTGAATGTCAGCAAATAACTTGCAAAGCGTCCTGTAGGATTAGCACATGGGTTAAATATGACGGGCGGCGAGCTTCAGGTCGCGTCTGCATCGTGAAGGGAGCGCCCCTCATAATAGCAGCACGGGAAAAGCACCACGCCGCACCAGCAGCAGGGCTTCCGCGCGGTGGCACGACCAAGAATAACCAGAATGCGGTCCATGGTACGATGAAACAAAGGACAGCCAGCTCTCCTCAAAGGAGGATGATGCACGAGATGCGCGGAGGCAAGTGAAGCGTTTCCATGATCGACAGCCAAAGTTCGTGATTTTCAGCTGTGACAGGCACGCCTCTCGATGATTTACAGGACAAGGCTGCTAGGGTAGCCCGGAAGCAGCATGGTTAGCATTGGATGCGAGCGACTTCAGCAGAGGTGCGGGCCTTGGCATGAAGTTGGGTGCGGAATCTTCAGCTGAAGTGGGAACAGGAGGCGTCGGGTTGGCGCGGCCTTTCTCCCACAGTGCAGCGCACGCCGAGATCCGAAGGAATCCTCGAACAACGGGCGAGCTGGACCTTACACCCACTTTCCCACACCATCACACCCTCGACCGCCACCAAAGCACCCTGAGATCAAGCTTCATCGCGAGCCTGTTTTGTCGCGACGCGTGATGCTGGCCACCGACGCCTTCAGCTGCACTGCGGCCGCCAACCGAACTTCAAGCTCCTCCACGCGCGTCTGGAGGGAAGCCATGAAGCCTTTGGCAATGAAAAGTAAAGTCACTGAGCTCGATCTCCTCCTGTCATGCTTGGAGGAGAGCTGCCGGCCTTCGGCTTTTATCTTCCTTCTCAATGCGACTTTACCGTTCTTGACATTCACTGCGTTAAGGATATATTCATCATGGCTTCTAAAATTATAGCTCCACCAGATCTCCAATCCTCCAGGAAAGCCAGATCTGAAGTGTCTGGATCGCCAGCCACTAGCGCCAGCCATAAAGTACCTGGGCTGGCCAAAGGGTCTCGATGTTCCGAGTCTGGATTCATCAATTGAGACATCTCGCGACAAGAAGAGAAAGAGCCGCATACCAAGCTTCACAATGGTGGCTCCCACAGGACGCCCCCGGTGATCGGAGCCAGCTGTTCGGTGATGGAGGCCTTCTTGTGCTCTCACAAGCGCCGAGCCGAGGACGCTATTGTGCGGAGTTTCCCAAAGGACACCAACTTTGCAATATCAAGCCCCTCCAAGACGGCAACAAATATTCGCACTGTCCTCTCGACAGCGATTTCCAGATGCAGAAGCCTATTACACATTACCTAGCATGACGGCGTGCGATGGAACGCGCGTGACAGATATCAAACCCTCATAACCTGCTTCGGTACAACCTCAAAGCAAAATGACGCATGGGTACGCCGTGAGTGGTTGACTTGTAAATTGTGCTGAGAGGTAAGCGTTCTTCATCTTTAAAGTATGCCCGAGTCGCTTCCTCTTTGGGCCATTTTCTTCAAAACAGCGGACGGGGATGCCGTTGCCACGCGGCAACTGAGTTGTCTCTCTACCCCTAATAGCAGGGCGTTGTAAGATGAGTAGGTCTTTTCTTCTTCGAAGGCAAAACACACTCGGAAACTAATCTTGAGAAGCATTCAGTTTCAAAAGAGAAAGAGGATATAAGGAGAGGGTTTAGTAGATCTTTGCTGTTACTCAGGGGACATTACTTCAATTTTAGATTTCTGGCATGTTAGTACTTGGAGCTTGCATTGGCCATCAAGCAGGGAGTCGAGGACAGCGCCTCTTTCACTGCGTGCCCAGCTGCACCAGCAAGAAACATATTAAGTCTCCCTGATGTTATGTAACGTGTACTGGCATGCGAGACTTTCACCGGTCCTCCGTCACGCCATAGTAGCCATCTAGGCGCCAGCATATCGCTACACCCTCAAGTTCCCGAATTTGTACACCCCTATCCGGGCCCATCTTTCTCTACCCGTGGCGCAAGCTGCATGCACAGCCACATTCCTTCCGCACCCCCCACCCAATCAAGTGACTGTAGACGTCGCTTAACAACCTCAATTCCAACGTCTTCGCTCCACCACTCTCCTCTCCCGCTTACCGTTTCCCCTAAAGATCTGATGATCGTTGGCAGACCGCCTTGTGCTGGTGCTAGCACTCTTTATCTCACCGGTCTGTCTGCGTCAATCCCGAGCGGTAGGTGACGTTGAGCTTGGAGTATTTCGCCACGCAGTCGAACTTGGAGGTACACCTATCGCTTCAGGTTGGAAATTACGCATTCAACGTCCAGGAAGGCTTCCTGTTTCTCCTCACTGACGAGCTGCGCCTCCCGTGGTACCTGTGGGTGTTCAGCTACACTCCCTCCCTCATGCCCGCTATGAGCGTACGAGGGCTTCGTACCGTTTCTCAAATGTCGATATTTGTATTCGGCTGCTAGGAGTCTGGCATTCTCCCTCAGCTCATCTCATCTCATCGATCACATATCACCAACAGATAGGCAGCGCGTCCGAACTGCCTGCCGAGGCTTCGGGACTGAGTGCGGAGTATCCGCCATCTGACTGTGTTTATCAACTACTTCAACTGGAAAACTTACTGCCCCACCCTCCATCCACAACCACTCCGGACCTAGACTCGCATGTAGAAGATACATTCTCGGAGTTAACCTCTAGTTTCTTCACCCTGCAGTACGACGTCGTGGGCGGTTGGAATAAATGTTTGGCTGGAGATTCTGGCTGGCTAGAAAGCATTGTACTTAAAGACCACGTACGTAGATAGGTATGCGATACGTACGTAGAGAAAGTGGATAAGTTTAGTGCTTGGGTTTCGTTACGATTAATCAAGTATGTGCATTCAATTTTCTCGTGACGAATATCTGCCTAACGAGTCGGCCTCTGTGCTTTTAAGGCCCTACTTTTGGACATAAAATGCCGAGATTGAGATCGTTGCGTGCTTAACATTGTGTCCTCAACCCAAACTAATATGGTATGGTCCCCTGTCTAAACTTTTGCCGTCATCCCGCAGAGCTGATGTCTGCGGAGATCCAAGAGTCGGTCAATTAGAAATCTATTCGTTTGTGACGCAGCATTGGTGGCGATGCTGTGGAGCGAGCATCTTTCTAATTCCCAAAAAAACAAACTGTTTACCGAGACGAATTAAAATATGTATTAGTCCTGTATGGATAGTAGAAATTGAAGGGATATCTTGACCCAGGTTGATTTGGACGAGCGTGCAAATTGTGAGGCGCAGACGGCAAATGGGGATTTCCGTCAGCTCTTCGAGCATCCTGTCTGGTCAGTCTGTCTGCCCTGGATCCCATAGAATAATATTTGGAAGATTCCGTCCCGGACACTCTTGCCGATCTCCCGGTAGTAAGGTCTTGTATGTCTGATTTCTAAGACATCTACATGAACTCCGCTCTCTTGTTATCTAATAGTCGAATCATCCAGCCAGCGTAGCTGACACACTTCCTCATGCAACCAGCAATGCGAGGGTAAATCCCAAAGCAGTCTAGTTTCTTTCGAATACTTCCGTACCAGCAGAAATATAGCCATTTGACCGACGTCTTGTAGACGGCTACCCAGCTACCCACCGTGGATAGATATAGAAGTGGTAGGCGTAACGGGATAGGAGGTGAGCGGCCAGTGTAGATATGGTATTATAACGGAGTGTGCAATCAAATCGCGAATCATTGAATCCATCCTCTACTTACGAGAGCCGTTTGATATCTAGCGATTAACCCCCATGCTGGTAGGACATCCGTCCAAATTCCTAGTCGTATGATATATCCGCTCCTACTCCAAGTTCTCCTCGCCACAAAACCCAAAATCCTTATCCAAAGCCCCTCATCCCTCTCCCTTCTCCCGATTTCCACACATTCCCCTCACCACGGCTCCGCCCACCCCCAGCACCAATTCCCTAAGTCCCTACCCTACCTTCTCCTCTCGCCAACCCACCGTTCCGTCTCGCTATAGAACCTAATCAACGCCTCCGCACCCACATAATCGCCCTGTCGCAAAAGCTGCGCAATGTCCACATTCAACGGGCTATCCGGCTCCGCACTGGTTAACAACTGGTGTATGCTCGTCAACGTCGTCGTGATGGTGTACGCTGGCGACCACGAGGATTTCAGCAGATCAAGACAGATTTCACCAGTTTTGAAGTCCACGTTCGGGTGACAGATAGGGGTTATGAATTTTATGGCGGGGGGTGTGAGCGGGTAGGTTGGGGGGATTGAGATGCTGAGCGCCCAGAGGCCGTCTAGAGGGAGGGGGGCGGTTAGCATAGCTCATATCACCGCTATCCGTGCCTGTATACCTCTGTAGGGGTGGTTTGGAAGCAGTGCGAGAGGTGGAACAAACCTTCATATGCCGTACCAGGTACGCCTTTCATAACCGCCCGCCAATGCATCAATTCATCGTCGTCTACGGGTCCTAGTTCTACGAGTGCTTCGTTGGGGTCGGAGTGGTAGGTTTGGAGTTCGGTGAGGAGACGCTTGGTGGGCGATTGTGCACGCGATGAGCCCGCCATGTTTTGAGACTCTATCCTAAACACCAGATACAAGGTATATGAGGGAGAGAGCGAGGGAGTGAGAGTGAGAGCGGATGTTGACGCTTGAGCTGGCCAGTTGCCGGCCTCGGTTCGAGCTGCGGGCGCGTGGTGCACAGAGCTTTCAGCGGCCAGCCCCGCGAACTTTTTGGACAAGGCTGGACCTGCATTTCCCCTCCACCACCAGCAATCGCAACATCTTCCGATCCTGGTTTTCTAACGCAAAAATGGCCCCAGAAGCCCACCTCTCGCATCTCCATCGCGCAGACGGCTCCGCGACTTACACACACAACGGCTACTCCGTCATCGGCGCTGTGAATGGCCCCATTGAGGTCCAACGCAGAGATGAGATGCCCGAGGAAGCTACCCTGGAGATTCACGTGAGACCTGCCGCTGGTATTGGAAGTAGGTGCTTAGTTCAATTCATCTTCCCCGCGAATCGTCGTTCTAGAGCTAACAGAAAACCTACCTAGGTCCCAAAGAACGCCACTTAGAAACCCTTCTCCACAACACCCTCCGTAGCATCATCCTGACGCGGAGCATACCGCGAACCCTCGTCCAAATCACACTGCAAGTTCGGAGTCTGCCTGAAGGGGGGACCGTAACTGATGTGAACACTGTGAGCCCACGCCCCCACCCTCCTACCCTTTGCTACTTTGGACAAGTCTTAGGTATATTTTGGGTATTGACAAAGCGCAGAGTCTAGCGCTCCTTCCCCACCTCCTTCAAACCGCACTCCTCACCCTCCTAAGCGCATCCATTCCCCTGTCTACAACCCTGACTTCCGTGCTCGTCGCTATTCCAGCGTCGAAATCTTCCAAGCCTATAGCACCGCTGCTGGCCCCTACGGCCGATGATCTGCTGCGTGCAAGACCAATACGGTCGACTCATGTCTTCGCGTTCTCTGGAAATAGGAAATTGCTGTTGAATGAGAGTCACGGCGTGTTCACTTATGAGGAGTGGGACGAGGCGTGTGAGATGGCTGAGGAGGTGTGTTGTAAAGACAAGGGGGGGGTAGGGTTGAACGAAGGTGTGGAGGTTGATGGAAGTCAGGTTAATTTGGATGAGTGGTTGAGGAGTGTGGTGAAGAGAAAGGTGGAAGTGGAACAAAGGTGGAGGATTGCTCCTTGAGGAAGGCGCAAGGGAAGAATGAAGATATCGAAGATATGATCGGTGGATCTTCACGTGGCTTTGGCTGCTTATGGACGGCCGATGCACTGTCGAACGAGTGTCACGACAGCGCAGGCTTTGCTAGCTGCGAGGGCTGAACGACTCGTCTGCCATGCAGCGAACTGAGTCTTAGGGTTGCGTGGGGCTGCCACCATCCTCGCGAGAGCGCTGCCCATGAGGGCAGGATGTAACAGCTCATTGGCGATATTCGTCACCATGATTCAGGTAATGATTCAGTGTGGTGACATATCCAAGTCAAAATGCAGATTCATCCAAGAATAAATATTACAAGATGCCAATCCAAATTGCAGTCTGCCCAAAATTCCTATGCCTGTGACCAGAGGCTGTGATATGTGATTTTGTTGTATACCAAGCCGCTACCAAGAAAGCGTAGAACAAGATCAATGTTGTGATAGTCGTAGATCGTAAAGTCGTGTCCATTCAAGGTGCCGAGGTATGCCATAACGATTGCGCGCTCATACTAAAAATGCCAAAGAAAATCCAGCTCAGACCTCCTCAATCCCCTCAGCAACGCTCTTTTCATCCTCTTGCGCCTGCTCATTCAACATGTCCATCAGAAACTTTTGTGGATCCCATTCTGGGACTTGCCATGTTTGCACACCTTCTACCAGCTCTTTCTCAGCCAGTCCCACCCCTTTGGCCATCTCGTGTGCGGCACTTAGCCAGCGTCGCCAGGCGGGTGTATCCGGTGCCGCGCCGTTCTTTACAACCCAGTCCACATTCTTTGTTACGACGATGGTCCTCCAGAGCGCTTTTGTGTATGTGTTATTCGCGCTCGGCATGCCCTTGAGGGTGGTGCAGGAATCAGAAAGGTACTCGTTCTGCACGGTGTAGCAGGATGAATCCCAATGCAGCTTTGCTGGTAGCGCAGCAACGATCCAGTATGAGGAGCCGAGAAGCATATATGACGCTGCCCAAGCAACCTGGAGTTCAATCTGCGAGTTGGCGAGGCAAATGACGCCCCCCATGAGCATCATTGTGCCCACCAGACTCAGGATCCTGTACGCGGGGCCATGCTGTAACAGATACTTTATCGTCTCTGGCGCGAAATAGAGCTGCCTTGCCACATCCTCCGTACACCGGACCACAAGGAAGCTGCCTTTGGGGTATCGGATCACGACATCACCCCGTGGCACTTTGCCTGAGCTGTCCATGCGCTTAGGGAGCACTAGTGTCCATTTATTGCCCCAGCCAATAAGTGAGGAGAGGAGGGAAAGAAGAGCTGTGGCGACAATTGACATGCCATCTTTCTTGTATATGGAGAGGGCGAGTAGGAGGCCAGAGAGCAAGAACCCGAGGAAGAGAACGAATGTGAGCGGTGCGATGGTCTTGGACTTCAGGTCGTTAAGGCCAGTGCGTTCGATGGAGACGACGCGGACAGAGTGCTCGGGGAGGAAACTGGCATCGCTGTGGTTCTATGTCAGCCTAGACATAGAAGGGTAGTTCCTCCTTCATTCGCGAGAAGTTCCTCCTTCAATGGCAGCCGAGGAAGGCGCGCAGAAACCGCCTGGGCAAGAGACTCACCAGACGATGTTTCCAATGTGGTTAATTGAACCTGTGTGGTTGCCCGAGAATACGCCAGTCACCTGACCAGGGGCGGGTTCAAGCTTGACTGGCCTGGTCGGCCGCATCAGAGCTTGTGGAGCTGGAATCAATCGTGGCAGGAAGATCCATTTCGATAGTGTGGACACTTGCGCATTAGCGAGAACCGAACCCTCTCCCAGTATAGCTAAAAATCCAACAATGTCAAGCTGCAGCTCCTCGAGCTTCGCTTGACCCGGCTGGCCTATCCAATGCAACATGATGTGGTCGACGGGTGATTTGGAAACAATACGCAGGGGAAAACCCAAAGCTAGAGCTCAGCAGTACGATGTGAAGACATGGGTTCAGCGGAGCGCTAAGGTAGTCGTCGGCGCAGCTACGAGGGTATATAAGATGATAAGATGATAAGAGAGCCTCAGGCACACATTTGACGATTGAGGACGAAATACGGGAGGCGGTGGGCAAATAGGGACACTATAGGATGAAGAGAAAAGTCCTTGCGCACGTTCATGGGTCAGAGCTCGAGGCTTGACTGGACGTTTTGCTCATGCTCAGCCTCACTGCGAACAGTAGAGAGTTGATGCCTCAGGCCGGAGAAGTCGGGAAGGCAACAGCCCCCTGGCGCATCGAAGCGTAGCATAGCCTCAAAAGTCAAAGTCCGCCTGGGTTGACTTCGAAACCTCATTCTTTGCACCAGCTTTGTCGCAGGTAGCTCCGAGACGACTGCGCCCGCTTGCCCCATCAACCGAGAGCTTGTCCTGTCACCGCTTTATTTCGTCATTGCTTGGTCCTCCGAATCGCGGTCCGATACTCCCAACTTCATGCGCCAGGCTGCATGCACAACGACCTCATATCCGCACCATCGTCAATAAAATCCTTCGAAAAGCCACCTTTCCGTTGTCGCGTCGGTTAGGGCTTTTGTTCAACGGACTGACTGCCCGCAAAGAGCGTGCACTGATGTATGTGGAAGCTTTATTAAAGGTTGTGGCCTCAGGCACGCGATCCACCCGCAATCTTTCTCGTGTATTTCCTTTTCAGTAATCAAGGGATGGAGATATTCCGTGTCATTAATGGCAAGTGCAAACCATCTGTTCGCCCTACAGTCATGTCCCTCACGGTCCTTTCCAACAGCCCATTCCAATCTCCCGTAGTCATTGCTACTAGGCACCAGACCGACCAGCCAGTCAGCCTTTTTATTCAATCGGTCAGAGGGGCGCAGCATGACCTCTTGATGGCCAACTCATTCTAAGATGGCAGTACTGACTCCTCGTGACTCTTCCCTAGGCCCAAAACAAGGCCGGCAACAATCAAACCCTCTTCACACTTTTTCTCTCCTGGTTAGCGTCAAGTCGCTTCAATACAGAAACCACCGTATAATTCCTTGTCTGACCGAATTGGGGCCTCCTTAACCGTCAGGATCCAACCCTGGAAACACAGCCTCCTCGGTTGTTAGCCGCTTCCAAGATACCACAGCCTTCCGGGACAGGCTGCGAAAAGGAATATCATATTGTGACACTTCCTCGCTCTATCATTTCCAATTACCATATTCGTCCATACCTCCCTCTACTATCTGCCCCTGGCTTGAGAAGCTGGTGACAAAATCCATCGAACCAGCTTCATAGGTATGCCAATTGACTCTGAGCCTGACAATTCGAGTGGATCAAACAAGGTCGAGCAAGGGTGGTTGGCGAAGTGTGGACTTTTAATACCATCATTGTTTGTTTACTCCATTTCCTTTTGATTTGGTGCCAGGAGCACCCACCCCGCTGCGGCATATTTCCGGCCCCTCACTGACTTCCACACAGATCTGTACGTGGCAGACACAGTCCTGAGGAAGACCCAAACAGGCTGGTGATGTCCCTTACTGACTATAAGGACAAGAAGAGAAAACGGACTTCAAGGAGTCCGATGCCAGTGACGCGATCATCATTAAAGATGAAAACCGCTCGGAAGACATCCGTCGAGCTCTTTCAAGCAATCTTGAAGAATAAAGAGGCTCATGCAAGGTATGCGGAAAACCGTCAGCAACTTTTGCAAGACGAAGAGGCCACCTCCTGGGATCTGCCAGCCAGACAATCGGCATCTGAGGCTGAGATCAAAGCTGGCCAGATCATCTGGAAGCTGAGAGAGTTTGAGCGAGATGTGCTCTTTGGAAATATTCCATCAGAGGCTATTCCAGGACCAAAAACGTTGGACATGGGCGGACAGTTTCTCACAAATAAATCCCGCATTGAAGGAAGCAGCAAGATATTCGAGATCGCGAAGGATGTGCCAAAGGGGGCACTCTTGCATCTCCACTTCAACGCCGAACTCAATCCTGGGCGATTACTGGAAGAGGCCAGGTCGATGCCAAACATGTTCATCCGTAGCCTTCAGTCATTGCTTACGCAGGACGACCTTGACAAAACCGAGATGGTCTTCAAAATATGTCGTGAGGATACCCCATCCTATAATATCTTCTCACCAAATTATAAGGACATCGTCGAAGACCCAGTGGAAAAAAAGCCAATGTTAAAATGGATGCGGTGGTCCGAATTCCGCGAGGAATTCGTGAAACAGGAATTCTCTAATCAATACAGGCAGGAACAGGCTAATAGCCTCGACAAAAACGGGCCTCTTCCAAACAGCTCGGAGCAGGGTGAAGTTTCTCTGGATGAGGCTGAGAATTGGATTAGGGGGAAAATGGTGATCAGCGAGGAAGAGGCATATGGTATGAAGCAGACCGTGAATGGGTAAGTGCGCTTTTTGACATTTCTTGCAATCGAACAGTACTGACTGTCCTCACAGGGTCTGGGCGCGTTTCAACCAAGCGACCCGTAACTTCAAAGGCCTCATCGGTTATGAAAAGGTCTATAGATGGTATATCAGTACTGCGATCGACCGCATGATCGAAGAGCATGTCATGTATGCGGAGCTCCGCCCTATGTTAATGGATAAAGACCTCCCAAAGGATGACGGGAAAGAAGCACTAAAACTAGAGGCACAAATGGAGTTGATTGTAGAATGCCTCAAGGAGAAAAAGGCTCAGCTCAAAAGCGAAGGAAAGCTGGATCGTTTCCCCTTCGGCCTCAAGATCATCTATTGCACTCCACGATCAATAGGTAAAGAAAGGATGCAAACCGAGATAGAGGACTGCATCAAGTTAAAGGAGAAATTTGAAGACCTCATATGTGGTAAGTCTTCCTGGTTAAGCTATCCTCCACTGCCGCGCCTAATATTCCCTAGGATTTGACCTGGTAGGGGCAGAAGACCGACCGAATCACATTGGACACTATTACGAAGAGCTAGTCGCCCTCGAAGAAACCTGTAAAGCGAAAGATCTCGATATCCCCTTCCTTTTCCACGCCGGCGAGACCTTACTAGACACCGGAGGATCAAAGGACCCAGGCAAGTCTAATTTGTACGACGCCGTACTCCTTAAGTCCAAGCGCATAGGGCACGGCTTCTCGCTATTAAAACATCCCCAGCTTATTGACAAGTTCAAACGAAAATCTAACTCCGAGCCCGGAATCTGCATCGAGCTTTGCCCGATCTCCAACGAACTTCTTCATCTATGCCGAAACATCAAAGAGCATCCGTACCCCGAGCTTCTAGCCGCCGGCATCCCGTGCACGATTAATAGTGACAACCCTTCTCTGTTCAGGTGACTATTTCCTCTTCTCTTTCCCTCCCCTTGAGCGCGCGACTTGTTAAAATGCTGACTTAGGGGCTTGTCGGGAAGTAATTCGATGTCTCACGAATTCTACCAGATCATGGTTGGAGCGCCGGCGATTTCGATCCATAGCTGGAAACAGCTTGCGAGGTGGAGCCTGGAGTATAGCTGTCTTTCTGAGGAGCAGAAGAAGGAAGCGTACAAGATCTTTGAGAAGGATTGGGAAAAGTTCTGTGAGGGAGTTGTGGACAAGTATGGTAAATTGTTCGTTGAGGGTGAAGATGTAAAGGCGCAGTTGGCGAGACTGATGTCAGCGTATTAACCCGGTTGGACGCCACCTAAAGAGCCGACAAATGAGCAGAAAAAGTGAATATGCTTCGAGTTCTGCTGTTATCGACCTAGAGTTGCGCACCTGGACCTCAAGGCGACACGACCGTAACCTCCATCGCCCGACCCCCTTCACTCCCAAGCTGAACGACTGGCAGGAGCTATAACTCGTTCGCATTCACCCAGGCCCAGCCGAGCACCCATACTCTTCGAATATAAGGGCTTGATGTCACATAAACGAGCATCAACTCGCTTTTGTGAGGACACTGCCGCAAGTTTTGGAAGCCTTGCAGTGTTTGCAATTTGAATTGACACAACTTGTGTTGTGCACACGATACTTTGTTTTTACTCTCCAACAATCGGAGAGTCTCTTTCTCATCCCTGATCTGAGAAAGATATGGGCGAGGGCGGTCCATCGTATTCCTTGGTAGATCTTTCCTTCAATGGCTAAGGTCATCCACTCCGTGTTGAGTAGATCTAGAGGTTTACACCTGGAGGTTCTTTCTTTGTTTCCTTTCAATTTATCTACCTTTTTCTTACTTGTCCCTGTTGCATGTATGCTACCTCGCGGTCTACCTGTATCAGTCAGCAGATGCTGGACATTTCATTTGTCGAATGTTCATTGAATTGAACTGAACTGAATTGAACTTGACTATGTCTATCCCTTAACTCAAGTAATGCTGTGACCTTGAAGACTCTGAGGCTAGTCTCCCGTCCCACAAACACCCTCCTGCCCATGCAAATGATCAAAAGCCCTCAGTAACCCCAGCAAATGCGCAACCCCCGCACAAACCACCAAACAATGCATAATCTGGTGACTTGCGCCCCATATATCAAAACGCTTCGGGTACCACTTCTCTGGTATCTATTCCCCTTTTGTCAGCTTATACCTTACGTAAATATAAAACAGTATCGGAAGGAAAAGGATTTTACCCTCATCGCATACACCATCCCGCCTCCCAAATTCAACCCCGTCATTAACCCCATCCAATCCAAACTCATCCGCCAAACTTGCACTTCCCACCCATATTCTACTAAGCCATGCACAATCGGAATGATGAAGCTGAGGCCCAGACCGCTGTACATGAGCGTGCGCCAAGGCCGGTATTTCGGTTTGCGGAATACTGGGCTGAGAGTGGCGTAGGTGCATAGGAGGGCGAGGGCGGAGACAAGCGTGTAGTATATTAGTTGGTGGGAGGGGTTGCAGAAAAATCCATAGTAGATGCATGGGATTGTGGAGCCCCACATTAGGATTACGATGCCGAGCTAGGAAGGGTTAGAGGGGCTAGTAAATGGGTTGGATTGGGGTGAGAGGGACCGTACGTAGTCGAGCTGGTTTCCGACGATGTGGATTCGTTCGCTGTGGTTGTTGAAGATGTGGAAGCTGGTAAACTGCGTCAGTTTGCTTTGCTTGATGGAAGTCAAATAGGGGTCTAGCTGTCTTACGTAGCAGATAGGAGAAAACATATTGCCACTCCGAAGAAGAATGTGGAAAATACAATGAGGTCGGCGGTTGAGGCAGTGCTGTATCGGGGTTGGAGGATGTAGTATACGGGTACTGGAAGCGTGAAGAAGAGGACAGAGCCGATTAGGTGGGAGAAGATATTCACTGGTAGAGGTAAGCACAGTGTACTAATAGGCTGAGAGGTAGAGAAGGGGCGTTACCTGTTTCGTTGTGGATTTGGAGCATGCTGCCAATTGATCGCTTGTATGAGCTTGAGATCGCTCTACATAAGGTGAATAGTGTAAGCATTACGTACTCGCTTTGAGGATCTATTTCACACACCTGTATCCGGATTGAATATACTCGTTATCTCTGTAGCGCTTAAATCATCTAGAAATTCGATCTAGGTTCACGGCACGTACTGGTACCAGGCCGCTGGAAGAGTTGTTGATCAATAATCAAATTAAGATCATGGCATGAATTCTCGATTACTTACGTATTTCATCCCATCTCAGTAGCTGCCTGTCCACCTGTTTTAGAAGAGGGGGGGAATCCTTCCAATGTTAATGTTATGTTCGATTTATGGGATGGGGTTACTCACTGGCTTTTCTAATTTGGACGCGAAGCCAGGCCTTCGCGAGCGAATTTCACCCATTTTAAATTCTCAGGTAGTCTTTGACGTGTTATGAGGTTTGCGGTAAACTGGACTGACAGACCATTTATACGAGAGGGTGGATATTTGAACAGTCGGAGTTCGGTGTGAATGTAACTAATTCGAAAACAGGAAAGTCGCAACACGGACCTTGTCCAGTCGACCGAGGAACTTCCTACCTATACGCGACTAGGCTGTTCATTCAACCTCAATCCACGTGCAATGCCTTTACGCCACCTCTTCCAATGTCTTTTAGAGACTCTGCTTTTGGAAATTGGGCTTCCACGACTGGGGTGCTGCCACCCACAGATCTCGTGGGATTTCGCCCCCATGTTGCTTCCCAGGCATAGTCAAGCACGATACGTTTCGGGTTCGGAAACCCTTGCCGAAGGATTTAGCTCTCGACATAGGGTCCAGATATGATTGGGTTTGAGTAGTACTTAAGTTGTTACTCATGCAACTGCTTTTGCATATTGTACCTGAGAGGCCTCGACGTCAATCGAAAAGCGCAAAAGTTATCGAATCCTTCTGACCTTTACCATTTCTAGCTACATTAAATCGCCACAGGAGAATCCTGCAGCGGTGTCTTCGCTCTTCTTATATTGTCTTATTGCGTCCTTCTGATGTTTCTTTAATCTAAAACTCTTTTTCTTTCGTTCGTTTCTTCGTTCACAAATGGATTCACGCTTGCTACTCCTTTACGCTCTGTTTCCACTCCTTGTTAAATTCACATCTGCCACCGTGGAACACGTCGAAACAGTTGGCTTCGTTAAAGAAGACAATTCACGCGACACGACTTCTCTAATTATAAGCTGTCTCGCAACACTTGGTCTCTGCGTATACTCAGCTGTCCATCTAAACGTGCCACCTAAACGAGAGCGATTCCTCGGGTCACTATGGAGAGAGGTTAAATGGTGCATTATCGGCCTCTTCGGACCTGAGCTAGTTCTCTACACGGCGTGGAGACAATGGGCGTCTGCAAGGGAGTTAAGTGATGAAGTGAAGAGAACAATGGGGAATCAAGAAATTGAAGGGATATCACGAAAGCCTACTGCAAATGGTGGCGGTGTATCGAGGACTTCAACAGGGATGGAGAAGGGGATGTCAGTTTCCGAATCCGAGATTCCCAGTCGAAGCGCGGGGAGATATCCATGGACCATGACTCATGGGTTTTATGCTACTATGGGTGGCTTTGCGATTGATCTGGAAGACACTGATTCGGAATATGCGAGTCTGTTTGGGGATGCTAAACGCCTCACGTTAACGGCGAAGGGAGTGGCGTTGCTGGCGCAAGTTGGCCATCTCCCTGATCTCTCCATGGACGACATCAAGGACAAGAACAAAACCGACTCGCTGGCCAAATTCCTGGTGTGCGTCCAGGCTGGGTGGATGGTCGTGCAGGTCATCAGCCGACGAGCTTTTGACCTCCCGACGACATTGCTCGAAGTACACACCGTGGCTCATGTTGTTTGCGCCATACTCATGTACGTTCTCTGGTGGTATAAGCCCCGTCATGTCGAGTATCCTACACTCTTGCGTGGCGACTGGGTTTGGCCTCTCGCAGCGTACATGTACTCAGCCAGCCGAATCAGTGGCCAACCGCCTCGAGGCACATTAGGTCGATTCTTACATCCCAAACCAGAATTGAGGCTGCTAGCATACTTCGAAGAGCCAGAAACAGAGACTAGCTCCGACGACATCGCACCTATCCATCGCTCCGAAACAGACACCACACTTCCCATCACTCGCTCCCCAAAAGGCCGTTTTGCCCGCCGTCCCGGAACCCTAACCTCGGATCTATCCCTCGACACTGAATCTCCCCCATCTTCATCTTCAACGCATTCCCTCCGCCTTAGACTAGCCGAAGAAGCCGTATCCATGTATCCCGCCCTTCGTTCAAAATTCCAGCCCTACCACCCTAAATCCACCGCCAATCCCTTTCCCCCTTACTACCTCCCTTACGCCACTGAACTCGTCCAACACTCCTCCCTAGACTGGCCTAGCGCAGGCCTCCTCCGCCGCACGCAGTCCCAAATAATGGGCATGGTTCTCTGGGGCGCATCCATGGCCTATGGCGCCATACACGTGTCCGCGTGGGACTACTTCTTCCCTTCTGCTGTCGAAAAACTTCTCTGGCGATTATCCTCCGTCTGGGTGACGTTTTGCGCGGCATGGTGGCTGATGACGAATCTGCTCGCGCATTTGCTACCAGCTATTGATCAGTTTTGGAATGCATTTAATGAGCGGAGGCTCGGGCCATTTTGGACTGGGCTGGTGGTGGGACTGTGCACGGTTTGTGGAGTTAGTTATGTAGCGAGTAGGATGTTTTTGGTAGTCGAGGCTTTTGTGAGTATAAGAGAGGTGCCTGTGAGGGTTTATGATACCCCGAGTTGGAGTCAGGTTTTCCCGCATTTGTAGGCGATGAGGGGTGAGTAGAGCGTGCTTGTAAAAGAGTCAACGGGAAATGCTGCTCGCGCATACTCACCTAAAGGTTGAGGCTGGATCTTTCGACCTATCTGTATAATGGAGAGGCAACCGACGACATAGCGACGCTCAAATAATAACAAGGGATATCCACAATGTCGCTAGCATGCCCCGTAGCCCCTGTCGCGCGTGCATTTTATGCGACGATATATTATTCTGCTGCTATGCATAGTAAGACGTTGGCCTTTTGCCACTTGCAATGACTCCATCTGCCAGACACTCGACGAAGGCTTCGTCCGTAGCGGCTGTGCTAATAATATGTTATCAAATTTCTTGGGCGGTACGAGACGTCCCCTACCCCTTGACAATGCAATGGCATCCAGGATCGCCATGTTATGCCTCTTTTTGGAAGAAGCGGCAAGAGCGAACTGCGAGTTTGGGCTACGGAGCCTGCTACCCAATATTGATAGAGATGATTGGGATGATTGAACCCCTCGAGAGCATTGGGATGGGCGTTAGGATGCTGATTACTATCCTCTATTATATTGTATTTTGTTCTGTGGAAGGGTCACCATGCAGATGGGTTGTTCGATATATTCAGTATGTTGGCTCTTACCGTGGAAGACTGGCTAGGAAATTCTGACTGGTCTAGCCTGGTGCTGGAATCAAGGAGAGCGATAACAAGATGCAGAATTCTGTGTTGAATCGGATGCTATCACATGGTCTCATGGGGTCAAAAATACTACTTGACGTGAAGCAGGGTATATTAGACCGCCCAGCCATGAACATCCTAAAAACAAGACGCTCTATTTTCCCGCCCCCTTCCTAACGCCGCCAAAACGCCATCATAATGCCTACCCTCCCCTCTACCTCCAGCCTTACTCCTCCATAGCATCCACCTCCGTCACAGTCTCCGTAGCCGCAGAATAATACGCCTTCATCTCAATCTTGAAATCCGCCATTGCCACACCAAACAACTTCAACAGCGCCGTCTGGTGGCTATTCAACACCTCCCCCTCCCTGCAAACCGTATAATCTCCATCCAGCACCACCTTCCCCTTGACTAATTTCGTCGGCATCCCCCATTTCCTGACCGTCACTTCCAGGCTGTGCGGAAGCGGGACATCGTCGTCGGGAGGAAGCTCGCCGCCGCGCGAGTACACGACGCCGGAGGGAATAGTGAAGGTTTGCGTAGCGGGGATGCCGGCGCGCGCGAAGTCGGTTTTGGCGTAGGAGGAGAAGTACTCGAGGATGGAGGCAGGGGAGCCGTTTGTGAAGAAGAGGCCGACATTGCCGTTAAGGTGAGCAGAGAGGGTGGAGAGGTTTGGGAGATGTTCGTCGGCGGGGGTAAGGCCGAGGGCTTTCGCCATGACTTTAGTCTTGCCAAAGAATATGCTATATAAATATATATCAGTATCTTGGGGGAAAGGTAAACAGAGGAGGGGATAGGGAACCGTACCGGCTGTCTGATGCGAATTCCGCCCGTACTTCTTTCAAGTAAGTGTTCCGCATGTTCTCCACCGCAAAGACGAAAATGTACGAGAACTTGTCCGCGGCTTCCTGCACATTGGCGAACAGCTTCTGCGACAGTTCCTTGCCCTTCTTATCCGTCTTGGACAAATGGACCACCCTGGCGCGCTTCGACTTAGGCATTTTTTTTGCGTGGTGGTGAATTGGACTGACTTGAGGAACAGTTCAGGCCCAGTTGAACTGGTCGTGAAAAAGGACGGGTTGCGGGGAATTTTTCGCGAGTGGTCGGTCTTGGCAGCTGTGGTTAGAGCACTCGGAGGCTGCCTCAACACCACCATTCTTGTCCTGCCTCCCACCATCACATCAGGATGGTGGGGCTGAGTCGAAGTCATGTTGGATTTTATGGACCATGTGCAAAATGCCTTTTATGAGGCTTCGCATTGGAATCTCGATAATTCGTATGGCGCCTTGAACGCGACGGCAAAAGGTATGATTGCACCGCTTTCCCATCGTGTCCAGCAGCTTCATGCTAAGAGTCTGATGAGCTTTGCTCGACTTCCGGACTCCGAGAGGGCTGCGATTGCAGATATCTTCTCTTGCTGCGCCTAACTTTGCTACCTCATATACCATTGGAAGTGTGGGCGTCGTCGACGGCTCTGTCTCCTACCTCTACTCTTCACTGCCGCTGCTCCGGCCGTTCAAGAGCGCCGACCTCGATCTCCACCATGTTATTAGAGGGTACAGGCACTTGCAGGAGCTGAGAAGGCCAGATGAGGCTTGGTGGTGGGAAGTCTGGCACTGCGGCAAGCGGATAGACCGCAGAGGTGAGCTGCCATGCTGCCCAACCGCCCATGTCAGCTAACAGGCCTGCAGATACACTCCTGTATGGGCGCATATTCTTGCCGCGGTCTACGTTGGAAGCACTGTATCTCAGGCGCCTCTCGCCTACCCGGCAACTCAAGATATCTGCTGTTAGCGACTCCACGCTCAACAATGGAGGCACGATTCTCGCCCTGCTGCAGAACGATGTTGGCAAATATAGCACTGAGTACATGTACAGCACTGATTCCGCCTTGATGGGCGTCCGAGGCCTGTACAATTTCGGACCCGACCCCAGAGTCGGCTCAACATCACCCGTAGCCGCCCACGAGATTACCGAGCCTGTGCAAGGCCGGTTCAGCGCCGGCGCAGAGCTTTACTATGGATTGCTGAACAAGAGCGGAGGAATCAGCACCGGCTTACGATTCACGACATTGCCTAATCACACGGGCTTTCCGTATACAATGACGCTGACGCTGAATCCTCTAATGGGAAACCTCTCCTCGACGTACGCCGTCAAGGCGGGCCCGAACTTGGCTCTCTGCTCCCGCTTCGACTTCAACTTCTATTCATACGAAAGCGAGTTGCAGCTCGGTTGCGAACTGTGGCGACGCCGCCGCAACACCGATGTAGAATGGGCGGTCAAGAGGTTGCGACCAGATTGGAAGCGGCCCACTGTTGCACCAGACGACGACGTCTCGGGCATTCTCAAGGCACGCGTCGACCAGGACTGGCGGATTGGCCTGCTGTGGGAGGGTAGGATTAAAGAGCTGTTGTTTACGCTTGGCGCCAGCCTCGACCTGAAGAGGAGAGAGCAGATATTCCGAACAGTTGGTGTCGAGCTGCAGTACAGCTCGTGAACGAAAATGGTGACATACGTTGGAATATCACTTAATGCCTGAACTGCTGTGTGCATGCGCTTCGCCATAGGGACTTTGCGAGAGGCCTCTTGGAAAAGGAAAAAAATGCATTTTGAATGCAGCGCGATGCAGTGCAATATCAATGCCTTCCTCAAATCCGCATGTGTTTTCTGATCACAGCAGAGGCAGGGCCCCGGTTGGTCATCGAACGAGCTTTGAGCGACTCGAGCCTCGCATTTGGCTTCCGAGGAGTGTTACGCTGAAACATTCATGTGGGGTTGTCCGGACAGGTGGACCTGGGGGCCAGTTTGGCAGCTTTTCAATGCGAGTGGCGTCATTTTTGGAACGATCCGGTCCAAAACGTGAAAGGTGTGCAGATTTAGAAACGGGGGACCATGTTCCTGAGGAATGCGGAACGGGCTGGAAGCATAAAGGGTGAGCAGCTGTCGGGGTGCTAGCGGAGGCCGCCGTTGTTGGAACAGAATCTGCGCGTGTTGAGGATCGAAGTCGTCCTTCGAGGAGGCTCTGGGATCGCCAGGGGAGTGCTGGGTTCTGGCTTGTTGTCGGCGTCTGCTTGCCACCCCACCACTCATACCTACCGTACGCGCTGCGGTGTCAAGGTGAACCTGACGTGAGCCCGGCAATATCCTGCAGCCATATTTGCAGGGAAATGGTTGGTATGTATAACATGTTGGAAAGCCGGCAGGGCGAATAGAGCCTCGGGTTGGCTGTTGTGCCCTTGTCGGTTACGCCTCTAAGTCTTCACACGGGAGAGGACATGGCCAAACGAAAGTCTGACGAGCTTCAAGCTCCAAACACCTTGGGATCCTGATGTAGTTAGCAAGTGGAATGGGACTGATAGCACGGTGACTTCGGATCGTTATCGGGGGCCGTTCACGTTGTGGTCTCGGCTCATCCGAAGAGGATCCCTTTTTACGAGGAGCTGCCGGGCTCGATCCAAGATACCCGCCAGAATCCAGATGGAGGGTCAGCGAACGATGAACCAACACAGGGCGGCTGCCGACAGCCATTCCAAGGTGAGATTGAGCAGCTCATGCTATTCCTGGGATGGCCGCCTGAGGCTGCTTTGGCGCGTCGTCACCAGATGCTCTGCTGAACGGCGCGTCTGCCCTTGGGTAAATAGCGCCTTCTCGAACGACGAGCGTCTTTATGCGTCGAACTTTCAAAACATCCAAGACGGTCGTGCGGGGAGCCTGGAGAGCTTCTTTGGGGGGGGGACGAGCATTTTGCCGTCAGGCGCTTGTCGAGTGTTTTCCGCACGAGCCCTGGCAGGCAGCACGACGTCTCCTGAGTTCTTGGATCTAGCTGGCCCGAGTCCGAGCCGTGTTCCTGGCCTCCTGAGCTGCGATCCCCCGTGCCATGCGTGTCACCGGGCTTGTCTCCCAACATGTCTACCCAAGTCAAGGGTTGACGAAGCCGACGTGAACGACAGCGTGGAAATGTCCCGCAACGGGAGACCCGTCCAGCGACAATCACCAGCGCCATCACGCAGAGAGAATCAACCGCGATGGCGGCGTAGGCAGGCTGAGTTAAAAAAAGGTGTGGATCGCCTTCTCCTTTGGTGCTTCGGCGTTGCCCGCGCCAGCCCGTGGCTCCGGCGCGTCCTCGCCTAGCCTCGCAACAGTCTAGCGTGGTGAACGTCCCCTTAACCGCCAACCCTTCTAATTTCCCCTTCTCTCTCGTTCCTCACCAAAGTCGACCTTTTACAGCCTCTCCTCTCCCCGGATTTCGCACGTCACCATCGCGGTCGGTGCGATCTCTGTTCACCTTCTCTTTCCCCATTGTCGACTTCTGCGAAGAGCTGCCATTCCTTTCGGCCTTCGCCCACGTTCTTTTTAGGCATCGCCTGTCCACTCCTTAGCATTCCCCAGTCTCAATTCACTCCTTCTAGCTTCTAGCTTCAGCATCGCTCTCGGTCGATCGGACTTCGCCCACTGCTCCCCGGATAGCAGCCCTTCTTTCCTTGACACCTTGATCCACGTGCTTGGACGGTGACCAACGAGCCGCAACGCTCACGCGGAAACCCTACGCTCCTTTGGCCTCGATCCCGCGCCGGAAGCTCCCCACCAAGCTCCCACTACATTCGAATAACGTCTATTCCTTGGACCCATTACCATTCACGATTCTTACGACAATTCTTAGACTGAGGTGACGCAGTTCGACAACAACTGCACCCTCCACCCCGCCGGCCGCCGCAGGAATCAGACTCGTGTTCCGGTCTACTTTCAGACTATTTTCACCATGCAGGCAACCGAAGATACCATGTTGTCCGCAACTCCATCCCCCTCCGCCTCAGGGGCTACTCCCACCCACAGCTCTGCGCCCCGCCGGCCACCACGCAAGAGCACCCTCACCCAGCAGCAAAAGAATCAGAAGAGACAGAGGGCCACTCAGGACCAACTGGTCACTTTGGAAGTCGAGTTCAACAAGAACCCCACGCCAACGGCTGCTGTGCGCGAGAGGATAGCTAACGAAATCAACATGACCGAGCGATCGGTGCAAATCTGGTTCCAAAACAGGTACCGTTCCATATTCGCGCAAAAATACTTGTTGCTCTTCTCACTAACAGGCGCACAGGCGCGCTAAAATAAAGAACATTGCAAAGAAAAGCATCGAAAACGGGGACGACTGCAACGACATCCCAGAGTCGATGCGACGGTACCTCGCGTTGCAGGCCATGGAGTCCGGCAAATCATTGGGAAGAGATTTCCTTGGTCGCAATGGTGGATCAATGGCCGCGTATGGAAGCGGCATGCTACTGAACACTGATACCAGCTCTTCCAAAGTCGGTGAGTTCTGACCCAGACTAAAACATTCTGAATCACGAGAGGTTTTCGACTAACACGATTCAGTCATCCACCACTTCGCGTGTCGTTCTTTGAGCATTGGCACGTGGCGTCGTGTCGGCCAGAGTGCGATGGATCTTGTTATTTTTTATTCGCCAGAGAAGTGCTGCGTTACCTATTACATCAACAATGACTCAGCAGGCTACAAGATCGAGTACCCCTTCTCGTACATCAAAAACATAACCTTGGAAAATGGCGATATGACGGCCAGCGCCGAGGGTGCCTCGCAACGCCCCGGTGGCCTCATTGTGGAGCTCAACCGTCCGCCCAACTTCTTCATGGACTCTTCAGGATCAGGAGGATTCTTCCAGTGCGGCGATTTCACGGAGGAGCAACAGGCCTCACAGATCCTAACTCACCACCTAGGCGGCCACCCAAAGGTGTTGAGCGGACAGTTGGCGAAACTCGTCTCGCTGGAATCGTTTCAGAACCGACACAACCTCTATGACCAGAATGCCCTCGCCGTCTCGGCGCCCGTGTCGCCTATCAATCATCGCCCAGCCTCCCAACCCAATCACCTCGCACACCCCCACATGGGTATGTTTCAAGAGGGTCCTTTCGGGCCTGGTGGTCTGCACGCCCGTGGTCACAAACGCCAACGCAGTCGGTCTGTTCCTGTCGCGGTTGACTTCTCGATGCTCCGCAACCCGATGCCGTCCTTCCTCATCCAACCAGAACCGTCACCCTACATTCCGAACCCTGAAATCTTTGCGCCTGTCCCACAGAGTGCTCCAGGACCCATTGGACCGAACCTCAGCATTGACACCTCGGCAGGGTACGGAATGGATTACCGACAGTACCCTATGTCGGCCACAACCGCGAATTCGCCATCGGAGTACGGCACGCCAGCCTTCTTTACCTCTGGGCCACCAACCGACAGTGTTCCTGCGTCAAATTTCGGCCAGCATTACAACATTCCTCCTTACCTTCACACACCAATGGGACCACCTCACTCGGCTCACTCTGCCGCATCAGCCTCTCCCATGCCTTCCATGGTGCACACTGACCCGGTCATCGCGAACCAATCTCCGCCTCTAACTTCGTTCGGTCGTGATGGTTCTGCAGACGTGTACCCAATGTCACACGAGAATCCAGACGAGGCGCTGCAGTTGTCGGATCTTTACGCGAAACAGACGCTCAACCTTCCGTTCCGGTCTCCATTAGAAGAGAATGTCGACGACTTGGATATGCAGAACCTGGTGTCATTCGGCACGATTGATCCAGCGAGCTTATCCCCAGAGAACCACCAGATGTAGCAATAAATGCACCCTGAAAAGTTCTGTTCGTCGTTTGATTTACTCAACCTAATACCCGCCACCGTACATGCAGGTAGGGGGAACGTGGAGCGCAAGTTTTCACCTTGAAACAGGTTTGAAATTTGCAGCCCTCGTTTCTGTTCGCCTCATCCGATACCTAATATGTTCTCATCTCTCGTCTACATATGGCCGCCTCAGAAATCTCGAAATACGCAGTCCTCCCATCCGATTTGTTTTCCATTTATTCCGATTCCATTGTTTCCTCTCCCATGAGTACTTAATTCGACACAGCCCACCCCCAACTCGTAACGCAAATTGAACGACCACATTTAATGGGACCGGGATACCAACGGCGTTGTGGAAATGGCAGGGTACACAGAGTGAAGGCGGACTGGTGGAACCTGCGCCCAGCCTCCCTTCAAGGGTGACAATGATGGGCTGTTGGAAAGGTGTTGGAGGTTGAAACATGCACATGATTGCGTGTATCTGTCCGTCACTGTGTTTGTTGTTCGTGTTTACTTTGTTGGGAATTTGGGGGGAACTGTTGACATTTTTATGCGCACGGGTTGTTTTGTTTGTCGCAGGTGCAGATGGGCAGATTTCCTATGTTGAGTTTGGGGATTTTTTGATGACAGACTTGGGAGAGAATTGGAGGAGAGTATGTTGGAAGAAACGAATAGCCCGCTGTGCGGACACCATGCTTTCTTACTCAATCAGTCTATCTGTATGCAGAGTCATCAACAAAGAGATATCATTTTTCAGCCTCCACTTAGTACGACAACGGCTTTAGTTATGGGATGTAGCTCAGATTCTCGCTCTGGTTCTCGCTCGGGTCCCGGGGGATTCTCTTCACTTGTGCGTCCAATTTCCTGGAGCTACTTTTCCAATGGCATGCGGGTAGTATCAATACAACGCATGCAATACCGTGATGCCTGTGTTCCATGCCAAGTTGAACCAGACAAGAAGACGTCTGGATTAGGTTGACGGGTGTGAGGTGCAGGTCGGGATGAATGTCACTGCCGTTGTGGCCGAGAGGGAGAACAGGGATTTGTGGGGGGGGGGGGAGAGGTGCAAGTGCCCCTGAGCGCGGCCTCGGCATCTCGCTTGGGAGACAGCGGAACTGGGGGGATGGACATCTCATTTTACAGACCCAACCATCACAATTTTGCGGGCTAAAAAGAGCTCCACCCCCCTTTGCGTCTCACTTCCTGCTGATAACCTCGCATCCTCGCCTCGCCCTCGCCGTGCTGCCCTCTCGCACTCCGCCCAGGACAATTCGCAGTTGCGGACGCGGCTTTCGACAGTCAGCCACCAAATTTGACGTCGCCTGAACCATCTCGGTCCGCGAGCAGTGTCTTGGCACTGCATTCGAGCTTAAAGCCCGCTCTGCGCCACGAAAACCACACGTCTAAGGAGAACAGCAAAACAGCGCGCCAGGAATCAGGCACTGCGAGGGCGGAAGCATCCACGGGCGTGTGAGCCAGCTGATCAAAGATTGAATAAGAAGACCTAATGTAAGTCGTTCCCAGCTGCTGCACAACCTGCGTCTCCTCCGCGACCTCCGCAGCTTCCTATCCGGCATCCCCGGCATGGTCGAATGAGCATCATTGAAAACCTCACTCCACCACTGCACCTCTCCCTCCTTCTAGCTTCCCCCGCCCAGCACCGTATTCGCAGCACCATACTTAAATTGCCTCAAATCGCATTGCTAACTCGCTTGCCTCGCAGCGCCCATTCCTCGACCTCGGCCACGACTCCTTCCCGACTCTCACCGCCTCCCCCTCTGTTCCGAACAAGACCCACAGAGGGGTTTGTCGAGCGCTTGCGAGGAAACCCACAAGCCCGGATCCTTCACCACACACCCGTAAATCGCCTGAACACGCTTTTGCCATGCCTGCTCGAACTATCAATCCGTTCGCGACCAATACCTCTACTCCCTCTCTCGATGCCATGAACGAGAAGAGGGACCAGCCGCGACGAACCTCTTTCAAAGGCAACAAACTCACATCTCTCTTCGGGGGATCGCCCAAAGCAAGGAACGACTGGCAGGCGGCAATTGTCGCTCAGCAGCAGGCCCTCCTCAACTCTCCATCCCCCCAGCAAATCAACTCCTCCACCCTGTCGTTACCGACCATCAACCTCACAACCGCAACCGGGGAGAAGATGCCGTCTGAGCCGAAGACCCTCTTCCAGCCTCCGTCTCCAGAGGAAGCTCGGCGGCTTGCAAGGGCACACGCGCAGTTTGGGCCATTGGGATCGCAAAGCCACAGGTACACCAGCAAGTTTGAGGGAGGCGAGTTCGCAGAGCCAGTCGAAGATGAGCCGCCGTATTACTTTTTGTTCACTACATACATCAGCTACCTAATCCTAATAGTATTTGGACATGTGCGGGATTTCTTCGGCAAGAGGTTTAGACGGGCGCATTATAGTCATCTGAAAGAGCGGGGTGGATATGCTCCGTTGAACAGCGATTTCGACAACTTCTACACCCGCAGATTGAAGATGAGGATCAACGACTGCTTCTCTCGACCAACCACTGGTGTTCCGGGTCGTTTCATCACGCTTCTGGACCGCAAGTCGGACGATGGAAACAACACATTTAAGCTGCTTGGAACTACTACCGAGACGCTGAACATGAGCTCATACAATTACCTCGGGTTTGCTCAATCAGAAGGTCCTTGTGCCGATGCAACCGAGAACACCATTAAAAAGTACGGAATTACTATGGCTAGTCCGCGGTCGGATGCTGGTACATCTGATCTTACGCTTGAAGTCGAGGACCTGATTGCCAAATTCGTTGGCAAGCCTGCTTCGATGGTCTTTTCCATGGGTTTCGTTACCAACGCGACTTCATTCCCCACTCTGGTTGGAAAGGGTTGCTTGATGATCTCTGATGAGCTCAACCACTCCTCCATCCGCTTTGGAGCACGTCTGTCCGGTGCCGTTGTTACCATGTTCAAGCACAACGACATGAAAGATCTAGAGCGCGTTCTCCGCGAACAGATTTCACAAGGTCAACCACGAACACATCGCCCGTGGAAGAAGATTCTCGTTGCCGTCGAAGGACTGTACTCGATGGAGGGCACTATGTGCAATCTACCAGCCCTGGTTCAAATGAAGAAGAAGTACAAATACCACCTCTTCGTTGACGAGGCCCACTCAATCGGTGCTCTCGGGCCCCAAGGTCGCGGCGTCTGTGATTACTTCGGTATCGACCCCGCCGAAGTCGACATACTCATGGGCACGCTTACGAAATCCTTCGGCGCAAACGGCGGATACATTGCCGCCGAAAAATCCATCATCGACAAGCTCAGAACACAGAACGCTGCCATGCTGTTCGCAGAGTCCCCCTCACCTCCTGTCCTCACGCAAATCGCATCCTCCCTTCGGATTATCGCCGGAGATCTCGTGCCCGGGCAAGGCGAAGAGCGCCTCCAGCGTCTTGCTTTCAATTCCCGCTATCTACGACTGGGGTTGAAGAGACTAGGCTTCATTGTCTACGGCCACGACGACTCCCCCATCATCCCAGTCATGCTGTACAACCCCGCTAAAATGCCAGCCTTCTCCCACGAAATGCTACGACGTAAGATCTCGGTTGTTGTTGTTGGATATCCCGCCACCCCTCTCGTGTCATCGCGCGCGCGCTTTTGTGTCTCTGCAGCGCACACGAAAGAAGATCTAGATCGTATGCTTGCGGCGTGCGATGAGATTGGTGATCTGCTTCAACTAAAGTTCAGTTCGGGGGTTGCGGGTGGAGCAGAGCCGGAGGAATGGATTAGAGAAGAGAAGGCGGAGATGAAGGTTAGACAGCCGAGGTGGAGGCTGGAAGATGTGCTGAAGAGGGGGACTGAGGATGTCAAGGTTCCTCTGAGGTAACAAGTTGCCTGAAACAGGCTGGGCTGGGTCGGGCCGGGCGGGGACGGATGGGATGGCACGTGATAGGGCGTCTGGTCAGCAGGGCGCAGGGCGTTCGTGGGCTCAGAGTGAGGCGGGCTGGTGAGATGGGCGCGCATCTTCCACCTCCCTCGTGTTTTACACACGCGATTCTGGGGATCGGTTAAGAGGGGGTTTGAGACATGGGAATTGGGTGGGTGGGTGTGTCTGCTTCGGCAGCTTACTCGTTGCCTCATGTTGAGTATGAAACAGGCAGAGGACTGCCTGTCTCTCAGCCTGCTTGTCTATCATCGCGCGCCCTTTTCCCTATCTGGCCTTTACTACCCTGTCTTGTTCCCGTCGGTCCGTTCCTCCCGGTGGCCTCATCTCATTCTACCTCCCTCGCATGGACTTGTCGGCGCTTGTTTCTGCTCTGCTGTTTTGTCGTGCGAGCGAGCGATTCTTGGTTGTGGCTTCTGTAAGATTATGTTCATACCCTCGCTGTACTACCTCTTCTTCTGAAGCAAGTTATTCTACCTTTTCATATTGACAGCTTCTCTTTGTAGGCGCTATGACGGTCTCCAAAGGGGTGATAGATTCCCTTTCTTCTCCAACTACCCGCCCCATTGATTGTCGGAGCGGCACTTTTATCTTTTTTTTTTTTCAATAGCACAGCAGAGCTTGAGCGAGCGGTAATCTTAATTCTTTAGGAGAGGATTAGGGGGTGTTTTGTATATAGATAGTTGGATGGGTAGTGCGGGATCAATGAGAACGGCCAGTGAGGTGTTATGAAAGAAGCATAATCTCTCATACTCCTAGTTATATGATTTGATTTGTGATGTCTTCGATGACGGCTTCTACGTCAAAGGTCTGACTACGTACCGCGAGTTAGCGTTAATTCTTATATTCCTGTCGCTATTTGACAGCGGCTGTACACCACACCATATCACATCACAAGCTCGGGAATGGCTTCTATGCAGTGGCTGTGTCATATAGCCGCAGTAGAGGTCACATACTCTGGTGTCTTATTCGAACACTTGCTTTGGCTGTGTGGTAACTGTACATGTGTATCACGTGTATATGGAATGTGTGAGATATACTGAGCCATCTAGAATATTGTCCAGGAGTGCATGACAATTTCCGCAGGGGAGCTTTGCATATATTGGTTCTGGGGCGGGGGATTGTGCGGTGGTAGTCGCGGTTACACTGGTCATATTAGGAAGGGGATGGCTGATCTTCTTTTTTATGGGAGGATAGTGCGGACATTAGCGGAGCTTTCCCGGGAAGGGACAGCCTGGGGCACTGGGTAGGATCCTTGATGATGGCTGATGACGATTGCTAGCTGTCGTGGCTTGTGGTACACAGTAAATTACTGAAAACTAGGGTTTTTAGTGATGTTGTTTCAATTGTCAATCACTACCTTTCTCTACTATTAACCGAAGGGTATGAAAGACCCGAAGGGTGAGCGATAAATGGGAAGCGATGGTACTGGTAGATGCGGCTAACACCCCAGTACGTACATTCATGTGAAGACGTATATTTCTAAATTGTCTTGCTCATCGCTCCTACCCGCATAAGGCTGAGACATGCGTATCAATCGGTCATCGCCGCCTCACTGCCGTATACCGAAACGTTATCACGGCCGAGTGTTAATTGAATAAGCTTAACAGATGGGGTATTGCTTGTTTGTCCTCCGGAACTTCATGCCTAGAGGGATCATCCATGACTCGACAAGGCAGCATCTGCAGAGCGATCACCCGGAGAGAGGATACGATAAGGTTTCTGCTTTCTTTTCTTTGCTCTTGAGCTGGCGCCGTAGGGCCGCAGATGTAAAGGAGCCATGTGGTGGCAAATGTCATTTCTATAGACTTCCTTTCGCGGCATAACAGAGGTGTGGGTTGATAGCGAGGTTGTTCTTGTTACTTGGATGCTTTTTGCCGCACAGCAGCCAGAGTTCTCCTCAAGATCGGCTTATTGGATAATTTATAGAGAGTGTGTGAGTTGTGAGGTAGAAAGTGGTCTGACTCTCTGATCAGATGCTCAGAGCAGAGACTCTTCGATCAAGGAAGTGTCCGAAGTGACAAAAAAGTTGGATAGACAGGATACCCCAAGCCGTAAAACTCGAGCCTTTTGAAATTAAGATCCCAGTCCCAGCTAACTTGAATAACGATAATCGTGCTTGATAGTGGGGAAGGGCGGCTCGCCCCGTCCGGTGGAGCTCGCGTTCTGTCAGCGGTCAAGAAGTACTAGATTGGAAATGGGTCGGAAGAGACTGCCAATAGAAGAATAATGAAACGGCTTGGCCTATCGTTATAGTCTTTCTAATCGCCTCTGTTTCTTCATCTGCCGAATCGAAGCGCCGCCCTGTCTCTAAGGCTGAGAATACAGGTTGTGATTTGGCAGACTGTATCGAGATGAAAAACTATTCGTCAGCCGACTTCCGGTGGAGTGAAATTAGCAACGCGGATTCGATTACAAACGCGGACATCCACGCCGGCGGTCATTGGAGGATCGCATGCAAGTAAGAGAGTCCTTCGTTTAGGATTGGGGAACGTGACGACATGCAGATGTGGGCGCTGTCTGTCTCCAAACGGAAGAATGCTAGCGACAAGGGAGGGTGCCTCTCTGCAAACCGATCATTCCCAGCCGCTTTTGCGCCCCAGTCTGATTGAGGACGGTCCTGATCGATTGCGTGGTAGCTGTCCTCCGTTTCGCTGGCACCTTTGGCGATCGATGCCCTCGCAGCAAGGCTGAAGCAGTGTGCATGTGGGAAACAATGACTCGTCGAAGATGGCGAGGACAGTCCTGGGTGATACTGAACGCATTCGATACCAGAAGTTGAGCAACGGAAACCTTTGCGCGACCAAGGAAAGCATATTTCAGCTTATTGGGAAGCTGAATGGTAGCTGAATGGTCGGGCCACGGATGCGGACCAGCACAGCATGAAACAGAGAGTCAGAGGTGAGCGACACAGCGCCTCGATTGCGAGACCATCAAGGGCACCCGCCTTTCCAGCTGTTGCGTAGTCTGTCCCCCGCTTCCCCCAGACTAGAGGGGGCCTGATGAAGGGTGAATGAAAATGGGGCGTGATGCGGCCAAAGCGCTCTTGCTCCCACTTTGGTGCGAACAGAAGTTTATCCCGACCTCCAACTTCGCTCTTCACCACAGGAATCTCCTCATGCCGCCCAAACCCGTGAGATTCGCCATCAAAATGTAACGGCCTATCCATGTGTTACCCATCGACACCGGATCAAAAGAGTGGCTTGCAGGTACCACCTCCGCATGGACTAAAAGTAGCCCTTGTCAGACTGCGTGGAACGACCGGCTATCAAAGTCAGACCAATGTCCCGTCTCTTGGCTGCATGGGATGGGAGGCCAACCGGTGAGCTTTGAGGCTCAAATAGATGCCAGAGGGATCGTCCTGCGGCAGAAGGCTGAGCATTTGCCTACTTTTCTGAAAGGACCCTCTCTTTACGTCCGGTCAGAGCCTGGTATCCAACGAGAATGCAAGGCTTCCAATCACATCTCGGTATGCTCCTCAAACCCTGAGCCAACGATAGGCATGGCCTGCAGGGCGTCACCTTGACCTGCATGATGGCTACGATGATTGTGATATCATGGCGTGGGCGGTGGGAATGCGCTGTTGAAGTAAGACACAATGGGAACGCGGTGAGTCTATATAATTGTCCACCTCATCCCATACTCGCCTCAGTCATTAAATCTCTTTGCCCTGTTGAAAGCTGTCCCTCAGCGTGGTCCTAGTCTCCCGCTTTGCCCAGAGCATTACATCTCAAAAGGGCCTTGCGCCCCACCGCCTTTCTGTTGCTTCACTTTATACCGGTCCCTGAATTGATACTTCATTTCTATTCATCATGAACATGCCTGCTCCCCCCCCACCGTATCCCGTTCAGCAGCAGCAGCAGCAGCAACAGCAGAACGGGGGTCAGTCCCGCCCAGGACAACCAGGACAGCCAGGACAGCAAGGACAACAGCCTTTTCAGAATGTCGGTCAGCCGAAAGGAAACCAAGGAGTCCAAAACTACCCAAATCAGCACTCTCTCTACGATCCACAGCTCGCGCAATGGACCATCCAGAAAGGGAACAAGAGTTCCTGGGAGTTGGCCGAGCCGGAGCAAGAACATATCTCGCTCGAGGATCTGCGAGATGATTTGAACCGGCTGCGCAGAAACCGTGCTTCAATCAAGAAAACTATTAACGAGATTCCTTCGGGAATTGCCGACCATGTTAGGCGCATAATGAATAAACTCGTTCAGCAACAGAGCCAATTTCTTCAGCGAGAAAACCGAAATCTGGAATGGGTCATTGCCGGAGTGGATCTCGAGTGGAAGTCACTCAATCGCCGTGAGAGAAAGTTAATACGCATCGACGTTATATTGCAGACTCAACAACGTTCTAGCACCCCGGTCAACCCAGCCAAAAATCCCGGAAACGGTTACGACGTTCCCAAATCGAGCGGTCCACAACAGGACCAGAAGAGTTGGGCTCAGAACCCTAACCAAGGACTTGGTCAGAATCCAAAAAATAACCAGAATCAGCAGTCCAATCAGCAATTTAATCAACCCCAAGGGCGCAACCAAGTCCAAGGTCAAGGACAAATGCCAGGAGTTAACCAACCTCCCCCTCCACCTCCGCCACCACCAATTCAAAGTATGGGTCCTGCCCCAAATCCTTCTGGACCATATGGGAATCAAGGAATACCGCCGCCACCACCACCACCTATGAGCTGTCTTCCGAAGCAGCCACAGCCACAACAAATGCAACAACAACAACAACAGTATCCACAGGGACAACACGCCTCTCATCAGGCACCAATGCCCAACATGCCTGGAGCATTCCCAATGCCGACAAATCAACCAAGTATGAGGCATGAACCACCGAAGTTTCCCATCGATAACCTCACCGCTCACATGCTAAAGAAACAAATGTCGAAGACTAAACTCAGATATTCAGACTGTGAGGAATCGGGAATGGATTCTTCGGAAAGCGAAAGCTTCAGTGAAGAGTCTGCCGATGACGGATACCGTTTCGTCGCTAGCCATGCTCGAAGTAGAAGTCGAACCAAGAGCAGGGACAGGAGTCGAAGTAGACCAAGGGATCTAAGTCGAAATAGGGTAACGAAGTCCTACAAGGACAAGACTTCACATCACCGATCCGGGTCCGGCATTCCCCCGGCTCCCTTTGGTCTGTCTAATGGGAGACCCCAAGACAAGTCGCCGTTGTTGCGATCTCCTTCCATGGGGCATCACGGTGGAAAGTCGACCAAGAGCGAGTCTCCGAGGTCATCCAAGGGCGCTCTACCTTCTCCCGTCCAGATCATTATGAATCCCACCCCCGCTATCACGAGCACTCACAATCGGTCCCGCGATCGGTCCCGTGATCGGTCTCGCGATCGGTCCCGCGATAGGGGCCGTGAGAGGTCCCGTGATCGGTCCCGCGATAGGGCCCGTGAAAGGTCCCGTGATCGATCCCGCGATAGGGCCCGTGAAAGGTCCCGTGATCGATCCCGTGATCAATACGGACGGGGCCATGGAAAACACGGGTATAGGAGTCGAGAAGACAGCGACACCGATCATTCAAGAGGGCGAAATAGCGATCGAGCCCGTGGACGAGATAAATATAAGGACAACGGACGATATCAGCGTCGAGGTGGAGGCCATCGGCGTCAGAGCTCATCCATATCTCCATTTGGCGGCACGGATGAGAAGTGGATGTCGGCTCAGTACATGACACGAGTTCCTTCATCGGCCAGCGCCAGCGACACTGTTTACACAGACGGTAGATCTTCGATCTCTGACGCTGATGACAGTGTCTTCTCTCGAGAGGAAGACTTCCCTCCTCGCTTGCGTACCCAAGACCCTGCCCGGATCAGCAGAGGGTCTCTTCACAGGGCAACCACAGATGGTCACCAACGACACAACCGCACGGTCCCAATATACCGTGAACATGATCTCAATACCATGCGTCCTCAAGTCCGAGATGATTACCCTGGGTATAACTCTCAACAACAAGCGTACCCGCGCCGGAGCAGCAGGACCCCGAACTACTTCCCTGAACCCCTGCTCAACGAAGACATCTACGATGGTTATGCTGGGTCTCGACGACCGCAACCCCCCCACCGTCGCCATAGCTTGCAAGTACAACACCTTCAGGAACAACCATCCTATGACTACGGCACCCAGCCCCACTCTCAATATGCCTCCGCACCGAAAGCTCTTGTGTCCTCACAGGCGCCGCGGTATATTGCAGACAGCCACGCTGACGTCGTGAAAGATGCAATCCAAAACGGGATCCAAAACGGTGTTGAAGCAGCCATCGAGCATATGCAAGCGTCTCATAGGCAACCTCTACGACGAAGCACTACGTTAAGTAGTCGACGAGGGAGTCAGATCGACCCCTGGGGTAGTGATCAGCAGTATGTTGGCACGAACGCAGCGCCCAGGTATGGCCAGAGGGTTCCGAACTATGTAGGATTAGCCTAGATACAGCTTCAGAGAAGAATGTCCTGCTTTCATGGTTGTTAAGTCCCTCTTCGTTCTGTCTTTTAAAAATCAACAGCTGGTGTTTAGGTATTTCTGGAGTTTTAGGTCTATGTGCGGTGTCCAATTTTTCTACTTTCGGGGGTTTCGAGGGTTGGGCGGTCAGTAAGGTTAATACCCTGGGTGGGCATGGAAGCTCAGATTGGAAAGTCGGAGTTTACGAGATCTATTCAGACTGCAGTTTTGCGTTGCGGTGTCGGTATGGTCATCGTTGTATTTCGGTTCACATTCCAAAAACTCTACTCTGCTTTCTTTCTTTCTTCGTTTGCCTTAGCTTGCAAAATCGGCTTCTACAATACGTCAGCCTTTTCTTAAAGGAGTGGTTTTATATATATAATACAGCAGCGTTTTAATGTGGTTTATTCCATTTCTTACGCGAGGCAGCATTGGCCAAGACTAGTTGAGATACGATTATCTATCACTAGTACGAACCTCAGCTCCGGCCGTCTTCCGCAATGAGGAAGGAGCTGCTTAATGTAGTCTTCAAAAATCTCGCTATTAACGTCTGTCCCTAGGTCACGCAAATCCCACCATGCCGCAAAATATGAGGGGTACTTTGACTTCGAGCGACTATAACTCTGCGCACACGTCAAGCTTTACTAAAATTATGTATAAATAATGTACTGTAGCTATTTTTGAAGATCTAGCGCACCTCTTACCTATAAATTACGTTTGCGTCGTCACCTTCGCACCTGACTTGAAGAGCGCCTCCTTCTATAGCGTGACAGAGTTCCCTCCCTATAGTACTACTATCAAGCTCTTACTACTCCATAATACCTATGAATGGTCTTATTAAGCCTTAGAACTTGGCTATAATGCTGAGGAGTTCTCATTAGCCTTATGCCTGCTGTCGCGCACAAATTCATGCAAGGCCGCTACCCTGGTCGGTACTTCTGATTAAAGTGGTTTCTAATCCTGGCTAGTGTGAAACAACCCGGCAAGTCTAACATAATTATCGCCTGTGTTAATTTACTTATGTCATCTGGTGAGCGGGTCTTATGGCCGTCAGGCATGGCCGACTGGCTGTGCAAAGACTTGGCAAGAGGGCCGGCCTCAGCCTCACAGCCTTGCGATCTAACTCAACTTCTAGCTACTGTAAGCCTTAGGGTTGTTAATATCCGGGATATGTAAAAAAAAATTCGGATATCCATACGGCGTATATATCCCACAGTAATTAGGATATCCGTATGGGATATTTAATTGCGCACTAATCTACATTGAGCACCGCGTCTACATGTCTATCAGGCTCAAGCCCATCCAGAATCCCTGTGAGATCAACCTCACCGTTGCTATCATCGCCAGGCTCATCTAAATCAAGCTGCTTAACCTCATTGCCGTCAAAATACTCAGGCTCTATCTGTTGGCCTCCAAAACGTTAGGCCCAAAAAGGTCACGCCAGCAGGCTTCTTAAAACACTTCAGCCAAGCCATATCTTACTAAGTAAATATCCAGGGATAGGTTTAAAAAACTCGGATATCCGTACGGGATATCCATACAGGGATATCTGGATGGGCACCCTTAACAACCCTAGTAAGCGTCCCATCAACTAACTCACTCTTAAAGATTCGCCACCTCACAAGGGTCCGTCCAGAGTGGGTTGACCGTCCTCTCTGCTAGCAGGATCGAGGCGTTTGCCCTCTGGCTAGACTTAAGTGGCAAATATTTAACACGTAATTCTGCACGTGGACATCTTCGTCGCTTGATCGTGAGCTCAAAGCTTCGCTGTGGCAAATTAGCAAGCTATATATTCATGCTGATCCCCGGCCCTCTATGAAATAGAGAGAATAATAAATATAAGAGAGTAAATAGTAATGATATAAATGTTCTAACGCCTTAAGACGCAATAAGCTTGTTATGTTCAACCTTACATATCCATACCCTTCCTTGACTAGTACCAATACCAATCATATTCTTACATACTATGAATTTTAACGGTCGATACTCTGGCGATATCCATAATAGGTCCTCCGAATTGTATGTTATCCACGTACGATCTGAACCCAAGCCTAGGCCTTGACAGACCATGTTGTCGGCTGACTCCGACGCCAGCCGGGCCGAGTCAGGCGAGAAGACTACTGAGGTGACCCGA